CTAAGCTAGAGACTACAGATAGCGGTGGCGGGACGCCACTCTCGTTGGCTGCAGAGAATGGGCATGAGGGAGTAGTGAAGCTGCTTTCTTCTATTACTTAAGCTCTTGGTTACATTAGTCTGTAGTCTACTTCTAATACCTTATTAGAATACCTTTCATCACTATAATAATATAGTCTTACTCCCACCCACCTCTAGGGTTTAGGCTCTGATTAAATACTTGCAGCTTCTTTCCTTTTATCTTTGAGAAGGTTGGGTCACTCATAAAAGATAATTTGCAACACTATCTATGATGGGATGACATCATCCTTATGATGGAATTTTGAAGTCCCGCCATAGAACTAAAAGCGAAGGAATCGAACCCAAGATATAACTACGGTAGGGTCACACGGTCAGAACAGCCATTTCGCAAATGTAGACCTTCGTGTCAGATATCATTTCATGGATTAGGCAGAGCTGGGAAAGAGCGAGATTTGGGTCCATGATGATTAAAGCTACAAATATGACTAATTCTGGTACGTATTTGAAGGATTTGGAAAAAAACTGACACCTTACTGATGCAGTGGCAGTTTTTTTTTCAAGTGATATGATCGAGTAACTTGCGCTTATCCATACTTGGCTAGATTGCCTAGTCACAACTAAGGCACAAGATCGAGCAGCTTGCACACACGAAGGGGAAGCCGGGTTTGCAAGCGACTGTACAGTGGTGGAAGCGGCATTAACTATCATTTGGTGCTGCTGCAATAGTACTACTCTATAACGGAATACATAGACAAATCACTACCTCTTACCGACTCACCACACATATTGGTATACAAAGGCCGATCACCTCGGTCATCACACAGAAAAGATCAGCAACGCGCCTACCTCTAGGCCATCAACAAGGCCGACATAGATGATGCCAATGCAGTTACTGGCGACAGACGGTGCGACACATCCTCTTGGAATGTAGAGAACGAGCGACACCGGATGTGGGTAGGTAGGCCTCATGCGTCGAAGCGAACGCTTTCTGCAGCTCATCAAGCAGCCAAGGTTATCCTAAAGCAATTCCGGGCAGTCCATCCACAGTACTTAAATATACGTAGTGTAGACGAGTAAAATCTGTATATAGAAGTAAGGGCAGGCTAGGAAAGGTCTGACAAGTTCAGAGTCATTAGATCTATAGATAACTATGAACGAAAATGGAGAAACAGCAGAACGGCTTAAATAGCTGCAATCGAATAAATCAACTAGGCAGTGAGGCTAGGAGCTCCCAATGGTCCTTTAGGATATAATAATATGTCCTTCATTGCGCTTCCGGCCACTCCCCAGAGCCCACTATTTCTGGAGACCTTGGATGATCGCCAATCCGGCCAATCTCCCGAGTCTCCCTGCTCTGGAGACCGCGGGGCGTGGGAGGCGCTCGGCTCCCTCGAGCGGCAGTCTCTAGAGGTGTGGGGGGCTTTCGAGCGTAATGGGCATAAGACCTGCGGGCGTGAGCCGGACACATACATAGGTTGCTCCCGAGCGTTCCACTAAATTTCCGATTGCGTCGTTCCCACTACAAATCCTGTCTCATTCATGTTATACGCGTTCTCGAGTTCTGGTTCGTTTCGTCAAACTGCCAAACCGCTGCGATATCTTCTCATATGTAGCCTCTTGATGCCGCCGCAACGACTCTAATTAGCGAGAATTCGTTCCTTTAATTGTAGGATATTGATTTGACAGGTGTTTCTGGGAGGGCAGTACTGGTAACTCGTGTAATTCATCGTGCTAATGTCCTCTCTTCTACGTTAGAGAGTAATGGGACGTCCCGATCGCGTAGTGTTTGAGCCTGAACGTAAAAGTGTATCACTGTAGCCCGGATAGATGAATGCTCACTATTTTCCAGTTAGTTATTGCCTTTTGTATGTCTTCTCCAGAATTCTCTTTACTACTTACACGTAAGAAGCCAAAAGTCGCATTGCTACATCAATAGAGGGTTGAAAACAGACCCTTGAAGGGTGCGAGAACGCTACTAGCAAGAATTTGAGGGGCGAACACCATCACTGAGATTACATAGTTTGTGAGTTCACTGGGGTGATAACACGAGTAAATAAGAGTTTTTATAATGATCCGGTATGAAGTATACTCGAATCCACGAAGCAGCATCTCACAGAAAAGATCTCCTATTATCCATCGTATTCCAAATTAGAGAGGCTCCTATATTAAACAAAACTCGGCATAATGCGGTAAGAAGTTATTACAGCATCCAACTTATTCAAGTAGTCTAGCTCATAATCAACAGCAAGGTCGTCCTGCACCCATATTTGCTGGATAATATTCTGCAGTCCAAGCATGCTCCTGCTCCTCAAACTTGAGGCCTTCATTGCTCTTTCAATATGCTCTAGAATTCTCATCCTCTGCCCATCTCTCCGAGCCTCGCATCCGATAATCAGCAGTGGAAAGGCCGGGTTGAAGGTCTCCAATTCGTCGAGAAGTATATAGGCCCTCTCAACTATTGCGTCAATTTGAGGCGAGGTTCCTGAAAAGTTCCGCGATGCTCTCTTGAGGTAAATTATAGCAGCTAGTTTGAAAAGCTCCATTGTAGCCACCCAGGCTGTGCCCAAGCTGGACGTCGTATCAGATATACCTTCTGGTGCCAATAGGACAATACTGGTTATCCTGTTTTCGAGGCAACGCAAAGAATTTTCGTATTCGTCGCTGTGGTATAGCGAGTCTGTTGGTTTTTTAATCATCTCGAATGTGACATGGAGATATTGAAGAATTTCATGTGAGCCGTACGAAGCAGCTCTAACCTATCTCTTATTAGCTAGATAATGGTGCAGACATGGATTTTCATATTCTTCAGCCTAACCTTTTGTATTAGGCAAGTTTCCTGTTCCACAGGTGCGATATTTCCAATTTCTTGAATAGGCTCTACATTTATATACCAGTGTCGGAGGCTAAACCGGCTCATAGCCATATGATACTCTACCCAGTCTAGAAGTCTGGAAAATTCGCCTTGAAAATTTTGGTTGATAACACCGACGTTGTCGATTAAATTTTTAGCTTCAATCAAATGGCCTAAAATGCAAAATCTAGTTTAGCAATGTCTTTGAAGAATCAGGCCACCCATTTCATGAATGGGTAACAGAAGAACTAACACAGTAGGCCGGATAATCGTTCTGGGCTAGGCAAGAATAAATAAATAAACCACACGTTACTTACAGAACCACAGGGGAAGTGCATTTGGCATTCCAAGCATCTTGAGCGCTAGTGAGTGTTTGTTCAAAAGAAGACATAGACCCAAACTAGAACATACCTCAAGGTGGCACAGTATCATACAAGCCGCAATATGTTGAACTACCGTCTGACTTTCAAGACAGTGATCGTAAGATGTGATCAGTGTGCGGAGAGAGCGAGCCTTGAACTGAAAAACATCTGCTTGCAGACCATGCCGGTGGAGCGACGAGAGCGCCAACGCCGATTGTAACACAGCCGAAGAGGATGGTGAACTGTCTAGAAGGGCTAGACGCACCAAGAGACCCAAGAATTCGTTCTTGTCAGGTTCGAAAATGGCCAGTGTGGAAGGCGCCGTACATATAACTGTAGGTGTTAGCTTGGTAAAATTCTATAGGTAGTATTATACTTACAGTGATCAAGAAGTTCTCTTTCCTCATAACCCAGGTTGATTGGGAGCCATGATAGCGCCATAGGCGGATCGAGTTTTTGAAAGACAAACCCCTCGTATCTACTAAGTCCTATCTCTGAAGCATTAGTTGAGTTATATGCAGATTCCGCGAGTGAGTAAACCTTGATTCATCCGCAGGTAATCGTGGAGCTGAATATCCCATGATGTAGCATTAATAAATCTCGTCTGGGAGGAACTTTTTGCAACCCCAAATACATCTTGAATGGAATGGGTCAAGCTCCGTTTCGTGTTGGTAGCCTTTGGCCACGACAGCCGCAACCCATACTGACATGGTCTATTAGACTTGGCGCACTTTGAACAACGTGGGCGTACGCGGTTGCAAGCTGCTCTGGAGTCTGTAGCGCTTGAGTAATTAGCCCCTAGATGCAATCACTTAGACAGGGACGGTACCTCTGCAAGCCCAGCACTCATTCGCATGCATTGTGGACCAATTTGTATCTTCTCCGATTTCTTAACTGAGCAAGTTGAGAATTGTTAAGCATCAACGAAAGAGTTGCCATTTTTCCCTTTTGGCTTCAAGAAATGAGAGATGACAAATGCGCTTATCGTGCCCCGGACGGCGGAAGCCTGCCAAGAAAGGGCGTCAGAACCCCCATGCTGCGGCATAGTGGAGAGGAGTAACTTGATGCATTCTAGCGCGATTTGAGAATTGTTAAGCATCAACAAAAAAGTTGCCATTTCTCCCCTTTGGAACAAACGCGCTGCACGGTGGAGAGGGGTAACTTAATGCATTCTAGCACGATCTCTTATTAACTCTCGCTTATCTTCCTCTTTTAGAAAAGCTGCAACTTTTCTGTGTCTTGGCAATTTAAAGTAGACCCTTGGTTTTAGAGAATCTACACATGGACCATCACAAGGCGGCTGGTGAAATAAGCTGGTTGACAAATTATAACGAAAAGTAACGAATTTGAAATCAGAAAGGAAGCAAACGATGCTCTAAGGATGGATCCAAATCGATATAAATACACGCACTATTGCTGCTCTTCTTGGTCCATCAACTCTCAGAACTACATCTTAAAATCATTCTTCGATCAATCTCAGTTTTCATAAGTTCGAAATCTCAGTTTTATAAACCATAAGATTTCCATACCAATGTCTTCCTACTTGATTACTGGAGTCTCTCGTGGCGTTGGTGTACGCTCTTGCCCTGCTCCATGTACAAGACTCTTTACTAATAAAAAAATCCATCATCTAGTTCGAGTTCCTCCGCCAGCTCTCTGAGAACCCTGCCAATACTGTCTTTGGCCTCGTCCGCAACAAAGCAGCCACCGAGTCCAAGGTTGCCGCTGAAATAGGCCGGGAGAATATTCACATCATTCAAGCCGACACCACGGACTATGTGGCATTGGAGGTGAGCTACTGAGTGATCAATAAAACTGAGGTCAAAACTGAATCAAAGTTCTTCTAGAAAGCAGCTCAGTTTGTATCTGAGAAAACGAATGGCGCCCTTGATTATATCATAGCCAATGCCGCACTCCAAGCTAAGACTGCTTTGGTTGGCTTTGATACTCTGTAAGTTATAGGCAGAGGGACAAATACTCCCGGTATAATTGGCTTGGGATTAATTCTTTCACAGGAGCAGCGACCCAGGAGCCCTTGAACAAGATTTGATTGACCACTTCCGAATCAATACCATCGGCGCCATCCATCTATTCAATATTTTCATGCCCCTGATTTTGAGAGGTCGGGCAAAGAAAGTGATTGCCATCTCCACGGGCATGTCGGACCCTGAGATGACACTCAAGGCCGATATATTCCAAGCCACATCTTATGCAATAAGCAAGGCAGCTCTTAATATGGCTGTGGCCAAGTTCAGCGCTATATACCGTGAGAAAGGTGTCCTCTGCATGGCTATATGCCCCGGTGCTGTCAACACTGGCAGTCTTCAAATTGGTGTGTAGTCGTCTTGATAACTAAAATGGTATGCTTTTTGCTAACGTTTTCATAGAAACCGAGGAGGAGGGACAGCTGGCCATGGCTATGTTTGGGAAGTTTAAGCAGTATTCACCCACCTTTGAAGGGCCTCAGAAGACAGAAGACAGTGTCAAATCGGTCTTGGCTCTCGTGAACAAGGCTACTGTTGACGGTGGTTACGCAGGCACCTTTATCTCTCATACAGGAGGAAAGCCATACCTTTGAGACTGTGTACCAGGAAGCGTTAAGGCTACTGAAAACGTTTATATGTAGATTTATCTTTTATACTTTACTCCAATAAATAAACAGCGCATCGTCGTTTTAGAAATTGTGAGCGTAGGAAACAATTTTCCAATTGAGTATATCCAAACTTCTGACCAAAAGCAGGCTGGTTGAGGCTGTGTTCCTGCCTAAGTTGAGGCGACTACCGCAACAAAGAGCTCATGTGAGAGCCACAGCATTCTCAACCAATGATAAGTGCAGCATGTTTGCTGCACTCGAATGAATACGTCGCGGAACGATCCATCGCGCGTAGTTACGTGATTGTACAAGCCAATGCGCCCAAGTACCACAGTTTGTTATGGTTTCCCAAGGTCCCTATAATCGCCCTCACTTCCAGACTTCCAGACGTACCTGTAACGCTAACACCTCCCTATTTTGAACCAGCTATTGATAGAAGTTGGCGCCTTCAACTTCAACCATGTAACTTGATGCAGAGGTGGTTGTATACCACCAATACTGTCCTACGGGGGTGAAACGGGTCATTGCCACAGGAACCAGTGCGTTTATTGGAGAACTAGATGAGTCTACTGTTCTTAAATATCCACTTTCTCCTACAGGAGATGTGAGCCGGCTCGAGATTGAGAGAAAGCTTCTCCAAATAGTCAGCCCCCATCCTCGGATTATATTATTGAAAAGCTTCTCGGATAGCGCACTCTGCTTAGAGCGCGCTGCAAATGGGAGCTTAGCCTATTATCTGCTCGAATCAGGCAATCCGACCCCTTCGATCCAGCAGCGATTATCTTGGTGTAGAGGGGCTGCTGAGGCAGTTGCATATGTCCATTCGAAGAGGGTGCTTCACTGCGATATCCAGCCTACAAATTTTCTCCTCGATATAGGACTACATCTTAAACTATCAGATTTTCAAGGAAAACTTCTATCAGAGCAAGGAGAAGTACTTCTGGATGGCGGGAGTGGTGAGCCATGCAGATTCTACCTCCCTCGAGACGACCCTTTTGAAGCAGATATTACTCTATACTTTATCATGATGGGCCACGCTGTTTTCCCTGATATTATTGACGGGGCGGAAGGGTGGCACGATGAGGTTGTAGACAGGTTTACAAACCAGCAGTTCCCACAAGACATCCATGCCTGCAGTTCTGTCACTTTGAAGTGCTGGCTGAAGCAGTATGACTCTGCAGAGGACATCATCCAGGAAATAAATTCTATTGAAAGGAATATAGCCACCAATGACGACGACCATATGTCAGGTGATAATACTTCAAATTGGCAGAGGCGATGACTCTTTTGTATGTACCTACGTGTGGCCAGGTTGGAAGATGCAAATTGTGCATGAAGGCAAGACGGAAGTGGAACCTATCTATCGTACTATAGAAGGGAAAGACCATCGAGAAGGATCAACTCTTCAATTGGATGAGCGAGGAAATAAGATTTTGAAATATCAAAAGCTTCATCTAAGAATCGGCCTCTATCTTCCTTTGCCATTTCCTGCCGTGTGGAAATACCAGCTTTCGTGAACGATTTAGAAATGTAAGAAACATAAGCTATCATTTATATTTGGCCAAAAGGGCTAGGGGATTCAGACGTAGCCAAGAGAGTGTCAGAGATTAGACTGAATCACGACGGGGCCCAACGCCGGCAGTAACTGGAACCCGCCCTCTCTCATATCCGCCACACAGGGTAGACGCCGGAGGCAAGTTGATGCCGCCCGCTGATCTAGAGTACGCATTGTCCCTTGCCAACACCTCCACGGAAGCCCGGAGCTGCATACGAGGGCTGCCGATAGGTGTGCAGGTAGAAAATCCCCGTTGCATGTGCCGCCGAGGCCTTTCTATTAAATGTCCGCCCCGGTAAAGATAAGCAGGACCAGAAAGAGCCATAGACGGTTGAGCAACAAGTAAGCAGTTCAAAAAACACCAGGCTGCCGTGAATGAGATTTGCCACACCCACTGAATCCCCTTGCAAAAGCGATGGATCCTCACTTCCGTAGCCTATGACTCAAGTAAACGGACCTTGTACAGATACCGCGAATATTATGAAAGGTCTGAGAGCGACCACGACGTATAAAATGACTTACATAGGCAAAAGCGAGGATCCCCAGCCTCAAATTCGACTTGTGATGTTTCATCTCCAGGAAGTGAGCAACAATTTTGGTCAGGAGATTATCGCCACTACGAGGCCCATCCCTCTTCGTCACCTCTTCCACTGCTATCCTTGGAAAATAGTGGCGAGCAAGGAGGGAATATAAAGGAGACAGTACACGTGACTCAGGCGTCACTTGACCTTCAGTTGTCTCGTTTGATTTGCAGTTATACTTCTACCTTTAACCAGTGACAAACTTGCTCGTTGCCACTACATTCGTAACCTCTGATTTATTTCGCCTATTGGACACCGCCGTGAGGTGTGGCGCCTCACCGACGACAGCGAACAGCCAATGTCGGCCGCGGTGCCTTCGGCAACCGCGCCGTCCGAGCAATGCCATAATGAGTCAATAAAAGCCCTGGCTATGAAACAGTTTCGGGGAATGTCCCAAAGCTGTTGCCTAGAATTCCCTTTAGGCGCCGGCGACCGCGTGCAAGACGCCTGGGCGAATTCTTGGTCCTCTTCTGAAGTTCCACAGCGTCGTTGGCGATTGATCGGAGAGCCTCAGTCAGTGACATCGGTTGCGATCGTCTCGTTATTGGTTGGCTGTAAATGGCGAAGCGCGTCCGACGGTCTGGCCAGAATGATTGGACGCGCCGAGCGGTCACATCCCACATATCACAAAATGGCTTTTGTGATATGCGCGAAAAAAGGAATAGGGTGTAGCGGACTGTACTTAGCGGCCGCCGCAGCGTGGCACAGAATGTAACACATATCTCGGCAGGGTGGAGAGTGCTAAGGTCGTTCTGGCGCTGTCTCATCCAGAACCGCCCGCCGCCGGCCGGCCGGCGGGACAGTTGATCGTCGATGCAAACAAGAAGTGCGAACCGGTAGGGCTTGCTGCACATGAAGCTCGAGGGCTCGAGCTTCAAACGCACAGTTTAAAGAATCGCGCAGGACGACGTCATTTACAAGAGTAAAGCCTTACAAGGACACGTGTATCGGACTCCAGTGCCTACAAAGCAAGCATGGCTGCCCAAGAGATTTGATCCCTTGGCTGTTATTGCTGCATTGCGTCGCTATTATCGGCCGCTATCTGGCTGCATGCACAAGCGCTGCGGAACGCTGCAGGCGACTGGCTGGCGTTTGGATGTTGGCTCTTCCTTGTAGTCGTCCGGGGTTCGACGTGCATTTCACAACCAACAAGTGCGAGCCGGCACACTCACAAGGGGGAAGGCAACCAACGAATAAGAGCAGCCCCCCCCCAAAGAGCCCGATATTATTGGCAAGCCGGACCTCTCGGCCAACACATGAGTCTCCCAGAGACAAGATGTAGCACCTCCTCTTGTCAAATCGCTTTGCGCAGTCTCCTATTTTAATCCTATATCCAACAAATCTGCGAACAGATATACCAGTGAAAATTTCTTCCCTGCTCGTCTCACTTGAGATGAGCAAAGCAATTTACCAAGAGGTAAGAAAGCGAGATTTGTACCCACTCTCTGAATCGGGAACTAGGGTCCGAAGTCCATGCGACGCTGGAGAGCGCAGGGGTCTTACCACACCCACGGAAATAAGTACAAGTCACCGAAAGGAACAACAAATTATTGTGCTGCCCCCGCCGGAAGTGGCACAAAGATAGGGGCGAGACTTTGTATATGTTTGCTTCTTATGTGTGGTTTCACGTATTTTTACATCGTGTCCTTTTCTCGTAACATGCAGTGTAAAATGCAGTGTTGTGAAATGTTGCGAGCGACGTTGTATCATGTTACCATCTTGCCTTCCCTCGGGAGAGGTTTGTGGAGTCGGTGTAGGATCGCCGGCACGGATACATTCAGATACGTGGTACGGAGACCTGCAGTAACGGACCGTAGTGTCCATAGCGGGGCAGCGCAGGAAGACCTGGGTGAGTCGGAAGCGCCCCAAGAAACCCTTCTGCATGATGGCTAACTATCCCAGTGGCCCGTAATAGAATGTTGCGGTAAAAGAAGCCCTTCTCCACCCACATACGTATTAGCCAGCTGAATTTGATGACAATTTGTGCCTAGCACATTCTCCGTAGTGTGCAGTATCATCCACTCAGATGAAAGGGAAACGATAACGCTTGTAAGCCGATCGAGGCGGTGACTGTGTCTCAACCTGACTGGGTAACAATGAAGCCATCCAAAAGAACGGTGAGAGGTTTCGCATGAAATCGACGAGGGTAGGATTTTGAAAATTTCAACGACGTGTATTTGTGCGAGCAAGGGGTGGTAAGATCGCTGAGCGCACTGTGGCTTAGCTTGGATAAAGAGGAAGGATAAAATATGCCCAACCCATAATCAAGAAAGCTCATCAGAGTGCGACAGCGAGGGTTTGCAAGAATCCGTAATTGCAAAATGCGAACGGAGCTGAATATGACCGAAGTAGCCAGCCCTTGACAACTGACTGAATGCTGCGCCATTCATTCTATGGCTCATAATGCCCAACATATATCGGGTTTTTAGTTCTTCAGCCACGTTCAGCTGAATGTAGACAAAAACAAGAGTAACAGGCAGCCACCGTTCTTAAAGATGTTCCCAGGCGTGTGCCCTACTGGATCACAGAGGAGTCACGCAGTCACCGTCAGCCTCTAGGCTACGAGCGGATTGGCTTGGGCTGGATCCAGTAACTTGGGAGAATCGCCTCCGCGTCTATTTTCAAAACAAGGTTTGGATCTGGCTGCCGGTGACTTGAAAAGGAGTAGCAGAATGAATAGCCGCAACGCGTCGACTTGACTGCATCGTGAACGACCCGGATTCAATTAGTGGTTTAGCATCATAAGTTATGTGCGCCAGTGGCACATAACTTGTGCTGGACCGCGTACCTGCCCTTGGCAGCTTTCTTCGCCGCGATTCCATCTGGCCCATGCTCCTTCCACTACAAGACGAATGAGACGTCATTTCCGTCCCTATAGGGGAACATAATCTGATGCTCGGAGAGTGCCATTGCAAAATTCTTCTCCTGTCTCCTCATCGCAATCAAACATTCCCAGTCATATTCCCTGTCATTTGTCGAAAAGGCCTCTGATTTCCCCCTTGCCCCAACGCCGCTGTCTCATAAAGGGGCACGGACAACAACACGCTGTGCCGCCGGATACATAACACAAGAGTCACGAAATTATCTGACTCGGTCTGAGGGCCCGCCCGGCTCACAGATGTACCCGAGAAGGCGCAGACACTCGCATTCTTTGCCATAGTACGAGTGAATTGTCGGTATGTATGTTCGCACGCAGTTGAGGCATTTTGTTGATCGTACCAAATGTACACCTACTTTCGATCTGTGTAGGGGGTCGCCCCCAACTCTTATTGCCAAAGTAATGCATGGTCCTGGGCGACAAGTTGGACAGAGAGTCGAATCCTACTTCGAATGAGCGCGAATATGTGCGAGTTCAACGGCTAGACTTGCTTCGAGTAGGTTTATTTGGAAATCATCCATTCATCCTGTACTCAACCCCGTCAGCCCCTCTCTTTTTGATCCCAGGAAGTTCGTGTACTTCGTACCTTCTCTCAGGAAGTTGTATTTCAGTAGAGTTACTTTCGCACATTGCCATTTATGCAGCAGCAACTAACCGTGTGGCGCAAGGTATCGTTCTGGTGGAGTCATCAGTAAGTCGTGGGAAATCCTCCGTACCCGCGACCCATATAACCGTGGTGTACATTGGCGGCCCCCCTTCAGCCCCCCCGGTCCAAAAATCCACACTAGAACTTGTTGGCAGTACAAAATTTAGTGGGAAGGTATAGTGGGCACTCTTCCCTGTCATCCACACTTGTCCACTTCCCCCTCAAGCCCACTATTGCCCACAACCCGCGCCCGCACACACACGAATGTTCGTCGGTTACCTACTTATATCGGCCCTGTTGCCCACACCCACCAACCTCTCCCATTTTGACTTCTTTGCCACCAGCAAACAAAATCTGTATCGACTACGTATAGTCATCGTTAACGAAATCAAAGCGACCTAAATCGACGAAATAGTTGGATCAACTCCGGTCCAACGTTCCAGAAGATTCTCGAAGAAGCCCGAAAGTATCGCGATATCACGACCTCTGCTATGTTCCAAGTCAGCGAACTGTCTCTCTCCATCCCTCTACCCGACAAGATACCTCGGTGACGGATTATAACACAACAAACCCATATATTTACGATTCTGGATAGAGCGCCTGATAGGGAGCTCTCTCGTTTTCTTTTTTCTTTCGGTTTTTCGGTCGGGGTTCGCAGTATATTGAATGGATTAAACACAAGATGGCATACGCTTCGCCACCATACCACGGATACCCGGAAGGGACTCCCTCTCCATCTCCCCTAGGACGACACGGCGGCTTTTATCAACAGGCCGCTCCTTCACCGCGTCACTATTCGCACTCTCGACACGCCAGTCACGACTACGGTCACGGCCACAGCTCCCCGGGCGCATCATACCCATCACCAAGATACTCAAGTTCTGGACGCTATTCTACCAGGACCGGTGTTGCGTCGCCCTTTGGTGAAGCCGAATATGTGAGTGACAAAACGCGGAAGACGCATCATCATACCCACAACAAGCATGGTCAGAGCCAGACTTGGTCGTTTCCAAACCCGCGGTTCACTCAGTCGTATCGAGCCTCTTATGGGGATTCCGACGAAGACGAGTTGATAAATATCGACGGTGATATCTATATTATTCCCGGTGGTCGACGCACGAAGCAAACATATTATCGTCGTAGTCGTGAAACTAATCACTACTATCCGCAGGGCTTCACTTATGACAGAGACGGTACTCCTGTCATCATTGCTGAGCCGACTCAACGACACACTGAAACTACACCTCGACGTTCTCGCCGAGCATCGGCATCTACACCACAACGACCATCGACGGCAAACCGCCCTTCGAGCTCAGCCAAGAAGCCACCACCACCCATTCCCAAGGCCACGGAGGCAGATGCGAGGGCGCACCACATTCCTGCCGGATATTCTCTGAAGAACTGGGACCCCACGGAGGAACCTATTATGCTCCTTGGCAGCGTCTTCGACGCGAACTCCCTTGGAAAATGGATCTATGACTGGACTGTATACCGCCATGGACCCGCAACGCCCATCTCCGATGTGGCCGGTGAATTATGGCTTCTCCTTATCCAGTTGGCCGGGAAGGTCAAACGTTCCGAGGAGTGCATGCCCAGGATCAGATCAGAGGACAACCGTCTCATGATCAACGACTTCATCGAGTCTGGAGAACGCCTCATGGATAAACTCAAGAAGCTCCTTAAGGCATGTGAGGGACCCATGCTTAAGGTCGGCAAGAGGCTCGGGAGCAAGGAGCCACCGCTCCTGGGCAAGAACTCCGGCGTTGAGTTCGTCGACTCCATCTTTGGCCGTGACCGTCAGCTTGACCACACCGAGAAGTTTATGGCCAGCATCAGACTATGGAACCTCCGCTTCGACGCCAACTGCGAGGACATTTTGCTCTACCCTACTGCTTAGGTTCACCAACACGCCTCTTTGGGCCCACCACATACATCAACATACACGGCACATTACATCACCTCACTACAATCATACCTCATTTACATACCTTTCGTTTTGTACAACGATGGTACAACAGATACATCGCACGCGCTACAGCGGGCCGGTTATAGTCAACAACGCATTATACCCATATACCCGAGATCACTTCACTGTGGTCTCCCAAAAATATTTCCAGCTATCAGTCATCCAAGTAAAGTAATGGGGCAACCCTGGCACTGGCGTTTCTCTTATGCATGTTTTTCCGGTTTGATACCACGGCATACGATCTAGACACGCACGGGCTTTTCAAGGGAATTCGGACGACGGATTGATACCAGGACACAGAATCAAGAAAACTAAGAAGAAAGAGAAGAGAAAAGGGAGGAGAAATTAGAATGGGACGGGAACGGTACGGGACGGGACGGGGGGGAGGATCGGAAAAGTTTATCGAGTACTGGAAGGCGCAGCGTTTATGGTACGCTCTTCTCCTTCGTAATGCGCGGGGCTTTCGTCAGGAAGGCGAAACTCGGCGAATTTTGTTTTAAGACTTGGGATTTTTGTTTGTCAGAGATTTTGGAATTTGGAACGGAAAGGCACAGGAGGCAACACTTGGATTCTTGGGATGGATGGATGGTGCATTATGGCATGGATCTGCCATTGTAATCGTATTTTTCACTCGGGACGCGCTGGTCGGAGGCCTATTTGGCGGTGGATATACCCCTTCTTATTTTTATCAATCGTAGCTAGAATCGAGAGTATTGAAGACTTCTCGAGCAAAACCATTTCCCAGTCCCATTCGCAGTGAACTAACTACAGTAATCTAAAATGCTACTTCCACCTCGGTCGTCGCAAAGACATGAGATGGGGGGTTGAAAAGGCGATGGCGGGGATGGAGGGGTCACCTGGGCATAGTTGGCATTGGGCGGCGGCCCGCGCACCCCTCCACACCCAACCCCTCCACCACACCCAAAGCCCGCCCCTATAAGGAGCTCGCTCTATTAATCGAAAAAGGAAAGTTGGACACAACCAGGCCCATTGGCCATCCCATCCCATTAAACCGAGGGAAGGTGCCACGTCGACAACGGCTATCGTCGCAAAGAAAAAAAATGTAAAAAGAAAGAATACCAGGTTTTTGAATCATAGAAGAGGTTTTATGATGAGGTTTTGAACCACACCCGATTTGAACGGATAACCTTTCGCTCTGGAGGCGAACGCGCTACCGTTGCGCCAGCGGTCCTGGATTGTTATCTGCGGAGACCTATCTCATCTCATAGCTCCGACATTTACCTTATCCACTTCTGAGCATCAAGATAGAGTACTCCACTATGCATCACCCACCACCAAGGACACCCTCCAATTAGCCAGACAAAGCGCAGGCACAGTGCGCACAGAGCGCGGGAGCCCACCCCACGACCTCCTGGAGGGGTAAACCGCGCCGATCCGCACACCCCGCCCAAGCGGTCCTGCGAACACCTCCTCCTTCCACGCCGATCGGACCCGGGGCTTATTGCCGCTGTGGCTTATGACTGCGCGCTGTTATAAATACAGCCATGCATTCCGTGGCAGGGTGCATGGCTGCTGGATGACGGCGCTGAGCACGTTGTAAGCACATTGGCGCCATGCTACCAGCGCATGGGGGCCCTGGGTGGGTGACGGTGGCTGACCTGCCTGCTTGGGGGGGGGATTGTTGTGGTTGGTTGGATGCGTGGGGAGATCGCGGGGTTCGGAGTGTGTGTGCATGGCCGCGGATAGAGTAAGGTAAGTTGCGCTGCGTACGCCATGTCTTCAGCGAGCGGGTGTGCTACCAACGGACGGCGCAATTGTGATGTTGCCTGTTTGGGGGCAAGATTTCGGGTTACATGTTGGCGTCAGCTTCTAGTATTCCTCCGAGGGCTGGAGGGCTGGAGTATCGTCAGCTCGTAACTTGTGTTTGGGGGCTGCGGTTGTTGGGCGGGTCAAAGTGTGCGTGGAGCTTCCAACCGCGTCGCGCTCGCTGGAGGCATCAACCAACTCGTCGATGCACCGTACCCCGCAAATTGTGGACGCGCATCTGGCCGTGCGGCGGGGTCAAGAACACCGCTTGCTCGATGTGATCTGGATTGTTTCTCTGAGAAACAAAGCGGATGGCTGGGATAAGACGGAACGTGCGATTGGCCGACTTGGTGATGATGTGCTAGTAATACTGCAGTGTAGTAAGCGCCTGTGTTCAGCCAGAATTGAAGAGGGGGGGTGGTTGAGTGGCAGGGTACGCGCGCAGTTAATGCCTTTTCTGGGATAGAGTGTGAGGTGGTGGTGGGATGACGCGCATGGACTGGGATGTGCATCGCAGATGCAAAGGTACTGGTACTTGGGATATCGAGGCGAGACATCGACGACGGTGGATGTGAAGGCACCGAGGAGGGTTGCACATCTTACGACCGCTTCGTAAGTATATTACGACGTATAAATTGTATTTGTTCCGTGTACTATTATATTCCCCATGTAGTTATTTGCCATGGCTGAGTATGTTGCCTTACGCAAGCTTCAATAGGAGAGATTCAGCTCATCCTTCGGATTCTCGGAAAAGCCTTCATAATTGAACGATACATATATTGTAATTTGTCACCGTAGTACTCCGAATAGAACTTCTGAAGGCAGAAGTACTGCGTCTGCAATCACGCGTCCTAAATGCCAATATAATTACCATCTTTCATCTTGCCGCATATGGTCACCGTTTTCTGACACACAGTGTATTATTGATTTCAATGAACAGAAGCGGATCGAAGCAAGACTAATATCAAAGTTTAATTTCTTAGGTATCATGCATCATCATCTGATCCGAGTCTATCAATCAATAGAAAGGGTATCCGTCTAACACACGCGTATGTCTCATCTCCGCGAAAACCAAACCAACAACATCAAAACAAATGACGTCTTTTCTTAAACCAAACCAGACACGCGTTTTAAGACCTTCGCCGCCTCTGCACCCTTAAACAAATAAATATCGACGGATTCGTCTTCGTCGCCCAAGTTCCCCACCCTCTCACTGTGTTTACCAACCTGCACAATGCCGTGCTCCTTCATGAGGTCGAAGAATACCGCCTCGCTGGCATGGCGCACTTTCATGGCCAGGCATATCAACACCGATGGTGATTTCTTGATCAACTTGGCTAGCGTTGAGACGAGATAGGGGACCACGTCTGGGTTGTATGTGCAGTCCGCCACCAGGATCAAGTCAAAGTTCTCATGCGCAACTCTCAGTGGTAGTGGCTCTGACCAATCGAGGTTCATGTAAGACGTGTTGGTGGCTTGCTCGAGATTATCAGATGCGACTTCGGCGGCTTCCTCCAGATCGGTGGCAATTATGCGAGAATCTGGGACGGAGAGTGCAAATGTGATGGCGACGATTCCGCAACCAGTACCCAGTTCAAGGACAGAGGGTTGTGGTACGGTTTTGATCAGGTCGCCCAGTAATCGGAGACCCGGTGGGGGGGTGCTGGAAGGCAGGCTTAGCTCCTCGAGGAGGGCTGAGAGGATGACACCAGCGTCCCTATGTAGTGTTAGAAATAGAAAATATATATATGTAACTGGAGCCAAATTTAAGAAATTCAGTAGATGGAACGTAATATGCAGGAAGGAGATAGAGCTGAGGTTTGAGTTTTGAGGCACGGGACCCTCAAAACGTACAGATGGTGGTTGGGATGAAGGAATGCTCATATGAAAATATAAAGAGTATTATGATAGCTTCCGCGTGTATTCATGGTAGGGCCATTTTGAGTAGCTTTGATACGGCACTCGCCTGATTCTCTGTATATTGAGGGCGACATGATAGAAAGTAGGAAAAAAACGTACCATATATGCCTCGCAATACTTTCCCCTGTATCCTCGTCAATACTCATAGTGACCCCGCCATTCAATTTGAAGTGCCTGTAAATTACAGGACGAATGGATTCCGCCGTGGCCTTGAAGGTGGCGCTCAACCCGCGTAAAACGGCGCCATCCGCTGGTCGATTAGTCTGCCCTCTGTTTATGCTGAGCACCTTTGCCAAGTTATAAGGCGTGAAGTCTCCTGTGGAAGGCCACACGCTGAGTTGATAAGGTGGCTTATATTTTTCCTTTCTTGCCTTCTTTTCGCTCAATGCTAGCCTCACTTCCAGCTGTCTCTTCTCGCACTTCCACACAAGGCTTTGCGTGGCGACGGTCACGCCATTGCTGTCCCGAATGGTAGCCTCGATGGGTATATCGCACCATAAGAAGCTTTCTCCCAAGTCGTTGACGACGGTTATCTTGGCATAAAGTATGTGGTGGTCAGGTACTTTGGCATCCCGGGTTATCTGCGGAGGCTTGAGGAAACGAATGTAGTGCATTGTTCCGTTGAGCTCATTCGCTCCAGGATATTTGGAGGTGATCTAGGACCCTGCCCAAGTGGGCCGGTGCGGTCTTTTCTACTCCGCCAGGTCTTTGAAATGCACGTTTCCTAGCAAACAATTTTCTCCAATTGCACCGTATCTTGCCCGTGAATTGCTTTTGAGGCAGTCTGGCAATCGCCACCAAGCTGTGTCAAACGTCACGCAAAAATAGAGCCTTCTGTTTCCATAATTGGGGTCTCCATCTCCGGTTATCGGCTTCGTTATTTTAATCGTTTCTCCAAAAACAACAAGACGCAACAATTAAGGTTTTTTGAAGCTGAGGATGCTAGCCAATCAGGATCCAGGGGTCCGTACCGCACACAAGTGACGTATGCGGGGCAGCTGGTCCGATTACCGCGGAGGAATTCCGAGCGGGGTCATGCCGCATTATTTGTTGTCCCTTCTATACCCGCCCGATATATTGAACAAATGTAAGCTCTCCTGCATACTCCTCTTTTGTGATTTCTGCAAATAATCTTCATCTATTCTCTTGTCCATTGTCTTCTTTGCGTATAAACAATCGTGGCAACTAAAGGACTCAAAAACATCTTCAAAATGGTCGCATCAAAGAGCTGGCTGGAGATCCCAGCGGATTCTCACTTCTCCATAGCAAATATCCCTTTCGGGATCATCAGCACAGAGGGACAAGAGCAGAAGAGGTCAGCAGTTGCAATTGGTGACTACGCGCTGGATCTGCAGTGTTTCGCAAAGAATGGCGGATTCTCTGGGCTTCCTTCCATCCAAGACAAGCTGTCCGTGTTTGGAGAGCCAACCCTGAACTCATTCGCAGCGCTTGGTCGCCCAGTACACAAGCAAGTTCGTGAATACCTCCAAGACGTGTTTTCGGAAGGTAGCGCTTCATCAAAGGTTCTCAAGGACAACGAGGAGCTCAAGAAGGAGGCTCTAGTTCCCAGGAGCAAGGCCAAGCTTCACTTGCCAATGCAAATTGGCGACTATACCGACTTTTTCGCCGGCATTAACCATGCATTCAACGTAAGAAACTTCTAAATATGAAGGTTTGAAGCTCTCTAACAAAGTTCTAGGTTGGAACTATGTTCCGCGGTCCAGCCAACGCCCTCCAAAAGAACTATACTCATCTCCCAGTTGGATACCATGGGCGTGCATCGTCTGTTGTGGTCTCCGGAACACCAATTCGCAGACCTAACGGCCAAGTTATCCTTGATCCATCCAAGCCTGACGAACCGACCTATACCGCATGCAAGAGGCTAGATATTGAGCTGGAGCTTGCTGCGTTTGTGTGCACGCCAAACAAGCAGGGCGAGCCGATACCAGTTGGCACAGCGGAAGATAACCTCTTCGGTCTTGTCCTTATGAACGATTGGTCTGCAAGAGATATTCAAACGTGGGAGTATGTCCCACTGGGACCATTCAATGCCAAGAACTTCGGCACATCGATCTCCCCTTGGGTCGTCCTCATGGATGCCCTGGAGCCTTTCAGAACAAAGGCTCTGGAGAACTCTACCGAGTTGACCGCATATCTGAAGGACCCACAAGCAAATCGTGCGTACGATATTAAGCTTGAGGTTGACCTAACCAGTAAGAATATCCCGGTTTCTACATTTATGGCATTGGCTAACATATTGAAGCATCGGACGGAACGAACACAACTATCTCCAAGACCACAGCAGCAAACCTCCTCTGGTCGTTCCCCCAGATGCTTGCCCACCACACCGTCGGTGGCTGCCCAATGAACACTGGTGATCTCCTTGGGTCTGGTACCATTTCTGGTACTGAGCGCGATACTCTGGGGTCTTTACTCGAGATCAACCGTGCTGGTAAAGAGGAGGTCAAGCTTTCCAACGGAGAAGTTCGCAAATTCCTCGTCGATGGTGACACTGTTACTATTCGTGGGGCGTGCGGGGTTGAGAATGGCCAGCTTGTAGGATTTGGAGAATGCGTGGGCACCATCCTGCCTGCCCCACCTCTCCAACAATAAGTCAGCAACTAGATATCTCGTGCCTCGTATAGTTTAGGGCTAAAAATCAAATAAATTCCATTACTAATGCCTCAATTGTTTTTCGCGGACTTGTTTGCTGTGATGAACTCCGAAACTGAAGGCCCCGCATTCTCCCCGCACGTTCGTAAGGTACGGCACTCCGCTGAAAATTAGTACCCCGCATTTGGGAATATGTAGCGCACCTATTCCGTGCCCACCGTCATCCAAACGCGGAACCTGCTCCTAAATGCACGTTGAAGCGTCGACAGCTCACCAACGTGGCATATAAATGCCGGATGTCTCTCGGTAATTCGAGATTCATGTCTATTGAAGCTTTGAGTGAACGAGGATCTAGTGAGATTGAAATACACTGGGCCATAGAAGCGCCCGCGGAATATCCCCGCCTACTTCCCCAGAAACCAATTTAGCATCGGTAACTCCAACCAATTCAAGGCATAAATATATACGGTCGTTTTCCCCTCGTATTGTTATATAAGAAGGCGACAGCAGCTCTGGAGCTTTTACTTGCATCTTTTTTTGTATCTACCGCCTGCGAAGATCTCCTCCAAAATGGGTTACCAAGTTGTCGGCATTGCGATTGCCGCTGTGATATATTTATTTGTTAAATACTTGAACCACACCGACACGCCCAAAATTAAGAACCTACCTGAGGTTCCTGGACTTCCTCTGTTTGGTTCTCTCCTTAAATTCGGCAGCGATCATGCTACAGCGGCATACAATTACTCGAAGACATATGGCCCGGTGTTCCAAGTCCGCCTAGGCAACAGGGTACGTTTAGTGTTCTCCGTTGAACTCTCAATTCCATGTGTTGGAATCTAACCTGCTTCAGAGAATTGTATTTGCCAATACCTTCGATTCTGTTCGCCACCTCTGGATCACGAACCAGTCGGCTCTCATCTCCCGCCCTACTCTTCACACCTTTCACACGGTCGTCTCCTCCTCGCAAGGTTTCACTGTCGGGACATCCCCGTGGGACGAGTCATGCAAAAACCGTCGCAAGGCTGCTGCCACTGCTCTAAACCGCCCAGCTGTCCAATCCTACATGCCAATTCTTGACCTCGAATGCAACGTATCCATCAAAGAAATCTTCCAGGATTCCAAGGACGGCACTGTCGATATTGATCCCATTGCATACTTCCAGAGATTTGCCCTGAACACAAGTTTGACACTCAACTATGGCTCAAGAATTGACGGGAAAATCGACGATGAACTGCTGCAAGAGATTTGTCACGTTGAGAGAGTCGTGAGCAACTTCAGAAGTACTAGCAACAACTGGCAGGACTACATTCCGCTTATGAGGTTGTGGCCAAGCAGCAGCAAGGGACCGAAAGAGTACAGAGAGCGCAGAGACAAGTACTTGAGCTTTTTACTGGCTAGGCTCAAGGGCGAGATCGAAAGAGGAGTTGATAAGCCTTGCATTACTGGCAACGTAAGTTTAGAACCACCAACCACGAAACGTTTGGAATATTACTAACATTACGATGACAGATTCTCAAAGACCCGGAAGCGAAGCTTAGCACAGACGAGATCAAGTCAATCTGTCTTACCATGGTCTCTGCAGGTCTCGATACCGTGCCAGGGAACTTGATTATGGGAATCGCATACCTCTCGTCACCTCACGGCCAAGAAATCCAAAAACGTGCCTACGACGAAATTATGAAAGTATACCCCGATGGAGATGCCTGGGAGAAGTGTATTTTGGAGGAGAAGGTATCCTATGTCACCGCCTTCGTTCGTGAGGTGCTTCGCTTCTTCATCGTCATTCCCATCTGCCTGCCACGAACGAGCATCAAGGACATCAAGTACGAAAATGCAGTCATCCCTGCCGGAACAACCTTCTACATGAACGCATGGGCCGCAGACTATGATGCGACTCATTTCAAGAGTCCCCAGGAATTCTCCGTTGAGCGCTATCTCGACAATCTGGAGGGTTCCGGTGGCACTCCTCACTTTGCCTACGGTGCTGGATCTCGTATGTGCGCTGGCTCGCACCTTGCCAACCGCGAATTATACGTCGCGTTTGTCCGCATGATAATGGCTTTCCACATTGATCCGGCTCAGAAGCCAGAGGATCTTCCTATCCTGGATGCGTTGGGATGCAACGCTATTCCAACGTCTCTGACAACTGAACCAAAGCCATTTAAGTGTGGTTTCCGCGCCAGGGACTCAGAATCACTCAAGCAGTGGATCCAAGAGAGCGAAGATAAGACGAGACACTTGTCTACCTGATGATTGGGGCATGATAAAGGAGTTGGGGGGATGTTTTCCAAACTGCCCGTTCGGTGGCAACGTTTCCAGAAGATTTGCAGTTACAGTGTTGAGGGAATTTCATGTCGAGTCACGGCCTCGACACTCCTTTTCACAGTAGGCTCAAATACTTATACCCTGGGTGTGCAGTTAAATGTAAATAGACCGTTACTGTTATGGGTTGAATAAGCAAAAATTATCTTAATCTGAGGTCTTTATGTTGTCTTCGCATACTCTACGCGCAAATATTCATACATTCAATTCAGTCTTTGTATTAATTCGAGGCTGACAACTTTGAACTGGTTGTTAATGCGGTTTTTATAATGGGCCTATAATTTCTTTTGCGCCAAGCTACCCCAGTATTTTAGTCCCACCCCCAGGTGTAGATCCCAACACTCCTCCGCCTTTCTTCGGGCCAAAGGTCCCGCTCGGGTTCCCGTCTCCAAACAACACCATTTGTCTGTCCGACGCCTCAATCACCCATGATGCGCTCGTGAGCATGCAAAATATTCTCGAGACCCAAGTCAGCGACCTGTCGAGCCTAGTCGACTCTCCCCTCCCGCTCCCCCTCGTCGCTGGTTACGCCATGGCAGATCGACGGGGCACTGACAGTGCGGAAAGCCCAGCGCGGGACCAAGGAAAGCGGAAAAGCGACGACCTTGGACCCCAGAATGGTGGGCAACCTAGAGCAAAACGGAATCGCTATATTTCAATCGCATGGTAAGACCACACCTTATCGCGCGCCTATTCCGTGGCGCACTGGGTCTAATTTTGATTACCTTGCAATTCGAAATGCTGTGGAATGCAAGGGCTGAATGCGGAACTCCCGACTGACAGATCTGACAGCAACGAATGCAAGCGCCGCAAAATCAAATGCAATGGAAACTCACCTTGCCAACGGTGCGGGAACCTCAACCTCGAATGCCAGTATGCGCCTAACTGCTGCGCGAATGGGTTCAAGGACTCGGAGGAGTTCAAACAGATGAATGCGCATCTCTCGAGTCTGCAGGAACAGATCGATAACCTATACGCGAACCTCAATGCGTTGCGCAGCGGAGATATCGGCCCCAATAAGGGGTCGATGACAGGGTCGATGAGCCAGAGGAGCATACAGAGTACAAGCCCGGCTTTAACCTATCGCCCTCCTCCTCCCAAACATCCCCGATTCCAAGGACCGACAAGCTCCGCATTCAGTTTTGATGTCGCAAAGAACACTCTACAAAATATGGGATACCCGGGTCTAGAAGGCGGAGAAGATGGGAATGGGATGCAGGACGATACACCTGCAGGATCGCCGCCAATGAGACAGGCCGTTTTGCCATCGCATCCGTTTAAAGATCCGCTGTGGTCGATAACAAAAGAGGAGGCACTACGGCTATGCGTGGTGTACGAAGATGAAATATGCATCATGTATCCATTCTTGGACATGAACTGGGTTGCGCAAGTCGCTAATGCCCAATATCGGTTTATGGAAGAAGGTTCTCCGAAGAATGGGCAGAACCCCAATACCGAGTCGCCGAGTCCTGTCGCAGAGCAAGATTTGAACATTTTGAAGATGGTCCTGAGTATAGCGTCTGCCGTTGAATGCTCAGGCCAGAGCGAGTTTGCCAATCGGCTGTATGAGAACACAAAACGTGCTTCAGATAATATTATCCATACTGAGGGGGTTTCAATTAAGGATATACCCTTGGTAGTGCTTGTGGCAACTTATCACTTCCACTGTGATGAAGAGTATGTTAGTCCCGCCGCTTCTCGTGTCCACGTTACTAATTGATTACTAGAGCTCTTGCCTGGCGTGTAATTGGACAGGCCTCCAGAATGTGTGTTGAGCTTGGGCTGCATCGTCGAGACTCTTTGTTCAAGAATTTCCCAGATGAAGAAGGCCGTGCAAATGCCGTCAGGCTGTTCTGGTCAATCTACTGCCTCGATCGGCGATGGAGTTTTGGTACAGGCATGCCATTCGCTATGCAAGATGCGGATATTGACCCAAGCTTACCTGGGCCCGTGAGTTTCTGTCCTCTCCCTCACTCTGCTGCTCTCCTAACAACATCGCAGGAAGTCAAGATCCCTTATCTCAGTGTCATGATATCATATTCCCGTATTGGGTCGCGTGTCTGGCGCTCCGTGGCAGGTTTCGACAGCCTTGCCCCGACAGATATCAAGAAGGAAGACATCGGCTACCTCGACTACCAGATTTTGCAGTGGCAGAAGGCCATCCCTCCTGAGCTGCAACTCCCCACAAACGGTTCACCGCAATCTGTAAGCCGCGCAATGCATCGCCTGCAGGTCCTCCTATACGTACGTTGCAACCAGATGCGCATCCTGATCTATCGCCCCGTCCTGCACTCGGCAAACTCGATAATGGAGAACCTGTCATACGCGCAGACGGTTGTTGAATTGGCGAAAGATAGCATTCGCGCCCTTACCCACCTAAACCAAACGACGGATATCTACCGCGCACAACAACAGTGCTTCAACTACTTTCTCATCTCCGCACTAGCCGTCATCTTCCTCGCCTCCTGCCATGCCCCTGTGCAGTTCAGCGCCGTCTGCAAGGATGAATTCTACATGGCACTCGAGCTCGTTCGCGGCTTCAGCTCAAAATCATACGTCTCCAAGCGCCTCTGGCGCACCATAAAGGGTCTCAAAGAAGTAGGCCCAAAACTAGGACTGGAGCAGGAACAAGCACCTGTCGCCAGAGGAGGGTCGCTAGACGATCCCCATTCTAGCGCCGCGCTAGCGATGGCCGGATTGGCTGGCCATGAGATCTCTGGTATGCATGGGTTTATGGGCCAGGATGGCCGAGGGGGGAGTAATGGAGGAAACGGACACTCGGTGTCTGCGGTTGAGAATAGCCCTATCAATGGGTTTCAAATGAGTCACGAAATGACGAATCTTTTCGAGGCAGCGCTGGGGGCGGGGACGGGTCTTCATGGCGGATATCCTGGGCCTAGTCAGATGGATGATGGGGGGGTTAGTAGTGGAGAGAATATGGTTGGGATGGCGGGGGGAGCAAACGCTTTTGGGGGCGAGGATGAGCTCTACAGACAGCTGAGAGATCTATTTTAATTACCGCAGGCGAATTTAAATAGGATGGAAGGGCAAAATGGAAAAACTTCGTTAAATACCAGATACCAGGCCGGAAGGCGGTTGGGCGGCAATCCCCCGTTCATAGGGTAAATAATCTATGGCAATTAGAATACTACACTTATGGATATGTGTTTGCACGAGTATCGGAGCTTTTTATAAAAACTGTGCTGGGTAGTAGTAATGATATTTATAGAATAAAGCCACTTGCTGAGGCTGCAGAATTTAGCGGGGCGCGGCTGTAACCTCGTGGATGACTTTTTAATTTGTGTGCTACGTCTAAAATCAATGCTCTCCCCCTTCTATCATTTTGACCTCGGTAGTCTCTGATAATCACCGACTACTACAGAATCTAATACCCCCTTTTAAATTAGGGATGGCCGCTCTCAATGCCATTAGATTATTACCCCAAGCCCTAGAGCCACGAGATATAATCGCCTTCATATCACCCTCCAGCCGACTAAACCACGTCTTCCCCTCGCGGGTTTCTCGCGCGCAGACATTCCTAGAAAGCCTAGGGTACCGCATCAAGATATTCTTCTCCGACCCAATGCCCTTGACCTTCCACGAGACAGTTCTCCACCGCTGCAACGAGATCCATTCCGCATTCCGCGACCCAGAGGTCAAAGCCATAATCTGCACCATCGGTGGCCCCTCTGCCAATGAGCTCCTCCCGCATCTGGACTATGACCTTATTAAAAAGAACCCAAAGATTTTCTGCGGATATTCGGACATCACGCTGCTCCACCATGCTATCTTTACCCAGACGGGGCTGCAGACGTTCTATGGCCCTGCTGCCATCACGCAGTTTGGGGAATTTCCTAAGCCGCTCGATTTTACACTAAACCACTTTTTTAAGGTGCTTCAGAGTGTAGGAGAGCCAGTTGGTGTTCTGCCCCGCTCGATTGAGTGGACGGAGGAGTTTCGTGACTGGGGTAATGGAGACGATGAGCTGCGGCCCAGACATATGTATGTATAACTTCGGTGTTAAGTCACCGTCTTTCCTCATGCCATTCCATCGGGGTTTAGCTAATTTGAGATCTTAGGACCCCATCCACGGGTTGGGAGTGGCTCCGACCAGGCCAAGCTACAGGCCGCCTCTTCGGCGGATGTCTTCCCTCTATTCTGCAGCTTGCGGGGACAAAGTATTTCCCCTCTTACCAAGGTCGGATCCTCATCCTCGAGAACCCTGAAGGAGAGACCCCCAACGGCCCCCTGCCGTACGAGCAGACTCGCTCACTAATGGCCGACCTCGTCAACTTGGGGATTTTCAAGCAAATCAGTGGATTGGTCGTTGGTAGACCTTTCAAGTACGACGAGGAACAGAAGAAGGGGTTCAAGCAGATGATCTTGGACCAGTGTCACGGCACAGACTTTCCTATCCTGTTTAATGTTGATATCGGTCACACAGATCCTATCCTCACGATTCCTTTGAATGCATTGGCGAGCTTAGATTCCACGAGGAACAAGTTTGCTGTTTTAGAAGCCGCTGTAGTGGAGAGTCCACCATGAGCTGTAAACATACAAGAAGTAATATATTAATGCTAATGATGCTGGTGGATTTTCCAACACAAAAATGCTCGCACAAGCTAAGAGCTTTAGCTAAAGCAGCTTGGAATGTGATGCGAATAAGACCGGGAGGTTAACGCATCCTCATGGCCACGGGCTCGCGATGATTAAGACGACATCCCGGGATCCGCAATGAGAGAGGTCGTCCGAGAAGTCTTCCAACGGGTCGTTCAACAAGTTGTTCAACTCGTTCAACTTGTTCAACAGCAATACCAGTCTTCGCGGTATCATCGCTAAAGAACGACATTTCCGACTCCAACGCAGCTGCCAACTGCGCAACCGCCTCAGCCTCCGACTCCACCTCCACAACCCGGAGCATATGCTTTGTCGTAAACAACTTCCAACCGTTCACTCCCCATCCGGGGAGCTTCACCCGCTGATACACACAGGTGACGATATCGTGAGAGACGAATGGGCTAGCGGTACGCTGGACTGGGGCGGTGCGTGTGGGGGACACTGATTTGCGGATGCCGCCGGAGTTCCGTTTGGATTTATTGGATGCCTTGAGAGATGGCATGGTGACGACGATGTGTCAGCTTTCTTGGACGAGGGATGGTCGGGATGAGAACTCTCGGGCGAGAATTTCTTTGGTCTATTGTAGTTTCCTGTCTTGCCATTAGACGTTACTTTGGAAACTGGTTTGGATGGGAATATGAGAACACCAACCTTATATAATATTGGTTGAAGACTAGAGTTTGAAAAACAGAAGCCGAACAGCAGCTGTAGTGATCTTAGAGCTTCGTATATAGATTGGCGAAGAATAATATTGGCAGTTTTGTCCAAAAGTGCTTTCGAGGTGATGTGTGAGAAAGAGAGGAAGGGTGAGATGGGAGGGCGGCCCATAGCATCCCCGGACATTTTCAAAATGACCGACAGAAAACGTATGGTAAATGGCTAGTGTTACCATGGCCGCACCTGATTGATCGATCAAGCTTTCAACTGGACCAGCCGGAAATAGAGTTCATTAGTGCGTGCTATGTCTCCTGTCACTCGTTCCTGAAGTCCAATCTTGGTAGGGAGCTTCGTCTGGAGTCATTGTTTAGACTCGTTGACGACGGCATGGTTGGACAACAATGAAGTCAAAGTGGGATATTGACGAAGAAGACCGAAGGGAGAAAGTGAATATGATAGAATGACCTCGATTGAAGAAAGAGATAAAGCGTATGGCAATGGATATATGAAGATAGCCTCCCCTTTGATGTAACGATGTATATAAGAACAGCATGTACGACTCGATCGAGCCTTTCAGTTGAATCATTTTGGATACAGTGACTGCTCACTAGCAAACTCAAACTGAGTCCAAAAGAACCATGCACTCGGAAGGTCCTCTGAAAAAGAAGTATGACCGAAAATGTGTGCCAGTCCGGAGAGTATCATCCTGGGAGCGTGAGCAAATTGAGAAGCGGCAGAAGCACCTGAAAAACTTTAAGGGGGTGAAGTGGCAGAAACTACACCGCGAGGATGAGCTGCGAAAAGCAAAAGCAAAGGCCGATGGTATACGGTATGTGAGGTTGTCTTCAGTACGTTCCGCGTCAATTGCACCGAGCAGGGTATCGCGGGTAGCGGCAAGGAGACCTCGAAGCGTCAGATTCACTGCCGCCAGGAAGGTACAGAACCCAATGCCCGAGTGATGTTGAGGTGAATTAACAGCAACTGACAGAAGAACCCCCACAAACCACGCGGACACTTGACATACCAGCCTACAAATACTCGCACGTATAACGAAAACGAAATAGCCCATTCCACTTACCGCCGTGCCCTGAAAAGATACAGGTATCGACGCGAGCCACCACCACCTACGCCTATAACCATACAAAACCTCCGGATATTCACCATGGAAGAGGCGAAAAAGAGGAAAGAAGAGCAAGGTGGTTTTGAAAAAAGAATATTCGACACAATTTTTAAAATAATCGAGGACGACCCAGCCAGCAAGTTCTTGCGCATGCAAGTCCGCTGCATTGAGCAGCTGCGAGAGAAATCACCACCGCGGCAGACCGACCCGACCCTCCTCCGCGCTGAAAAACAGTTGTTTCAACTAATCAAGGACCACGGGTATATAAGTGACGTTAAATTGCAAGCTAGGACGGTGAAGCGCTTGCAGTGTAAGTCCCCCCTTCGCCTTGTCTCGGCCCGATTTACTGACTTCCCTCCAGCAGCCGCCGCCAGAGCCAGAGCCGACGCCTCTGAACAAAGCAAGCCGGTCCAACCGGAGCACAGACGGGAAGCCGCAGGCCCCCCCCCAGCTCCCGATCCGGCCGACAAAGACGCCCCCGAAGGCAGCGAGCCGGGTGATCGCGAGCATGTCCGCGCTCGGGAAACAGCGGGCCCTGCTGCCGCTCTTGCCGCTCCAGTTCCAGCGGATGAAGACGTCCGCGAACGCTCCAGGCCGATTAAAGCCGAGCATGGAGACCGACAGGAGAGCAGACGGGCAAAGACACCGCCTGCTGCCAGCGCCCGCCACAAACACTTCCTAAAATTGGAAGCATCTGAATCATCCCTTGCTGACCTTTACGACCTACCTTCACCTCCTCGCCAGGTTAGACACCTTGTTCTAGCGCCAACACCTGACTATATCTTGAGGGAGGAGAAGAAGAATGAAGAACCTCTTGATACAAACACGAGCCAGAGAAAATTCCCCAGATCTACGGGGTCTGCGTCCTCCGTTGGCGGCCCCTTGGATTCACCCTCACCGCCTCGCCACGCGAGAGAGCCCGCTCTAGCGCCAAAACCAGACTATATATTGAGGCAGGAGGACAAGCGGAATGAAGAATCTCTTGATTCAAACACAAACCAGAGAAAATTCCCCAGATTTACGGGGTCTGCGTCCTCCGTTGGCGGCCCGTTGGATCCACAATCGCCTCGCAACACTACACGGCCCGTCCCAGGACCCAAAGCCGCCCCTATCCAGAGGCGTGAGAACAAGCGCCATGGGGAACCGCTTGATCCCGACACGAGCCGCAAGCTACCCCCGAAACCACAAACCTCCGCGTTCTCAGTCGGTGATCCCCTGGATCCACCGCCATCTGTACACCACGCTAGACAGACGCCTCCCGCGCCCACACCCTCCCAAGTCTACCAACAAAGGGACACCCAGACAGGAGTTCCCCTCCATATCAACACCCTTTATAAACCCCCACCGAAATCGATCGCTTCGGCATCTTCCATCGGCGACCGCTTCGACCTCACCTCGCCATCACACCGCGCCAAGCAATCTACCATTGCCCCCCAGCCCCCTCAAGGCCAGCGACAAAAAAGCAAGCAACCAGTTGTACCAATTGACGCCGGCACGCGCCACAAGTCGCCCCCGAAATTAGTCGACCCCGCGCCTTCCATCGGCGACCCCCAAGATGCCCCCCCACCGTCCCAGCGCGCCAAAACCCCCATTCCAGCACTCAAGCCTTCCCGCCTCCCCCAAGAAGAAACCGCGCGACCGAGCACAGCACCCGAAGCCAGCGCTCGCCCCAGCAAACGGCCCGACTCCCGCGCCTCATCCACTTCCATCGGCTCGCGCTTCGATCTTCCCACTCAACCGCCGCGCGGACCGCAAGCCCCTGCATCCAGCCAACCACAACGCGGCAGACAGCCCATTGCAGCACTGAAACCTTCTCCCCTCCACCGAGAGGAAACCGCCCGCCCAAGCACAGCACCCGAAGCTAGCGCCCCCGCCAACAAACGGCCTCAATCCAGCGCATCCAATTCTTCCATCGGCTCCCGCTTCGCCCCCTCCCCACCTCCCCGCGCCAGGCAGCCTGCGCCCCTACCCAGACCCTCCCCACTGCACCGGCAAGAAACAGCGCGCCCAAGCACAGCCCCTGAATCCGGCGCTGCGACAAACAAACGGCCCCGGTCCAGCGTTTCCGTCTCCTCACACGCATCCACCTTCGCCCCTCCCCGCTCGCCCTCCCGCGGCAGACAACGCGAGCGCAGTATCCCCCCTCCACTACCAAAACGCCGTCGTCGTCGTCGCGGTGATGGCGACGATGCAGCAACCCCACAAAGTCCAGACCGCTGCTACCCTTCCTCCGACTCGCCCTCCCCCCCACCCCCCCGCGAACCCCGCATCCCACCCCGCCCGCGCTTCAAACCCATGAAATCCATAACAGACAAAGAAGACAAAGCCTCCCGCGCCATCATGCACCCGGCCTCCAAACCTCTAGCGAAACTCTCTGATGCGGCGAAGGTGACGAGTGATTTCGCGACGCTGGGACGGACACAGAAGCCGCATCCGAGTTTTTTGAAGGCGAAGGTTAATGCTAATTATAAGCATGTTAGGCATGTTAATAGAGCCGGGGGGAGGAGGAGGGAGGTGGTGGAGGTGCCGAGGAGTTTGTGGGATAGTGTTGGGATGCCGCCGGGTGGGCCTGGTGGGCAGGGGTTGGGGGGATTGGGAGGAGGAGGGGGTGGCGGTGGTGGAGGGCGGAGGGACGGGGGCGGGACCGGTGCAAGTTCGGTCGCTGAGAGGAAGCGGGGTGGCAGCTGGTGGTGGTGTGAGCAGGGAGAGGGATAGGGTTGTGCAGTGGATTAATCAGGAGTTTGGTCCGGGTGGTGGAGAGGAGGGTGGTGGTGGTGTGTTGTGATATTGTATCACTGCTCGCGCGGCGTTTGATGGGGTTATGTGCTACAACCCGAAGAAGAAGAAGGGCTGGCTGGTTGGTTTGCTGTATGGATACCACATTGAAGTTGCTGAGGCTGCGAGAACTGAGAGCTGCGGGTGACGGCGTTGATATTGCTGAAGCTGATATTGGGCAAGAATGTTTTGGGTTCTACCTACCTACCTAGCTGGCACGTTACAACTTGCAACTTGCACCTTGCATTTGCCTCGCGCTGGAGAAATACGATGGGACGCATATAGATACGCAGCTTTTTATCTCTCAGTTGGCTCCTTACATAGCCGTATGCAAGATACCATCTTATCATCCAATCATCACCATATTTGTGATTTTCGATTGTTTTCGCGTTTGTTGTGTTTACATCTCGCACTGGTTTTGTGCTCTAAAGTCAAACATAACATTTGATTTTCCGATCCATGGAATCGTATGTGTGTAGTAGCAGCGTTTCGTTTTGCCGCCGTAAATGTTGGCGTCGCAAGTGAGAGAGCGAGGTTGGACGTCGTCCAAACCACCATAACAAATCCCTTGGCGCGATATCAGTCAGAAAGGTCACGTGCACACGTCAATTCTACACGAAGTTATGCCTGCCTACTGGGTGATTCGAAGGCCAGGAGAATCACCGGAATACTGTTCATATAGCAAAATTCTATACTGACAAGTTGCAAAATCCATATCTAACCCACGAACACCTCTATCAAACATCGTGGGGAAGCTATGGATACTCGTACAGGGATAAGCTCACTAGAGACGCACATGTGGAGCCACACAAATTTCTCACAACGACGACAACGATAACACTCACTCACTCACCCCCTCACAAATCACAAGTCACACAATCACCATCACCCCGAAAAAAACCCAAAATTCTCAAAAGAGGAGAGAGACTTCAATTAATCAGCTCGACTGTCCTAGCTAGTACAAGTGTAAAAAAAGGAAAGAGAAAGTAAGTTTGTGTTGTGTTGTGTGAGTAGTACCAGCTAAACAGGCCAGTCAAGAGCCTTTCATCACTCTTTCATTTCCATCTCCATAATCATCATCAAAAACCCAGTGCAAGTGCAAGTACTCAAGCCAGCTCAGCCAGCCCAGCGCAAGCAAAGTATTCCCATCGTATCATCAATACCTCGTTCGTTCCCAACGAACCGAGGTCTTCGAGATGTATCACACCAGCCGCCTCCGCTAGGGATCGGGGGGGGGATAGAGAGCTCGGAATCAGAAGGGGGGTAATTTACTCCTCTTCACCATCCTTGGCCTTCTTCTTGGACTTCTTGGTCATGGGTGCGGCGCCCTCCTTCTTGCAGTGCACGATTAAGCGGGTCCAGGACTCTTCTTTGTCCCATTCGAAGCCAGCGAGGACGGGGTTTTCGAGTTCGTCATCCTCCTGTTGGGGTGTTGTTAGTTTGTTTTCTTTTATTTGAAATGATGAGGGGAGTGGGTGGGTGGATGGATGGATGGATATTCCGGATATCCGGGATGACCGGCAAGCACATACCTTCTTCCTGAACTGCTTGTAGATTGCATCTAATGCATCCTTGATGGTTACGCCCTTCAGGTTCCGTGCCGTTACCTCGAGTCCCAGTGGGAAGTGTAGGTCGATCTTCTTGACCGGTGGGGTGGTGAGGAATTTTTTTAAGTAGTCCTTGTCCTCCACAGTTGTGGGCGACTTGTTGATTCTCCTGTGATGGAAGAAGCATGGTTAGTCTATGTTGAGAAGGTTGATGATGGTATGTGTGGGCAAGGGCAGGTGTATGTATGCATGCAGTGCGGGGTAATGAGCGAGGCTCGACTTGACTTACCAGTTGAGCTTCTGGGTCTCCTTTGCAATGAGGAGTTCCGTGCCTTCCTTTTCTGTTTGTCGTTCATTGTCAGCACAGTTCATCACGATGTCAGAAGCCACGGATGGCGAGTTGAGGCTGGAGAAATGAATGATGGATGATGTGACGTACCTAAGTCATTGATGTTGAACACTCCAGCAGCCGTTGAGCTCATGCGGCGATGGCCCTTCTCCTTTGGCGGCGACGACGAGAGACCCTGGACGGCGGAGTCGACCTTCGTGAGGGGTACATTATCGATATCGGCCATGATGATGGATGGGTTTGATGGAACTGCTCTGGATTTGAGGCAGTTGCGTGGTTTTGATGGATAGTTGAAGACCCGCTGGGGAGTCAATGGATATCAAGGTGTGAAGGAGATGAAGTTGTATTTATAGGGTGAAGACAAGAAGACAAACAAACGTGAAGCTTGCTTGAGGATGGGTTTGAGGTTTTGAGGTTTGATGTTGAAGATGGATGGAATGAGGGGGATGGTAGAAGTGACGTTTATAGGATGCAGTTACGACGATTCAGGTACCTGACGTTGTGTGGATTGAGTTTGGTTTGATTGATTGAAGGTGTGTAATGTGATGTGTAAGGTTGGAAGTGGGAGGTTGGGAGGAGGAGATAGGTGGGAGGTAGGTGAGTGATGGAGAGTAGGAGGAGGGGGGGGAAGGAGCAGAAGAGGGGAAGGTGAGAGGGAGGGAAGAGGGGGTGTGATCTATGGGAAGGTAGGGGATTGGATTGGGGGAATTGGGAGGGGACTGTATGGGACTGTATGTGTGTCAGTGTCTCAAGGTGCCTGCCTGCCTGGTTTGCCTGGTTTGCCTGGTAATAACTGCCATAATTGGCATTCCACAGCCACTGATTGAGCAAGCACCCATAATCCATTCCATACATACGTACAGTTACTTATCTGTACCATACTTTGATATACTATACATACCGTACCCTGTACATCTGATTGGCGATTGATTGGCAAGTTTGCAGGTCTGGAGCGGGGGTTGCGTCCGGGTTGCGTCCAAGTCGCGTGAGCAAGGGAAGGAAGGAGGACGGAGCTTGCCGCATGTAGCTAGTTCATTACCTGAAATCCGGGGGAGATGTGGAGTCGTCAGAGCTTCGCTGCCGTCACTACTGCGATAGTAGCAAACAGTACCCACGTAAGACCCAGGATTGAGGGTGTGCGGTATCCACAGTAGCAACGACGAGTGATGAAGGGACGAGATTGATGAGAATGGGCAGTTTGGAGCAGATATGAGGGTATTTACAACTATATTGATACCGTCGATACTCGAATCTACTCTACGAACCTCTAAACTGCGCGAAGACGGCATCACTCCACGGTAACTTGACGCCCACTCACTCACTGGGTAACACCACCACCACCATCCCCCCCCGAGCGATCCAAAAGGCCCAGACCACTTGATTGGCTGGGTGTTCGCTCATCGCCGTCATTCCCGTATCACGCGTTATCAGCCAGCCAGTGTGACGACTGCACTGCCCGAAACCCCCTCTCTTTGTCACAGTACCTGCGTTCGTTGAGCAACGTAACGGAGGGAGGATGGTAGATGGTACGGATGGGTGGAGAGTACCTCGGTCGGGGGGGGTTGTGATGGTAATGTATGGGATGGGATAGGATGGGGATAGAAGGGGCGATGTCTCTGGGTTTACTGTTTACAGTAAGAGTGTTTAGGTGAAACATTGGTGATCACGGGACTGGGGTTGGTAGGTAGTGTGAGCAAGACGGCTTTGGTGACTCGAGAGCAACTACCTGATCCGGAGGGTTGTGGATAGGATAGCTTCATGGCGAGAGGGGTGTGAAATGCCATCCATCACTTCAAGTCTCATCACACCTCCGGTCTCGTACTACGCTACTTGTTACCCCGCAAGTCTTTACAGGAACATCTTGCTTACCTCATTCAAGTCTCGGAGTGAGGCCATTGACCTATGAAACTGATAGAGGTATCTCTTTCTTCACAGTGAGGCCTTTAATGGATGGAACTTACAGTGGATCCCTCACAGTGGGCTCAAGTATGAGGCCTTTGATATATGAAGCTGACAGTGGATTCCTCGCACAGACTCAAGAGTGAATGGGAACTCTGTACAAGCATACAGAACAAGAAACTCCAAGAATGAATAGAGATACTCTACGAGCATAGCATATCGAAATTGAGGTAGTTTTCTCAACAGACTCGAGAATGAATGATCATACTGCGCGACCATACAGAACAAGAGATTCAAGGATGAATAGGCATACTCCACGAGATCAGATAACAAGACTGATAGTAGATCCCTCTAAGGACTCGAGAATGAACGAGCATACTCTCCACGACCATACAGAACAACAGGCCCACGATTGAATGAGCATACTGCATGAGCATACTGAACAAGAAACTCAAGCATGATAAGACATACTACACAAGCATCAGACAACGAGACTAATAGTAGATCCCTCATAGTACTTGAGAATGAACGAGCATACTGCACGACCATCTAGAAAGAGACTCAATAACGAATAAACATAATGCACGAGCATACTACACGACCATACCGAACAAGGAATCCAAGAATGAACAAACATACTGGACAAGCATAATATAGCGAAGCTGAGAGCAGATCCCTCATAACAGCGGACTCAAGAATGAAGACATCCTGCATGACATACTAAAAGAACACAGCTTTTATTTCTATCCTCTCTTCTCACACCCTTCCCCCCAACACCTACGAATGCCCAACAATCCTCCTCGGCTGATACAACTCCTCCAAATACGCCTCCTCCTCCTCCGTCAACACCTTCCCCCTCCCCCCCAACGCCTCATCAATCCTCTTGACACTACTAAACCCCACAATCGGACTCGTCACCCTCTTCCCCACCCACGCCAACGCAACCTCACTACAAGTCCACCCCCTCTTCCCCGCCACCTCCGCCACCCTCTCCACAATCTTCCTATCCACCTCCCCAAGTTCATTCCCCTTACTCCTCTCCGTCCCCCCTTGCTCCTCCGGCTTCCTCGCCAGCGCGCCCCCCGCCAGCGGCGCCCAGGGAATCAAGCCCACGCCCGTCTCATTGCAGAACCGGATCATCTCACGTTCTTCCTCGCGGTAGAGGAGGTTATAGTGATTCTGCATGCTCACGAACTTCGTCCACCCTTTTTGCTCGGCTACGAACTGCATGCGTGCGAATTGAGTGGCCCACATGCTGCTGGCGCCGATGTAGCGGACTTTACCGGACTTGACGAGGTCGTGGAGGGCTTCCATTGTTTCTTCGATTGGCACGCTAGCATCAAAACGATGAATCTGGAGTAAATCCACATACGGCGTATCCAGTCTCCTCAAACTCTCATCCAGCGCCTTGAAGATCGCAGACCGCGAAAGACCGTGGTTGTTAACGTAATCCTTGTTAGCCTTCAACAGCTTGCTATCGAGCAGCGCGCCGCGGTCGCTGAGGGACTCCATGACCGCGCCGTTGAGCTTGGTGAGGATCACGAGCTTGGAGCGCGGGATGGAGTATTTCTTGATTGCTTTCCCGATTATCTCCTCTGAGACGCCGTTGGAGTATACGTTCGCGGTGTCCCATGTGTTCAGACCCCGATCGTAAGCTGCTTTGAGGAGGGGGAGGGCCTAGTAGGGGGGTTAGCTTGGTTCATCGTTGCTATGCTTGCTTGACTTGTCCGATGCGGGGGGGTGGTGGTGATGGTGCAAGGGAATCGGGGATTGCGTGCTCACAGCGAACGGAATGGATTGGAAATATTAAAATCGAGAAGGGAAGTGGAAGTGTGAGAGAAAAAAAACGGGAAAGTAAACACACCTCATCCTCCTCAATAACCCACGGCAGCGTCTCACGGCTTCCAAAACTCATAGCCCCCAGAATCGGGACGGAGACTCTGAGCCCGCTCTTCCCCAGATTCACATACTCGGCTTTACTGCTCTCCAGCCCCGCTGTGAACTCTTTTGAAGGTGTTGCCATTTTATCGAATTGCTGTTTAGTCGCTCGTTTTCTTGTCTCTTGATTCTCCCAGTTCAATTCAATGTCTTTGAAATAAGAAAGCTTTGAAGAATAGTTAACACGATACGAGTGAGTTTATATATATACATCCTCCAAACAAAGCTCCACTATCGCACCTCCCACCCCCAAACCCCCACTTCAACCCCTCCATCATACCTCGCGTCCCACACTGAATTAAACCCCACCAATCCCATTACGCCATCGCGGACAACCAGCGCGCCGTAACCCCGACACCACACTTATCCCGGCACATCCCCCATCCCCCTCATCGCCCCCAATACAGATAACCACAGTGGATACATAACTCCCTGCTTTGTCATCTCGGCGTTAGTACATCCCGTCTTCGTTCGAATGCAGTATTACGACATCGAGGATACACTGCGAGATGGTGAGATGGAGAAACTTATCAAGCAATCCGCTGGACTAATGCTGAAGGGGTAGCGGCGTGAGTAAGGCAGGTCCCGGTTTTGTGGAGGGGTCGGATTTAATAGGATTTAAGAAGCCCTTGTTGCCGTTCGTTGCCATTTTGTTGGAGATGGCGGCTGGGTGTGAGTCAATGGGGGTTTGCGCGGGCGGAGAATTGAGGTGGAATAATTGCCGGGTTGGGAAGGTAAGTTGGTGGTTTTCCTTTTCTCCTGTCTCGGAATATTTTTTTGATGAATGTTTGGGGGGGGGAAAATAGGGATGTTTGTATTTTCGTTGTTTATTGATTTTTGGTATTTTCTTATGTTCATAAATGCATTATTATCGTAAAAATCATCTCTCATCCAATGCCACCTCCACCCTAACCTCTCGCTCATGAAAATGCCATCATGCTAACCCATTCATCAACACCCTCTTTCACCCAATGCGACCCCCTCTTGCCCTTCTGTTCACGAAAATGCCATCTTGCCCCTCTATCCCCTTCCCCCTCCCTTCCTCCTCCTCCCCAACCTCACCTCCCCCGCCCCCTCCTCCTCCTCCCCCTCAAACCTCTCATTCCCTACCATAACAACCTTAACCATATTCCCAAACCCCACCACCACACTCCTCCTCCCCACCCCCACCACCTTCTCAACACCCATCACAAACAGCTGCTCCCCCCTCCCCCCTTCTCCAGCAAGATCAACACTATGCCTCTCCCCCCTCGCCTCCAGCGTCCACGCCTCCCACCCATCCGTCTCCTCTCCCCTCAGACCGCGCGGCGTGCCAGCGCGACGATGGCGGAGGCCTGATGCACTACTGCTCCGGGATGGGGAGTCGGAGGAGGATGAGCGGCGAGAGGCGCGGTGTTTGGTTACGCCTACGATGGCGCCACAGGGGAGGGCCTGCCAGGCGCCGTTGTGGGGGACTTTATGTACGGTCAGGGTGGCGGATGACCAGGTGTTGCAAGGTGGATTGCTAGACGGCTGCGAGGGCGCGGTGCAGATGAGATCGCCGTCTTGGGAAGGGGAGTAAGTATGTAGAACCGGATTACCAGTCGAGCGACTATTATACGCCAAGGAGAAAGACGCGAGCCCGTTGTGCCCGCAGAAGGCGTGGCGTTTGACGGAGTGGAAGCATTGGAGGGATTGGGGTCGAGCGTCGAGGTCGGTGAAGGTGTGGAGGGTGGATTGGGTGGGGAGGTGGAGCAGGGTTGCGGTGGTGTCGGTGATGGCTAGGAGGAGGTTGAGTTTGGGGAGGGGGAGGATGGCTTTGATTTTTTGGGTGGAGGGGGGGAAGAGTGTGATGGTGGTAGAGTCCCATTTGTCGTCGAGCTGGGAGGCGAGGTAGATAGTGCCTTTAGTAGTGAGTACGACGATGTGGAGAGAGGGTTCTGTCTCTGTGGTAGTAGCTAAGGCGTGTCAGCTGGTGATTCTAACAGAAATGTAATCTCTCATACGAGATGAAGATAAAACTTACGTTTTGCCACAAACTGTTTGGCGGAGGAAATCAGACCCTCCCATGGCTTCAATTCAACGATCTGATTCGCAGACTCACGATGGAAGTTAACCTCTATCAATGACCCGCTCGTCCAGACAATCAGCAAAGAAGCAATCGCTCCAGGCTTTGGAGATTTGAATGAGAACAAAGGAGGCGCTCGAGTCTCTGTTCCAATAATACCAGATGGCCCCCATTGCTTCTCGTTGATATTCCACAGCATCAATCGCCCAGTCACAGAAAGAAGCGCAACCCATTCTGCTTGCTCATCGATTGCCATAGCAAGGATCGGAAATGGGTACAGTTCATTCGTAGTAGGCGATATATAGTGACTCCGATCATTTTGTTGTAGATCCCAGACCCTAATGCGCCGATCTAGCCCAACAGAAACAACCACACCGTCTGGCGAGGCAGAAAGCATGACAACATCAAGATCATGGCCTGGAGTCAGTGTGGTAACTGTCATCAACGGATCCTCCTTATGAATCGTGCCATCGTCATCATGACTCGTATCCTCCTCGTTCCAGAGGAGATAATTCATGAGCAGAGAAACGGCAGCAACAACTATCAGAACGCTCACAACAAATACAGTTGACTGATTCCTGGCAAAGTCGTAAGCAGCGGGTAGGAACCTTCGGACACCTGCCTTGGTTGGTGTTCGGTCTGACGAGTCAAGCACAAATACCAAGGGGTCGTAGACGCGAGCAATGTAGCTATGCGTATCTGGCTTGATAACGTGAATGACTTCCCGGGCGGTCTCATGATCCTGCATTCGAAGCCAGGCCGTTGGAGACCTCGCTTGGTTGATATCGACAGATAGCTGCGAGACAGGAGGAGGTGATGATAATTGATGATCTGGGCGAACGAATTGCAACGCTCGTGATAGCGTCCGAAGCGGGGATTCGTTGTCGAAGAAGTGACCTTGTAAAACCAAGATGAAGCAGACCATTACAATGGTTCCAGCGATGCGTGTAGAAATCGGAGTCTTGCCGCTGAGAACGGCATTCACCCATGCATTGTGCCTCTTCGGCTTTGCAGCACCGAGTTTTTTGCGTTGGGATTTCACGGTTTCCAAGGAGTCGCTCAGCTCCGTCCTTCGGACATCGACGCTCAGGACGGCCACGAAGAAGGTAAGTAGCAGGACAAAATCAAAGATCAAGGCAACTGCTGCAAAGATGCAGAAGGCGGCAACACCAGGCGCGACGACTTTAGACAGGAGGTATAGGATCAGCAAATCCTGGCCGACGCCAGCCAACGCAATAGGGCCTGCCTGGCCAAGGGCCTCGGCGATTCTTGATGATGTCTTGCTCTGGGACGGAGTTATAATAACAGCGTTTACGAGACGGAACATGTTCTCCAACCCAACCGCCACGACAACGAAGGGATATACCTCTCGAGGGATTCTTGAGACATCAATCTTCAGGATGGCGCAAATTGTGAAGCTTCCCATGATAGATATGACCGTTTGCGCGACGACAGTGAGCATCAAACCGAAGCGGGACTTGAGCGCTCGCAGCTTCGTCAGGCTTAGCAAGAAGTAGATTACTGTAATGCTATACGCGATTGCAAGGAATATATCATCTTGAACCGACAGTGGTTGGAACTTGAACTCATAAACTTGGCTATTGTTTACGCGTCCATCGCGTGGATACATGCGCCACGGGCTTGTCGATGACTGTGCCAATGCTTGGGCCTGCCTCTCCCATTGCCGGCCAACAGGAGAGTCTAGCTTGTGGACCAAGGTTATGACCAGAGCATCAGCAGCTACCAGGCGGTGGTCTTCGAAGCGCTTGCCACTAAACACAATCGAGTGTCTGAGAGTCACATTGACTGACGTGGAGCGCTGTGAACTTTCATTAATTGTAGAAACGATGTCATCATCTTCGGCGATGGCTTCTGGAGAGCAGGACCAGTACAGAAGCGGGGAGTGAAAGAACCACGACTGCTCACTGAGACCATTGATAGCATGAAAGGAGTCTCGCATTTCTAAGCTGAGGGGCGTATCATGGCCCACAGGCTTTCCGAGCCCAGCGGATAGCTTGGGATTGAAGTTGATCGTTTGCCCCAGCAATGCATCCTGGATCTCCAGTCCAGCTAGTAGCACATCCCGTCCCAGCGCTTTCATATAGCTCCCGTGGACCCATATAGATCTCATGACAACATCTGGTTCGGTGCCCATGTTCTCCTGTACTGGTTGCGCAGCGGTCCAAACATGGTGGGGTAAGTTCGAGGCGCCATTTGTGAAGTTGTTCGTGTAGAGAAATGGAAATGGGTATATTAAACATGTCGCTAATGCTACTGATATCAATATCGTAATGACTGGGTGTCGAGAAGCTTCTCGTCCATATCGTGTGAAACTGCGCCGAAGGGGATGTGCGGGGCTAAGACTCGGAGGTTCAGTCGTCCTGATATAAGTGTTAGGTTCCAAACAATAGCATGCAGTTTGCTTGGGATGTAGTGCTCACCCTCTGAACGGGTATAGGAAGTACCAGATCATCGCAGCAGGCGCGTTACGCCGGTGGTGCTGAGAGGCTGCGTTCAGCCAGTCGGCCAGCAAACAGGTAGATGCCCGATTTCATGGAGGCAAGGGTTTTGTCTTCGAAGATATCCACCTTACAGCCAAAGTAACAAGTGGATATTCGTCACAAATGTTATTGGAGAGTTTGGGCTCCTGCCATGGTAAAATTTACTTCGAGGGTAGTGGACAATTCAAGGGGTTGATATGTGTGCGTTGTCTTGACATATTGTCTTGCCTTCATGTCTTACTTTCATGCCGCCGATAAAGCATCTCGGCTAGCTTATCTAGCCTCGGCGGCAGATAGCGCCTGGTAGTGCCCGCCATCACATAAGGTTCGAGAACGACCGAGTACTACAGTATCACAAAAAAACCTCATCTATGAAGAATATGTGATCCAGCTTATCGGTGTATCGGCCATTGTCCTAAGTGATATGCCGCTTGCCAGACACCGCATTGATCGTCGGTGAGCGCCGTAAACCCTTCTGGGCCTGTTACTAACAAATGGGACCCGATTCTGGGATTGTTAAAAAGGATGACATTTGGATTGTTTTCGACAGTGTATTTTTGCACACTGCCTCAGGTCTCGATAGGCCGCCGAAGAGCATCAGAGCCCTAGTTTTGCCCTCCTATCTGATCCATAGTGCACGGCTCGACTTCAATATTGACGAGATCCGTGCCTTAATCTATCGACGGCAGGGCTTTCAGGCACGAGCCTCCTCTGTAAGGCTACAGGAGAATGATTTACAACAGGCATCCGAGAATTACTTCCGAAATTGCAAATTAACAGTGAGTCCGTGTTCTCCAGCAAACACACAGACATTCTCGGAGCTGATCCCTCCCGCACAGCCTGAATGAATCCTCCCAGTGTGCTGGAACAGTTTCATGGGCGGCGGACGGACTCGCTCCGCGCGGCCTGCTTATTCTACGAGACATTCAGAGCGCAGTGTCTAGCGTAAGTTCAAGCCACCGCTGTGTTATACCCCTAAATGCCGAATGCGACCCTGAATTCGCCATCCGACGAAAACACTCGCATAAAATCGGCACGGACGGGTAAAAGCAACATCGTCCCCAAGAATCCCATCCCGCGCGCCCTGGCGACCCGATCCCACGCCATCATTAAAAAACGCCTTTAGCCAGTTTATCCCCTCGCCGTCCATTCCCCAAACGGGTCCAGGGGCAATCTTAACAACCACCTAAATCAGGAAACAATTACACCACGCACGCGAGAGCGAGCGGGGCCCGTCGATCGCCAGAGACCAGGGCCTCGTCATTAAAGACCAAAAAATACTGCCCGGTGTCAGAGAGCGGGCGCCGTATCCCTAACCCTGCCGAGCTGTGATGACCTGAACCGCAGTGCTTCAAGCTTCTGCCCTTTGCATTGGAAAGGAGTGGATCAGCACCAGCAGTAGTGTCGGGGCGGTCCGTGCGAGTCGTCAACCCAACACCCAATTGCGAGCCTTGAGTTGCGGAATGGGTGGGTTTTGATGTGCGGGGGATGCGACGGGCTAGAAGAGGGGCTACTGTGCGTTCTGGAACTTGTGGGATTGGGGATTAGTCCCTGGAATGGGGCGGTAGTGGTGTGAAGAATTTCTCCGATAGGGTGCCTGGTGGGGATGGGGGTGCTGAAGGATTTTGTGGAGGCTGTTGGGGGAGGGATGCGTTCGAAACAACGCGTGTGCGGTAGGTGTGTAGCAGTTGCAGGTTCAAGGCTGGGGGCAAGTTTGGTGCATTTCAAAGGGGTGATCAAGACGAAGAAAAGAAAGGAGTATCGTGATCAATCAATTGAAGTAACATATCAAACACAGAGTTCAATGGAGAGGGTATCAATTTTCGTTAATAAGTAATTATATAGCTAGATAGACATTCTAGACACGCTCAACATTAACAATTTCGCCATTCGCCGCCAGTGCCACCTTCTTCTTCTCTAACGACGTCCTAACCGGCGTCGGCGAGCTGAAGATCTCATCCAGCTCCTCGAGCGTCCTGTTCTTCGTCTCCGGAATGAAAACATAGACGCACGTGGCCTGCACGGCGCACCAGATGCAAAACACAATGTACGTCTTCCAGCCGATGTTCTCCAGGGCGATCGGCCACGCAAATTGGTTGAGCAGGTTCGCTACGTTGACTGCCAGGCCCGAGAATGCCATGCCCTTTGCGCGCATCTCGAAGGATAGGACTTCGACGGGGAACAGGGCCTGAAGAGGGGTGAAACCGATGGAGTAGACTGAGCCGAAGAGGAAGATGAAGAAGAGCATGACATCTGCAGCGGCCTTGTTCTTTTCTCCTGACCCTTGGTAGATGCCGGAAGAAATGCACATTCCCGCCCAGACAAGACAGCACGCAATGTTGCCGAATAAGAGAAGCGGGCGTCGCCCGACGCGATCAACGAGGACGGCGCCTACAATGGCGAAAAAGAATTGCTGGAAATTGTTGGCGAGGTTGAGGTTCGCTTTGGGGATGGTTTCAGTGACACCCGCGGTGTCGAGTACGGCGGAAAGGAAATATGATAACACGGAATTGCCAGCCCACTGCCCAAAGACCGATATCATCACGTTGCATAGAAGACGATAGCGCGACGAGCGAGATCGGAAAAGAGCGCTGTAATCCCACCAGCGCTTGTCGGAACCGTCCATCTCGAGATACTCTTCGTACTCGCGTAGCTGAAGCGTGACCCATATACTATCCGGATTGCCTTCGCCGTGATATTTGGTCAGCATTCTTTTGGCTGCGTCGAACCTGCGATTGACGTAGAGCCACCTGGGAGATTCCGGGAGGAAGAACACTAGGATGACTATTATTCCAGAGAACAGGAGTTGTAACCACACCGGTATAGACCATGAAATCACCCCTGTGAGATTGTCTGCACCGCGAGCAGCTGAGCTGGCGACAATGGCGCCGGTAAACCTGAGCATTATTAGAATGCAGCCATACCAATTGTTCCAAAGGACTTACCAAAACGTGTTATACAAGGCCGTCACAACACCACGGTGGGCCGGGTGAGAAACTTCGACAACATACATAGGCCCAGCCGCAGACGCAATATTAACACCGAACCCGAGCAATACGCGACCAGCCATAAACTGAGCAACATTTGCATTCCCCGTTGTCAATCCCTGAATGATCGTACCGCAAACAACAATTATAGCACCGATAAACATGCCGACCCTACGCCCATAGCTATCCAGCGCCGGTCCAACAAATGGTAGCGACACCACACCACCAATCTGATACATGGCAGACACAAGCGCTTGCCATGGACCTGTCGCTTTTCCATGGAAATAATCGAGGAATTGCTGATTAATTGTGAGCGCGTTAAATAGGGAAGCATCATATCCGTTCATAGTCGAACAGAGGAATCCCAGCAAACAGCATAGGTAGAGCACCACCGAAACCCGCGAAAACGCACGTGGCGGCTCGAGGATGACGGCTTGGTTGAATGCTTCATTTCCGTTGATGACCTTTTCCTCAACTACACCCTTTGGGTTATCCTGTGATGTTAGTACCGGCTCTTGAATATTGCGAGTTCCCTGGCTCACCTGGTCTTCGTTGGTGGTAGATCGGGTGATGGGGTCGCCTCGGCTCTTGTCGTAGTAGTCGGTCATCTCCATATTGAGGTTGGCGCCGCTGGACGAGGAGCCCCGTCGGTTTGTAAACATGCAGCTTCCCCCCTACAACAGAACCGCTCTGTTGGCACAATCCGGAGATGCTAGAGACGAATATCTCGATTTTTTCGAAGTCGGCATGGCAAGCAAGCAGAGAGAAAAGTTTCTCCGGGGAGAGAGAGGGGATGGTGTACATACATACTTCCCAACCAACACTCACTAACGGGATGTTAACAGCTTCAAGGGTGGCGGGCCGTGTGCTCGCTCACCACACTTCGGCCACGCGAAGAGAGCTGCCTTTCCCCAAGTTTCACCCTTCTCCACCCCAAGCGCATTTTAATGCATGTAGATGTACGTACCCAAAGATAGTACAATATTGTAAACCTGGGCGGAGGCGTGGATTCCGCTGGGGGTTGGATGGAGGTCTCTGGAGTAAGCCACAGCAGGATTGGCCTGTGGTTGGCTCAGGGCATCCACACGAGTCTTATTATGTCCAAAGCAGCACGCTTTTGGCAGATGAGACAGACCAACACCGACTAAACCTAGCATCACAGTTGTGCATTCTCACTCGGTTCATGGCGGTAACAATTTCAGTGATCAGCACTTAGTGGTATGTGCCTACCATGCTCATTGGGTCAGTGGGCATCTGTGCGTTAGTCGAACAGTCGGCACATTTTGCGCGAAGGGGTTGATCTGCACTTTGATCTGCGCTGTTGGAAGGTCGCCTGCCAAATTCCGGGGCGACTTGTGCGAAGTACGCCAGCGGGATGAGTGTGTTGAGAGTGGTGGCTGCTTCATTTCGAAGTAAATGCGGGGGCTATACTGGGAAAGTGTCAACGTTGGCGTCCCAAGGAGAAGGGCACACTGGAGTGGACTTGCACCTGCAGTTTACACTGTAAATGTACGTCCAAGTACATCGGCTCGGCACCCCAGATTTTCATTCTGGATAATGGGCATGCGATGCCAAGCATCAAAGGTGAGTTGCCGAATTGCTCTATAAGGCCTAGCATCATGGAGCTGACCCTCCGGATAAATACTTCGCCCAGTCGGGATAAAGATGCAGCAGAGTGCGGACTGCACCGCAAAGGAGTCTGTGATCAAGTTCTGACCCTTGCAACCATGGGTATATGTGTAGAGTACGCGATGGACACAGGGTAACTTAGAGTATAGAGTGCTCTATAGAGTATGTAGGTATAAATAAATAAATATACTCTCGACATGGCCAATTTGAGAATCCCATCCTATCCATTGATATGTTTCCACTTCACCGCTTCACCACAAATGAAAAAAAGGATGTATAGTATAGAGAGTAAGGGAGTGAAACAAAGTCTCACGCGCGGGATAATGTCACGACGAGCCGCTCGCTCTCGCTCTCAGACCGCCTCTGGTTTCTCGGGTGCATCGTCGGCCCGAGCAAAAGGAATGTTGGTATAGACCGCTATTGGTGCTCTGGATGATGTGGCATATGTGACTTCTCCGCACGACGACCCTCCATACAATATTGCTCCGCCACGGCGCGCTACTCGTACAACGCTCGTATTCTGGCGTCTGCGGGGTTTGCATGGGGGGTGGAACCACTTGATCCCAAAGCGATTGCCGGCATGAATGGCACTTCAACTGCATCTATAATTTAAGAGGTTTCTTACGGGTGCCAGAACATCATTCAAAAGTGCTTTACAAGGACATTATAATCAGTAGAGTCACGGCATCTTACCTATGACTTCACAAATCAAAAGAAAGACTCCTTGGGAGTGGTTTGTATCTCAGTTCATACTGTCTGCTGTCTTCTCTCTAGTATTATTGCATCGTACACAAGGCCTATATCTACACCTGATATCTAGTCGTATCAGAGTGTCCTAAACTCTCAGCTTGGTCCCCTCTGTCAAACAGATCCTGGACTCAAAAAATTGCCCCCAAGAGTTTCCTGGAAAAGATTTAGAACACAACAAGTGCACCCGCTGGTTTCTTCCCCATCTTCTTCTTCGCCCTTCTGATCTTACGGCAAAATTTCTTAGCCGCCTTCTTAGCCGTAGCAGTGCAGCACTTGAAAGGCTTCGTCATCTTGGCGCGGATTTTGCAGCAGAGTAGTGTCGCGCGGCTGGCCGTGATTTGGTAGTAAACGCGATCTTGGCGATGAATCGTAGCGTCTCCTTGGGCGGCAACAAGCTGGCGGAGAGAAAAGGCCTCGTTCTCATTAAGCATGCGAATGAGATCATAGCCGTGGTTGAGGATCTTGGTGGAGTTATCCAGGTAGAATTGCAGCACAGCGATAGCTGACTCCAACTGCTGCGGGGTGGCACCCTTACTATTGCGGAGGCGGTCTTCAGCATCATTAATGGCCTCGTAATGCTGTGACATATTGTCCCAGATGCTGCCATATTTGCAGAAGGCTTGGAATTTAGCGCCTTGGAGCTTCATGACCTCCTTGCGCATAGTATTGCCAGGCTCGCCTGTGATCATGTCAGTGATAGGACTTCACAGGGTTCATCATCAAACAATCAAACATACGAGTTGGGCGTTGATCACCAAGATCGAGCATGAGTGTTCTCAATTCCTCCTGAGTCATCATCATGACGCCTGTGGGTTGATGTCAGCATGGTGTCAGTTGGCAGCAGCAACGGGGCTTCTCTCACGGGAGAATGGAGCAGTTCCACAGAGGTAGACAGCCTCTTGGATCTGCTTGGCACGCTTTTTGGCAGCGGCCTTGTCGGCCGGGGACAACCTAGGCATGGCTGTGAAGGCTGTGAAGTTGTCTTTTGAGTGTTGTTGTGTTGTTACAATAACACTCAAACGCCAAAGTCGAAGTTTGGGCTTTGGCGTGACCCCCGTTGCCGTGGCTGTTGTCTTTCTGCGGCTGGGGGGTCATGGAAATGTGACCCGCGCGGCGGCTGGTGTGTCGGCGTGCTTTTTTGCCGCCCAGGTTGTGGGATGGCCGCCGCTTGTCGTGGCTGGAGGCTCATTCTAGTTGAGCCCCATCACAGTTGGGGACTCAGTGTGAGCCTCACCACAGCTGGAGTATCATTTGAAAATGAACTCCATTGCTGTAAGAGACTCTTTATCACAGCTAGAGTATTCACTTTATTCTCATGGCTGTAGTCTCCTCCTCACAGCCAGAGCCTCCCTCTTACAGCTGGACACTCACTCCAGCTTGAGCCCAATCATGGCCAAAGACTCATTGTGGTATGAGCCACACCACAGATGAAGTACCATTTTAACATGATCTCCATTGTTGTAAGAGTTTCTTTCTCACAGTCAGAGTCTTCTCCTTGTCTTATTCTCATGGCTATAACCTCTTTTCACAGCTGAAACCTCCTTGTCGTTGGAGCTTTGTTTGTGTCTCTCTTTGGCTGGTGGTCTAAACACACCCCTTTATGTGCTATAGCATCTTTCTTCCCTGAGCTTTTTCATTGTTTGTCTCCTTTCTACTACTGGAATCTTCTTCCCACAGCTCGAACCTCCTTTCCGTTGGAGTCTTGTTTGTGACCAATGTCTTTGTCTTTCTTTTTAGCAGATTGTTCAAACACTCCTCTATGTGCTATGCACTGATGGCTAATATTATAGATATAAACCGAGATGGAAGAAGCGTTATGTGCTCCGGAAGGGTTCTGTTTTGGCGCCATCAAATTGAAACCAGCAGTGTTGCATCACGATCACGGAGGTTGTTTGTGGCCGAGTGTTGCATCACGAAAGTTGTTTGTGGCCGATGGTGTTGTCTTTCTCCTTAGCTGGTGCTCGAAACACACTCCTTTATGTGTTATGCTCCGGTGCTGGATATCTTTACAGATATAAACGGGGATAGAACAAAGTGTTGTGTGTTCGGCGAAGCATTTCGTTCTGGCGGCATATCATCAAGTTGAAACCAGCTGTGTTAGCTGTGTTGCATCACATTGTTTGTAGCCGGTGTCTTTGTCTTTCTCTTCAGCTAGTGCTCCAAACGCACTCCTTCATCTGCTATGTGCCGGTGCTGGATATCTTTATAGATATAAACGGAAATGGAAGGAAACGTTACTGGCTCGGCGAAGGATTTTGTCTTAGCAGCATATCGTCAAACTGGAAGCGGCATTGTTGTATCACGAGGTTGTTTGTGGCTCCAGTTTATTTATGGTACAATTGGAACAATACTATTATTCGCTATGGCGACGACGACGGCCTCGACGGCCTCAGGCCGTCGAGTCCACCGAGTCCATCGAGGCCGCCGAGGCCGCTATCTCCTTGCCTAGCCCCTATACAAGATATAACAAACGCTAGAGACAATACAGTGCCCCCTTTTGACAGTCAATGCCCCTCCAGGCAACTATCTCCTTGCCTAACCCCTATACAATATATATCAAACGCTAGAGACAATACAGTCCACCCCTTTTGACAGCCACTCTCCCTGCAAGCAACCTATTCGCTCAGCTTCAGTGTCCAATGGCCAACTGAGATTGTCTATCTGTTAATTTGGCAAAGCCCTCGATGGCGCAATCATTGAAAGTGGAATTGGTAGAGTGGTTTCGCCATGGACTGATAACAAGCCATAAAACCTCTGATACCAAACCATTCGTGTGTGGAATATTACGTTTATTTTGAACCAGTAGTTGATGTTCTGTTCCACTCGGTTTCCCACGTCCCAAAGATTCTTTATGGGAAACTTGCCCTTCTGTTTTGGGTCCATCAGCTGGGTCATTATGTTCATAGAAGCATGGATCATCCTCTGTAAAATGCCAGTTTTGACAAACCCCTCGAACAGCTCAATAAAGTGCGTCATTCCCGGTAGCCCTACTGCCGTCGTCTTTTCCTCCTTAAATATGGTTTCGTAGAATTTGGTGTAGCGCCTGAGTCCCGCGTTCCATAGGCAGCGATATCTCTCGAGCGGCTCACATGGTGTAGGGACAGTGAGTTCCCAGAATGGTGGCATGTATGCCTCTGCGGCTGGATTTTGTCAGCATAAGCATATGCGTACATATTATATTAGGGTCCCATACCGAATATGACCGTAAAATTTATTCTTTCTATCCTGTCCCAGCTTGGGTGTGACAGATCTGGTCGCCATGGGCCGGGGAAGCCACGTGGGCGCGCTCGTGGAAATGTTCGCGGAAAGGCTTCTTCTTCTTGTCGTGTTCTTTTGCCAATGCCTCTATGGGGGGCAGTTTTGCTTTGCTGACGGGGTGTCTGATTTTCAGGTGCTAATGCAGCTTTCTAGGTCAATAAAATATCACTGTGTGGGTCAGTTATCGTACCTTGTTGTAACTCCTGTCCCTCAACAGCTTTTCCTTTTCCTTTACCATCTAGAGACTGTGTTTTTTTGGCTGCAGCATTAAGCGCCTTCTGCATATTTGCTCCCGCCTTGTGGTAGTTATGAGCGATTGCCTTAAGTTCCTCCCAATGTGACGTGCTAGAATCGGTAGCTCCCTTATCCAACGCTTCCTGGTAAGAGAGTCTCAGTGCTGAGACAGTAGCCTTGTGCTCATCATTGAGCAACTTTATCGCCTCCTTAATCTCATCTTGTTCCGATACATGTTCCTCGTTCTTGGCTTTGCCCTTGCCCTTTCTATCTGGGGACTCTGGTTGTTCAACTGCTTCGTCCTTGCCCTTTCCATCTAGTGGCTCAGGTTGTTCGACTGCTTTACCTTTTCCCTTGTCAACTGGCAATTCTGATGGTTCAGACGTTTTGTCTTCCCCTTTTTCATCGGGCGAGCCTAGTGATTCAACAGCTAAGCTTTCCCCTTTGTCATCAGGCGACCCTAGCGATTCAGCAGATTTGCCTTTCCCATTTTCATCAGGAGGCCCTAGTGGTTCAACAGCTTTGCCTTTATCTTTGTTAACCGGCAACCCTGGTGGTTCAGGTGATATGTCCTCGCTTATGTTATCTGGCGTCTGAACTGGTTTGTCTTTGTTCTCAGTATCTGGCAGCACCATCGTTTGGACCGCCTTGTCTTCGGTTTTTGTATCCAGCGTTTGAACTGTTTTGTCTGTATACTTGTGATATGGCAGCTCTGTTGTTTGGACCGCTTTGTCCTTGCTTTTGCTATCTAGCGGAGTTGGTAGTTCGACTACTTTTCTTTTGCCCTTAGAATCCGGCAGCTCTGTCGTCTGCACCTCTTTCTCTTTGCCTTTTGCATTCGGTGGCTCAACTGGTTCCACTTCGCCTTTGGCATCTGGTGTTTTTGATGGTTTGATCACTTTGCTTTTGCCTTTAACATCGTGTATCATCGTCGTTTGGACGGCTTTGTCTTTGCCTTTGGCATCCAGTGGCTCTGGTGGTTCGTCGGCTTTCCCTTTGCCCTTGGCATCCACTGGCTTTGGTAGTTCATCTGCTTTCTCTTTGCCTTTGGCATCTAGTGGCTCTAATGGTTCAAGTAGCTTCCCTTTGCCTTTGCCATCTAGTGGTTTTGATGGTTCAGCCACTTTGCTTTCTTCTGTATCATCTGGCAGCACCGTCATCTGGACCGCCTTGTATTTAACTTTGTCATCTGCTGGCTCTAGTGGTTCAACTGCCTTTCCTTTGCCTTTCGCATCTGCTGGCTCTGATGGCTGTGATGGTTCAACTTCTTTCCCTTTGCCTTTGGTATTCAGTGCATCTGATAATTCAACTGCTTTTCCTTTGCCTCTCGCATCTAGCGGCTCTGATGGTTCAACTGCTTTCCCTTTACCTTTGGCATCCGATGGCTTTGATGATTCAACTGCTTTACCTTTGCCTTTGGTCTCCGCCGAAGGCTTCACTGGTTCAACTACCCTTCCCAGTCCCTTGGTGAATTTCGGTAATCGTATAACGGATGTGCCAATGACTTCCGGACGCTCGGGCTGTTCCGCCTCTTTGGGTTTCTCTTTACTTTTAACGACAGGCTTGACTTCAGCTTATCCAATATCAGTATTGCAAACCAATGGCACTGCATTATCACTCACCTTGAATGTGGGGGACATGTATCTCCCATCCAGCATCAGTCTGCGTGCCCTGCGATCTATACTGCGGTATGCTCAAATTAATAAGATTCGTGACATGAAAATGAGCGAGTTTCTCGGAATCGGCTCTGCGCTTTTCAGCCGACTCCAATTTTCCCCAATATAATACGCGGTGACGGGGTCGGGGAGCCATTTGCCTCGTGGATAATAATAGCTATGATGCCCAATAGTTAGAGCATTGCAGAGGGGAAAAGTAGACAGGCTGGATGAAGTAGGTTGCCCTGATGCTTTTGAAGATTTAGAAGGGAAGGAATGACGGAATCATGCACCTTCCTTCTGTCGTTCTTGCGTCCTTTGCGCCTTCCCCACGAACCTTCTTCCAAGGAAGCTACAGGAAGGAAGGAGCGACGGCGGCATCCTGTGCCTTCCTTACATCACGCCTACATCCTTCGCAGCTTCCGTGTGAACTTTTGTCAAGCAATCTATGGGAAGGAAGGAACAAAGACATTCGTGCCTTCCTGGTATCAAACTCATGCTCCCCCAAGAAAACTGCGAAAAGGAAGGAACGACGGTATCACATCTCGTGCCTTCCAAATCTCACCCTCGTGTCCTCACCAGTGTACCAATTTTTTTTGTCAGGTGAACATATTAGAAATTGTATTAAACTTACAGCAATACAAATATACCTTCGGAAAGCAGCATGAAAAGATAACATTTTTGGTACAGTAATATTTGAAATAAATAAAAGAACCGCTACAATACAATTTTACCACAAAGGTATTTTAAATAGGCAGGTGTGGTAATATAACGAAGCATAGAGATTGAAAGTATAGTATATATATTGTATTGTCTAATAAATGAAATCGATGGGATGGTATATAATAATATTTGAGATGGTGAGGTTCCATCATGACATATCCAATGAGATAATATATAATAATATTTGAGACGATGAGGTTTCGTCGTGGCGTATCCAACTCCTTACGCGAGAGGCCTGATAGCTTCTGTAGATTGAAGGCGCCTTATAGAGCCTCAAGTATGTCCAGCAGGGTTCGCCGTAGCTGACCTCGTCGCACTCAGCTTCACGGTCTCGCCTCGTGCCTCAGCTTCTCGCTGTGCTACCTCCTCCATCTCTGCCATCTCATCGACAGTCAGAGAACTCGCGGCCTTCTTCACACGTACGAACAGTACCAAAATCAGCAGCGCAGTCGACGCACAGGCGACTTCGAACCAGAATACTGCTTGGTAGCTCTTCTTTTGTCCAAGTTTTGCGAGAGTCGAGATATTAACGATATCCGCCAACCCGAGACAAACTGAGATGCCGAGATGTAGAACCAGCATAATCAGAGCACCAGCCAGGCCTTGCTCTTTCTTGGGCAAACTGGTGGTAATGAAGATGTTCGCAACATTGAAGGTGATGTCGATGCCCATGGTAGCAAATATCATGCTGGGGAAGACGTAGGCCCAGTAACTGGCGCCATCAGGTGCGATGGCAAACATTAGCGGCGCAAGGATCCAGGCGACGCCGGCCACGTAGATGAGCACCGTTCCGGATAGGAGATGTAGGATGAAACCGCCGAATGTGGAGATGCAGATACCGCCAACAGCCATTGGTGTGTACCAGGCGACGACGAGGAGAGGAGAGGCGCCCATGATAGTTTGCATGTAAAATGTTGCGAAGAGTAGAAGCATACCCAGGGAGCCGTAAGTGAAGAAAAGCGCGCAGAAGAGAGGTGTCATGCAGGGCACTTTGAATATGGATGCTGGTATTAGAGGATCAGCAGCGACGTAGCCTTCGACATAGACTGCGGCGAGGAGTAGGAGACAGCCGACGATGAAGAGAGCATAGATGTAAGGCGTTTTCCACCCCTGGGGTGCATGCGAGGAATCTATTATGGCGAAGGTAAATAGAGTTAGGCCGGTAACTATCAAAATAGCGCCCAGCCAGTCCATTTTGATACCTAGCGCTCGGCGCTCTTTGATGTCGGAGGGAATATAAAAATATGAGGTGGCCGTGGTGATGAGCGTGAGGAACATGCCAATCCAGAAAAACCAGCCCCATGTGGTATATTGTCCAGCAATACCTGCAAAAAATATGCCAGTACTAGTGTTGTTAGTACCAATATCACGATGTGTGGGCGAAAAATGACTTACAAGAATCCTATCGGCGCGCAAGCTCCATAAATAGAAAATACAAGGTTTTTCCTTGGCCCTGGTCTGTAAATGCTTCCTATCAACATCATACTGCTTGGTAAAAATGCTGCCGATCCTAAGCCTTGCAAAGCACGGCAAACGTCTAACATTATCGCATTCTGGGAGAATCCACAGACCAAGCTCCAAAGGGCCAGCCAAGCCATGCCACCGACGTATAATGGGTAGCCGCCATACATGTCCCCGAGACGGCCAAACACCAACAGGAACGCCGCAATGGCTAGAGAAAAGGCTGATGCAGGCCAGATGCTGGATGCTGTGGGGATGTTTAGCTCAACAACCACGGTCGGAAGAACGACAGTGAATCCCGAGACGAAGTATTCCTGCAACTGTTAATTTCATATCCGACAATTTTTTTTTTGGGACCTGACTTACACTGAGCACCTGGGACATGGAAATTGAGAAAACAAAAACGATTTCAGCCCAGAGGGATTTGAACTCTTGGGGTCGCTCACGACCGAGCCGCTCGATTCTGGCTTCCAACGACTCCTCTTCGAGAGCTTCATCACCCAAGTCGCCTTCCTTGCCATCCTGGATATCAGCACCTATTGGCTGCTCTCGCCCAATACCATCATCGTCGCCCCTTCCGCTAGTGGTGGGAATGTCATAATTGAGGTATAATGGTCCAGGATTGGCATCCAGTGGGCTTTTCTTCTCCGTGTCGTCCATGTCTGTTGGTTTTGCAGCTGGAGAAGCTTCTTTTAGCTCTGAAACAGGGATACTCTCTGGTTTTACCAAAACCTGGTCTCCCGTAGGGGGAGATTGTGTAGCCATGCCACGTACTGCCGCAGACTGCAGCATGTATATGTAGCTAGGGGCGGTGAAGTTTTCGCCCAAAGTGGCGATTATATGCGGCGACAAGTAAAAGCCATTATAGAACAAATCATAAACTGAACTGAGATCTTAGAAAATACGACGAACAATACCAGATATTATATATCTATGTCAATCCGGGGGGGGCGAAATTTTTTAACTAATAGCGACGCTTTTGGGGCGTCGAAGACAACAAACCGGGGTGAGTGGATAGGGTGCCACATTGGCATGGCGGCAAATCCGCTATTGACGACTTAGGAACGGAAGGGACGGCGGATTGGTTGTGTCAGGATTAAATAACCATGCCAAGAAGCACGACAAATAACCGCGCATGGGTTCGAGTGAAAGCCGTGAAAGCCGCAAAGCTGTGAATTTGCGTCTTCATTAAGACTCACAGCAAAATAGTAGAGATCTGACCTTACATTAACCCATTGCTCCCCCTTCCTACCCACGCCATTCCCACCAGGCCTCAATATTACATCACGTGATCCCCCATTAGAAAAGCAGTCCATGATCCATTATAAGGGATATGATGAGGCCTCAAATCTGTCAGTCTTGACCTGGAAATAACTTTAGGTATAGCATATTATCAGCGATTAAGGCTTGTCGTTGGAAATGTCTCACAAGGATTCTCTATTCTAGAGAAGCAGAGTCGCACTTGACGGGGGTGCTAATGATAACATCCCTCGGGAAATAAGTTTAGTGGTTACTGTTTTAGGAAGTTAATAGGAGTGGAGCTGTCAAGCGATGACGCTAACTCCGACAGTAGAAGGATAAATTCTGTTTCGGGAAGTTAACTGGAGTGGGGCAAAACTATGAAGATCAAGGTAATGGAAAACAAAGTAAATAGGCTCTTTGAATATTAATATCATTATTAATGCGCAAAGAGAGCAGCAAGATTGATTTCTCCTTCTAAAATTTATTATTCCTCTTGAAGCACTTTCCATTCCATTCCATGACCTCTTGTGCCATAATTTCCCGTGCAAAATGCCAGTACCAGAGCAAAACCATCAAATCGCACTTAGCGAGAGTACCACAATGCAGCACCGTGGCGGGGAAGTGCAACACTGCCACTGCTTCATAAACCTCAATCAGCCCAACATTCCTATTAACGCGTTAACTTTTAAGACTCTATTTTTCCAGGTTATTCCGAATCCCCAACAAAAGTCGCCATCATGTCGGACGGATTTTCCACCTTAGTCCCTGCGTTTACTCTGAAGGTATGCTACCTGTCCCCTTCCTTTGGTCTGCGGGGTATCGCTTCAGCAGCGACGGCTCCGGTTTAGGATGCTTCACCTTGCTTTCTCTGCTCGTGGCGCAAAATCACGAGGACACTTATCCTGCAATATTTGTTGTCGGTTCTATACCTGTCATCTTTCATCTGTCACTTTTGGTTTTTACTTCACCTTCGTCCAATGTCTTCCTGTCAGCCGAGCTTCTTTCTTCCCCTCTCAACTCCGATGCGTCAAATCACATCCTAGTTCACTTTCTCATATGCCCACCGCTAACATCCCACAGGCCAATATCAAGGCTCACCCAATTACAGGTGCTACTAGCCAACACCCAGGAGGCATCTCAGTTGTCGATATCACATCTGGTACCCTAATCTCTGAGCCCGGCTACCCCGTCAAGGTCAATGCCTCCTTCCTTAGTGGCAGCGACTACATCAAGCCTGATACGTCCGGGGACTTCTTTCGCCTCGACGTGAAGTCTCTCCTCAAAGACGAGTCTGGCGCCTTGATCACCCTCAACTACACAGGCCACATCCAGACGACCGAGGCTATTTTCAAGGTCCTGGGCGGGGCTCCAGATGCCAAGACTACCGAGTTCGGGAATATTTGTGAGTACCACACCTCCTTATATCCTACCTTCGAATAGGTCCTCAAACACTTTCACTGCCTCTTCCACGTATCCAACTCTCTGTCCCTCTCGCCTCCTGTGCCGCCCATAATACTTGTCTAATACTATTTCCAGCAACCCACCTAACCTTTGAAACTGGCTCCGAAGATCTCCGTCTTCTTGAGCAGAAGGTCTACGTCGGCAATGGTCGCTTCATTGTCGAGGACGGAGGCCTGACCGTCGAGTACAAAATCAGTCAGGTGCAGGCCTAATCACGTCTTCGTAGTTAGCAAGCGTCATCGTAGTTAGCAAGCGTCAGAGATCACATGAAAGTGTCAAGCAAATAGAACGATGTTGAATCAAATATGAATTTCATTTCCGTCGTTGATGTTTTTATCCATTCTTAAATGCGCTCATGTAGTGCTGGCTTGAGTGAACATGTTGATGTTGTGATGAAGTACGCATGCATGTAAACAACTAGGCCAATGAGTGAGACGCACGCATCTCATCCCATCCCTTCCCTTCCTTTCATTTCTCATTCCGAGTGCGATGTGTATCCCTCGATCATGTCATTGCCCAAGGCAATCACGCTTTGTTATGCTGCGACACTACCCAACTTTCTGCACAACAATCGCGGAGGTCCCTGGTCTAACCGCCAATCTAGGCAGCGCCGCTGATCTCTAACAATCTCTTTCCCGCCTCGACGTTGGCACAAGCATATGCGCGGCTCTCGGGGGGGAATGTGCCGTTTGCAGCCCAGAGATCAACCAGAGGCTGCATTGGGTCCAGCTCATGCGGCTTCAGCATCTCCAGCGCCATGGCGGTGAGGATAAAGTGCGAGAAACAGCTGTTGAGTTGCTTCTCCAGGCTTAGGTCATAGAAGGGCTCGGTGAAATGGGCCCAGTACAAATGAGCGTAGACACGGAACATCTGGCGGAAGATGGCTTGGCAAACTTCGACGAACTCGGGAGGGAATCCGGATGACTTGCCGACCCAGTCGGAACCAGACAGGGCGGAGATTGGGAGGGTCGAGGAGGTCGGTGGGGCGGGGATGGGAGCTCCGGCATTTGAGGAACCCGAACCTGAGGGGTAGGTGCTGGCGGAGGCCGGGCCGGGAGCGGCAGTGTTATAGGCGAAGGACACCGAGGCAGGGTCCGTGGGGAAGATATCGGTGTTCTCGACCTTGCCGGAGATCCAGCGTTGCATCAGGGAGATATACTCGTGGGCAGGGACCTCGACAGGTTCGCGGCGGGAGTTAAGCCAGGTGAAGGAGTGGTTCCTTGTGCGTGTTAGAATATGGGATAAGAGATGGGGAAAGGGGTAGAGGAATTCTTACGCTCCAGCTGACATGCGGGGGCAGGTCTTTGGGTTGCAGATGGTGGTTCCATCTTCATCCTTCTCATGGATGACACGAACAAACAGCCAAAGGTTGCGATAGTGCTCAACCACTATAACATTTAGCATCCAAAACAATTCGAACTAGTATCGAGTAGCTCACCTTGATGTGCCACCCATTCACCCTGTTCCAAAGTCTTTGGCTTGGCCGACAAGGTCATAAAGTTACCCTTGACAATATGCTTGGCGTGCATTGCGTTCAGCCATAATGGCTTTGGCCTGGGTAGGTTGTATCCAGACAACGGGTCAGAGCTGTTCGTGGCCGGAGGAGCAGCCGATTCACCTAGTGACATAGACGATGAAAGGGACGGCGAAGCTGGGAGAGGTGGCATGCGCGGTGCCAGGTTTGGTGCGGGGTTGCTGTTTTGAAGGTTGGGGACCGGAGGGGGCCCTTGACCATCGTTAGATCCAGCTGGAGTCTTAGATTGGCCAGTCTTACTCTGGGCTCCGCGAAAGCGGCCGCTGCTATAGTAGCAGGAATGTCAGCATAGATCCTCGAGTTCGACGATCATGACAGTGACACAAGGGCAAGTCTGCGCTGCTTGATATGCTTCCTAATACTGATCCCTCTCCATAATATTCAAAACATCTTCTAATGGAGAATGGACAAAGAGTGTAGGTCTGAAACGAGGAACGTGACCATGCAATTCTGGGTCAACATCCATACCACTTCTGGCCTGGAGGCAGCTTGCCCATGAAAGTGAAGATGGAAATCCCGCCAACGACAACGTAATCTGTATGCAGCTGAAAACCCTCACTTGAGGGCGGTATATATCAATATATCACTCGTATGCTTTTGACCTAGCTCCCATGAAGGAGGGGCGATAAAACCGACACCAACGTCAAACACAGAATCTTGCTGCTATAGAAGCCCAATAGTTACAGTCTCCGGCACATAGCCAGCCCTCTTCTCCGGTCTCCCTAAAAGAAAAGAAACGGTTGGGAACTTACATGCCACTGAATAGGTTGGACATCTTGAGCCTGGTCACGAGTCTGAAACTCGGTCAAACAATCGGGGGTGGTTGTTGTTGTGCCACAGATAGAGCCCTGAGAGAGCAGAATAGTATTGAACGAGGTCTGCCCTTAAAAGGTAAATGGTGCTTAAGTTCTCAATCCTCTTTATAGACGTGAATATGGACAAGTCACTTTGGTACTGATGCTTGAACCGGCGCCCAATATAGGAGTTCCAAAGGCTGAGACAGCGATACGTCCAAGTTACGCGCTCGCTTATTAGCCAATCATTTTATTGGGTGTATTGGACTAGGTCCGGGCCTACGGGGTACCCTTGTACATAGTCGCAGCCGCTCATATCAGCCTTGCTGAATTGAAAGGCGAGCACAGGTCCGAAATCAATCATCGAGTAACAAATTCCGACACTACCGTCCTTCAACACTTCCACCTGTCTGGACCCGTGTCAATTCCTACCAGCGCTTCTCTGAATTTCAAAGCGCAAATACGCTTCTGATACATTATCACTCACAAAGAACGCTGCAAGGCTCCAAGCAATCAACACCCTACAGACATTGGCGACATGTCTTCCGAGCCCGAAGATCTCATTGATGAAGATAACTTGTTTGGTGATGATGAAGATGTTGCTGAATCACCGGTCGCTCGCGACTTGAGTGATAGGGAACTCGACTCGGGTGACGATGAAGGACGCGACGACAGAATCGATCGAGAGGAGCCTGTACTGCCAGAACAACGAGAGGCGCGCCTTATGGACGTCTATGCGGTGCCGCATCCAGTCCCAACTCCCACAGATGGCGAAGTGAGTTTGAATTCTCTGTGGCGCAACCGTTGACTAACCATGCTGAAGCTTCATACCATGCGCGTTCCCGAATTCGTGAAAATAGAGGCGGATGCCTTCCACAAAGACAGCTTTGTTACGCCAATCCCAGACTCGCAATCCCAATCGGCATATGCAACAGCTACTTCTACAATCCGATACCGAAAGAATGAATCAACTGGCCTCCTTGAAAGCAACACCCTTTTCAACAAATGGAGCGATGGATCAGTTACGATCAGCATCGGAGACGTTACCTACGAACTGACGTCTAAACCCCTCGCACCGACAGGCTCAAAGGAGTACAACGATGTCCTAGATTCACACACTTATCTTGCGACCCCATACATCGCGTCTCAGGTGATGCAGGTCGTTGGCCATGTCACCAACCAGTATACTGTAGCGCTCAACGACAACCTCCAAGACACCGCAATCATGAAGCTAAGGGCTGCAATGGAGAAGTCCGGCCGCCATAATGACCATAAAGACGGAACTGCACTTATCTCTGTCACCCATGATCCAGACTTGCAGAAGAGGCAAGCCGAGCAAGCTGAACGTGAGCGTCTCAAGTCCCAGAAGCGTCGCGAGGCAGCCAATGCACGCGCCGACCAAGCAGTGGGACGCGTTCGCGGAGCTATTGGTAGTGGGCTATCTCTTGACGATCTTGAGGGCCGAGCACGTGGCATCTCGAAGAAGAAGAGACCTGCGCCGAAAGGAGGGCGTAAAGCGCGCAGGGCAGATTATGATTCCGATGATGATTTGCCAAGGGGTAGTAGGGACGATGAATACGACCTGGAGGATGACTTTTTGGCGCCGAGTGATGAGGAACAGGAGCCGGAGACCGGGGATGAAAGCGAGGAAGAAGAGTATGAAGCTGAGAGCCACAGGACGAAGAAACAGAAAACCGATGCAGGATCAGAGGAGGATGCGGAGGGAGAGGAGGAGGACGTTGGTGCCGCACCAAGCGGCTCAGCCCAGGCTGGGGGTGAAGGTGGTGGGAGAAGGAAAAGGCAGGTTATTCAAGACGATGAGGACGACGAGTAAGGTGTTTGCATATCCGGGAGTTAATATAGCGACGTATTCAGGCGGCATTGGCTACTGCGAGTGAGAAACCAGCGGCTAGTTTCTACAATGCAGGCTAGTGAATTTAAACTTGTATTTGTATTATTTTACTGCATCTTTTAATGCCTTCCAATGAAATATAAGCAGGCGTCTCGCCAAGATAATGCAGTTTAAGTAAAAAGTTGACGCGATATTTGGCATTTTGGTCTCGACATTTTGGATTCCCATTACTATTTTCGTTTCCGTGAAATTCTGCCACCGCCTACGGCTTAACCCACCCACCAAACCCGATTAGATAGCACTGGACGTGGAATATTCCAGAGAGGTTGGGCGAGCTTCAAGACAGACTCTCATTCAACACACATATTGGGAATATCCAAACGCCTCTAAAGTTGGGACCCATTAGACAAAAACAATGGCTCAAAAATGTGTTCACCAGGGCTGTGGGCTGATGTTCACTGAACCCGCGGCGATTTGCACATATCACCCTGGACCGCCTGTATTCCATGAGGGGCAGAAAGGTACGTCAACAACTGAACGCCGATTAGAGCTCAGCAAGAGAGATATCTGGTCTCCAAACGGTTTATGAACCCATTTGGCTTGTAGAATTATGATAATACTATGGCCCTTGCGAATATGTGCCCCGAAATTCCCCTGCTGACGAAACTCTACCAGGCTGGAAGTGTTGCAAGCCCCGCGTGCTCACCTTCGACGAATTCATGACAATCCCACCCTGCACAACTGGCACGCACAGCGCCACCGATGTCCCACCTGCGATTGAGAAGAAAGAGGCCCCCGAAGAGGCACCGCAACCTTCTGCGTCCCTCGATGCGGACAAGGGCCCTACGCGGAAGCCCGTCGTTACCCCGCAAAATGCACCTACCCCACCACCACCAGAGCCGCCGTCCGAGTCCGACGACCAGAGCCTCGAGATCCCCGAGGGCAGGACCTGCCGCCGAAAGGCTTGCGGCGCGACGTATAAAAAGGGACAGAGCAGAGAGGGCGAGAAGTGCACCCACCATCCCGGGGCGCCCATCTTCCATGAGGGCAGCAAGGGTTACAGCTGTTGCAAGCGACGCGTTCTTGAGTTTGACGAGTTTATGAGGATTGAGGGGTGCAAGACGAAGGGTAGACATCTGTTTATTGGCAGTGGGAAGAAGGATAAGAAGGACGAGCTTAGTGGAGGAGAGGAGAAGGTCGAGACCGTGAGGCATGATTACTACCAAACGGGCGCCACCGTTATCGCAAGTTTCTTCCTGAAGAAGATTGTGAAGGAGGAGTCGACTGTTAAGTTCACACCCCAGGCTGTAGAACTGAACCTCAAGACCTCAGACGCTCTGCCAAAAAGGTACGCGAAGACTGTGGAGCTTTTTGGGCCCATTGATCCTGAGGCGAGCAGCTTCAAGATCATGGGCACCAAGCTGGAACTTACGCTCGTGAAGGGCGATGGGCAGGCTTGGCCTGTGCTTAGGGCCGATGAGAAGAGGACGGGAGAGATTTTCCAGGTTGGGCGGGCAGGTATGGCGTAGTTCCAACCTGATATACAAACGAATAGAACGATAAAAGGATAGATATGAAATGAAATAACTGCTTCATATTCTACTTGTTATCTATATATATATGTGGTATCATCCCTCATTTGTCATCTCTCATGTATCATATATGGCTTGCGTATATACACCAGTATATCCTGTCTTAAACCCTCAGGCTCTCCAAGGTGTCTACCACCCATTCCATAAGTTGGTGGCACTCAAGCCCACTCATATCGTCCTTGACGTCCAAACATCTCTCCACGACCTGTCTATATGCGGATCCCGTCTTACTTCCTAGTCCTGGGACCAGCAGCCCCACAACCACCCGATCCCTGAACCGTTGAGCTGTATAGTGCGGCTTGTAATAAGCTTGCAATATCTTCCATAGTCCAATTTCAAGCATCACGAGACCAAGACTGTATATGTCGAACCCCTTGCAATACGGCTTCCTATCGATCCCCTCCAGACTGCTCGGATGCCGGTGGAGATCCAACGACGACGGGTTGCGGCTAGCCACGCTCATCTCGACTACTTGTTCGGGGCGAGAGGAGTCAAATCCGAGTAGGAACGGCGACGATATGTCCGGCACTAGAGCGGCATTTACTGTTGGTTTGCTTGCTGAATCCGAGATGGCAGACGGAAAGAAGAGGATATTGTGGCTGCAAACCGACTTGTGCAGCCAGTCAAGGGAGTGGAAGGACCACAGGCCAACAGCAAGACTATGGGCGAGTTTGAAGCGATCCCCTAAATCAGGGGTGCGGTAGTCGTTGGAGGAGATGATCGAATACAGCGTTGAGAATGAGGAAGCCGGAGAGTCATACACGACTCCGAAACGTGAGTGGCTCGTATCATCGGTATACCCTAGGCAGTCAATTGTATGGAGATCCGGGTGCCGCGCTGAGGCCGAGTGCACCATGCGAGCTAAGTCGTCAATGCGCCTGATATGTTGGAAGCGACCTTCAAGATCCTCTTTGTCATAATCAACCCATTCAATGACTACATTTTTTCCCCTCTCGCCCGAGGGGCTGTTATAAGCAGCTAGGCTGCGCCGAGTCTCCTTGTCTGTGACTTCGAGCAACGGCCATTGGATCTTTAAGGCGAACGTCGGCTTGAAATTCGCCGTAGGCTTGGAATCTAGATTTATGCGCAGTTGCTTCAGATTGGCAGAGGTGGTTAGCTGCGGGTAGACGCCGTTGCTAGCGCTCTCAAGCAGACCTAACTTCGCAAGGTCCCGCTGTGCTCCTTGGAGGAGTTCGTTCTGCCATGTGCGGTGAAGCGTCGCGAGGCGGGAGGGCGGGAAGAGCTGTTCAAGCCCATCGTTGTAGTCTTTCAAATCTTGCAGGAAGAAGTGGAATTTATCTTTGTCGGCGATGACCCATTTGGCGCGCAAGTGTAGTTCCGACTTGAAACGCTCTGCGAATGATTTATCTTTGAAGTTCTCTTTCCAGGCTTCGCCCGGCGCGGGCTTGTCCTTTTTGTTGTTTCCATTCCCATTGCCATTACCGCCCTTCCCCTCCAGCGCCCCCTTTTCTTGCTGTGGTGCAACGTTATCGACATCTCGGAGCCCGTAACGCCCCTTTAGCTTATCGAGGTCCGTAATCGTTTTATACAGTTCGCTCAGCACCTGTATCGCCAGTCCTCGCAGGCGCTCATTCCCAGCTTTGCTCTCCTCCCCTAGATATTTTTCGAGTTTTCCCTCTTCAACTCCCCACTCCCTCCCCCACACCAGCAGGCGCATCTCTTCTATCCTAATCTTGCATACCAGTCGCTCCGAGTCTCGACCCAAATTCGACGCCGTTGTGAATATCTGATAAGCGTTAATGCACCCCTGAAAGATCTGGCCGAGCACTCCAACGGTGCCCACCAAGGAGAGTGCAAGCTCGGCCATCTTGAGCGAACGTGGATCGAAGCCAAGATATGCGACAGAATTTCCTGGGGATCAATGGCGGGGAAATTGCGGGGTGTCAGATATTGCGCGCCGCCGAAGAGAGCGCCTAAGAAAAGCTTGAATGGCAGGTGGAAACTGTATCGAGTGCCGAGAGTAAAAGAACGCAATCTCCTAGGGTTATTAGGAAGGGGAGAGGGGGAGAGGTGGGTACTTTGCGCCGCGAAATTTGAAATGGGATTATGGTATGGCGCTTGAGGCCACGCTTACAAGGGTATGTTCATGCAGCTTATTCGGACACCGATGGACTGGGTAAAACCTTGATTTAGAACAAGAAGCTTCATTTGCTGATGGTCGTAGCTAATATTGCAATGCAAAGACAAAAACTCGTGGAGAGAGTGCACATAATTGTAATTCTGTGAGGAAGTTTCTTAAAACGTATTTACAACTGTATTTGTCGCGTAACGACTTTTACTATTGGGCCGGTTCGTCTTGTCGAATCCAAATAATGAGCTGAGAAAAAAAAATCTATAAAGACGACACATAGCTAATAGTCCCGCCTCAAATTCAACCCGCGCACGAGGTATTCCGAAATCATGTATCGCTCATGGGCCCTGGTAAATCGGTGCTTTACTCCGAAGCCAGTACTAAAGCAAACATAAGTGCTGTGGAAAACACAACACACGCGTGGGATTCACTGTGGCAATTTCTTCTCTCTGCCACCCTATGTATGAGCTGCCGTCTCAGCCGTAAATCAGCTCTGATATTTATTGCCAAGATAACTCCTCATAATGTAGACTCTCGCCGGTCTTTTTTCCAATCGTGATTTCGAGATTCAGGCACCTTACGCCTCCGTATAATGAACTTAGTAAACCTTCTTCTTCTCGTCGATGCTGTACTTTCCGGGTCCACTGTTCACCAACAGGAGGAGACCGCCAACAATCGAGAGAATTTGGAAGAAGTCGTACTTCGCGAAGTCCTTGTGGGGGTGCGCCTCGTGGAGCTGCATCTTGTTAGTCGCAGCGTGGATAAGGGAAGAGGGGTTCTGCTTACAGTCCAAAAGTTGTTGACCAAAAGGTTGAAGACGCTCAAGATAACCACGAGCATGGTCGCGCTGAACTTCGCCTTGAATCCCACCACAACCATCACGCATGCTACGAAGCCGAGCGCTGCGACAAGCACGCGCCAGAAGCTCCAGGTGCCACTGAAGACAAATCCGACGAACAAGAAGATCAGAAGAACTCTCCCAGCAAGCTGGAAGTACATCTTGCGGTCCTTCTCATCGATTTCCGGCAGCCCAGCGAACGCCTTTGTCTTGCGAACCCACGAATCAGAAAGGACCATGAGAAGGCCTCCCATGACCGACAGATTGCGGAGGAAGAAGTTGAGGTCAAAGATGAGACCGTAACCGAGAGCTTGGGTGACAACAACGCCAATGAGACCTCCAACCGCGTAGTCTGAGTGTTTCCGGGAAATAACTAGCACCGAGCATGAAGTCATGGCAATAACATTGACGATGAGGAAGATGTGGTTGAGGCCGGTAGGAACTAGAATCGCATAAATCAGTAAGGGGCACCGTAAACGCGAAGTTGGAAGCACTCACTGTGGCGATAATCGCGGAGGTAGGACAGCTGGTCACTCCATTGTGTGATAATTCTCAGCGCGTCCTCAAGGAACGTAACGACAATCAAGAATCGGCCAATAGCTGGTAAATATCTGCCAGACGCGAGTTAGCAAAAATCATCCACTTCATCATTGGATCACGACGCGTACGGCTTCAACGGCTCACTCAAGGAGTCCAGGGCATCCTCAATCTTGCTGGTTTGCTGTCTGATCGCGTCCAATGGGCTCGGGTCGCTGGCCTCAGTCCTGCTTGGTCCTCCAAACTGCTGGCCGCCCAGGTTGTAACCTGCTGTTCCCCGTATCTGTGCCATAGTACTGGAGCGCGGTTGTTGAGCTCGCAAAACAGCTGTGTCGCGACGAAGCTTCTCGGACTGACGGGGTGTTGGTAACAGTGAAGTACTACGGCACCGAACAGTTGATCACCCACGAAATATGGGTAAATTTGCAAAGATGAAGCTGAAGACAATAACCTGGTCAACGTTGCCCTGTTTTTGTGTGCCTGAAGAGCAGAAGTTGAAATACTAGTGGCTGTCTTTAAACTTTGGTCAACCGTGGCCTTTCCAGGCTTGTCAGACGATTGTACTGCGACACGATGGGGGCTTGGCGGCACCTAGCCTAATTTGTTCGGTACAAGTGAAACATCGTCATATTCGAGCCTCCTGCATAAATGACAGAATCGCCACTGGACAGATTTCAATTGATAGAATGGGAATTATAATAGGAAGGTCAAAACGTCTTATGCATGACGCGCAGCTTTACACTATTTCACGACGTACTGGAGCAGATTCGACATATTTAACTCCATTATTGTGACATTGCCCAGATATCAATCCCGATCTTGGCACCAAGCACGGATCTACCCCGCGCCTCGCTACACCATTTCCTACCCGCGTGAAAACTCCCCCCAAACCTCGGCTGACTCAGCCTATTCATTATAAGGAGTAACCAGTAGTTATGTCAAACAAGCTTACAACTGTAACCCGGGTAGCCATCTAGTAGCTTGCGGGTTATTCGAAAGACCTCAAATCTAACGGCACACTGCTCCCTCTTCCAGCTCGATAGCGCTTCTGCGTCCCTGTGTATTCTCGAGGCTTAGGGAGCATGCTTTCGTCTTGGAACCTCCACCGGATATCTTGTATGTTAACTCTTCCTCCTGACTCTTGAGATAGTGGTGATCGTTGAGCACCCCCCGGTCTCGCTGTTGAGCCATTAGGAGCCAGTGTATATGCACTTGCGTCTAGCATTGTGCTCATAGGTTGGCTACTCCGCTGTCTGGACACTGGGGGAGGCGGCGCTGATGGTAATTGTGGGGGGGCTTCGATATGCGGCGGTTGTGGCGCAGGTCGTGAAAACGACGGTGCTGAAGGAGGACTGCTTGGGGGTGGTGGTGGGGGGGCAGATGATGGAGAGGCCTGTCCGGCTGCGCGTATGGCGGCTTGGACAGCAAGAGAAGGATTGACCCCATTGGATGGAGGCAAAGATGGAGGAGCTGGTGGATGGGGCGGCTGCGGAGCTTCTGAACGCGGCCTTCCGTTCATAGGTGGCCGTGGCGCAGATACGGACGGCGGGGGAGGAGGAGCTGGAGCTGAGGGTACTGAAGGAGCTGCCGAAGGCGGAAGAGGAGGTGGCCCAGAGGTGACGTTTGAGGATGGTTTTCGTGATCCAGGCGGGGGCGGCGGCTTCTTGCCTATTGGTGGGGGCGGTCCACGAAGAGATGCAGAAGAAGCAGGTCTAGGGCCCGCGTGGCCGAGAGTCTTGCGAAGATTCGCTACGGAAGGAACAACTCCAGGTGCGGTCCCCGCGCTCGTAGCGGGGGGTCGATTATTTGGCAGTGGTGGAGCGGCCCCTGTAGGTATTTTCGGGGCTGCTGCTACAGGAGGCCTCAGTGCGGATGTTCGTGAGGATTCTGGATCTGATGCGTATGTGGAATCCTTATTTGCTGTAACATCATTAGTACAGTCAAGTCGCTGTTGGATAATCTTCTTCAAAACTCACCTCCTGTATCAACCCCACCCCCCCTCTTCTTCAGTTTCGGCATTCCACCGGCGAAGAGACCGCCTAGTTGCGGCGGAGCCTCTACTCCCGAACTCCCACTATCACGCCCCTGATCGCTGTTGCTTCGCATACGATTTCCTGGAACAGGCGGTGCCAATCCACTAGGTCTTCCCATTCCCGGGATTGCTGGAGCTCCAGCTGGTGGACCTGACGAATCGCCAGCGGTCTTTCCTACTATAGGCGCAGAACGGTCATTCGTAACAGCCTTTCTTAACTGCTTTCCTTTCCCAATATCGCTTAAAAGGGCACCCTGAAACATGGCATCAGCATTTGCCTAGGAACAAGCTCTAAAAGCGCTAGGGAAAGTTATGACGGGCGGTAGACTTACCCTGGTCTTTGCCGCGCCAGCAGGAGGGCGGGCAGGTAGAGCTCCCCCGGGCGGAGGAGGTGGAGGAGGAGGAGGGCCACCCATCATTGGCGGCGGCGGCGGAGGTGGTGGTGGAGGAGGCATGATGGATGCTGTGGTATGCGGGAGGTTTGCCTGCGATAGACCGTACGTTTAGGATTCCCTCACGGTTGTTGAGAGCATGAGGATAGTGGTGTGCCGCGTTGATGTGTGCACAGAGACGTATGCAAGAGTTCAACAGCTCGCATGGGAGATGAGCGTTGAAAGATTGATGACCGCCTGGGATGTTTCGTGGACGTCACTGAGGTAGGGCGGCTAGGTGTGGCGCGGTGTCAGCCACGCGTTTAAACTGGGCCAAGGGACCAGGGTCGGCGATTTTATCGGTTCCTATCCGCGATGATTCTCTTCTAGCCTATCGAGCCTCCAATTGCTTCCCAGGAAATAAAGGGCCCAGGACTAAATCCGCGACAATGCGATCTCGAATTCTGAGGACTGAGGCCCCAGTCTGTCAACTAAGCTCCTTTATTTCGACTGGCCCGTCGATACGAGCACGGCCTTTACGACTTCCAACGTCGTCCCAGAAGCTCCGACCATTCTCTTCTAGCCAAAGGACGTTCGCAAATAACCAACGAACCCCCACCAATTCAGACTTTAAAGCTCACCCGATTTACGTCAAATCTACCATACCAGCTCAGTATGATGGCGCGAAACTATCTGGAGCCATTGATGCAAGAGTGGTTGAAAGCGACTTGGACAAAGCCGCATCGCTCCGAGATGATCTGATAACGAAGGATGGCATTCCTTCTGACAATGAGACGGAGGCCGTACTTGACGCATATCAGCAAATAGCCGACAACCTAATGAATCCCCCCGATCCCGCAGCATTGCCAAAAGATGCATCGGCAACCTCTGCGCTACTTTCGATTAAAACGGCTGCGAAGCCCCGCCCGACTGTCCATGCACACTCCCCAATTGTGGACGGAGCTTCCAGAAAGCTGTCAGACCTCGCGCTGTCGGTATTACAGCACCCGCCAATCTTCATTACTCCCAGCATACTTCGCCGCTACGTGAAGTTGCAGTCGACATTAAAGCGCCCGGAGACGCTGCCTACGGCATTCCACCTATATTCTACGAAGCCAGCCCCTGTGGACGGCTCGTCGCCTGTGAAATACAAGAAGGTCAATCCAAATAAGAGCGCCAATTCAATTGAAGCAAAGATGGCGGATCTTGCTCTGCAAACTGCTATCGAATCCAAGGACCTAGTCACAGCGATGGATATTGTGGACACAACGTATAACACGAAAGCGTTTCGCCGTACCAGATTCATTCGAAGGGCGCTTTTACCCGTCACGGGTCTCGCATTGGCGCCAGCAGCTGCCTATGCTGTTGCAACCCAGCTCTCACTCTATCAAACGACCATGGATCCCACTGTTGCTACCAACGTTGCTTTCGTTGGTATCTTGGGATATATCGGGTTTACAACAGTTGTTGGTGTCGTGGCCGTGACAACAGCAAATGACCAAATGGAGCGCATCACCTGGGCCACGGGTATGCCGCTGAGGGAGAGGTGGATCCGAGAAGACGAGCGTGCCGCCATTGACAAAATAGCGGGCGCTTGGGGCTTCCGCCAGGTCTGGCGTAGAGGAGAAGAAGAGGGCGAGGAGTGGGAGGCACTGAGGGAGTGGGTTGCCAGGAGAGGAATGGTCCTTGATAGGAGTGAGTTGATGGAAGGCATGGAATGAAGCAACGAACGTCTCTCGTCCTCATCTAGGTCTCCATCGAGTCTCACAGATCCGGATTTCCACTGGCAAACATGTATAAGTACGACTGTCATAATATCCGCAGACCCAATAGTAGGGTGGTAGCATTTGGCGCAAGGAGTTACCAGCGCATCTGTATTTTATAAATCTGTATTTTATAAACTGTATATAGAAGGCTCCACAATTTCAAGCATGCGTGGCCAAGGAATTCCCTATCATCAAGCAGATAATAACTTTGTATTTTTACATGAGTGATATCAACCATGTTGCATGAATGCTCTCATTACTATTGTCAAAGATCTAGAAAATATTTTACAAGTTGCGCATCCGAAAGAACTAATTAGAGCAGCCTCACAATTTAACTTCATGTTTTTATTTTATATCTCGAGCTTGACTCTTCATGGGCATCTGGGTTGTGACCAGTGACTTATCGGCTTATCTCAAAACGGCTAGTAGATTTTTTGCGCCAAGATTTCTGATAACGATAGAGCATTGGAATTGCAAAATAAATTTCACAGCCTTGAAGAAAACACGGCAAGAGGCATAACTAACCATGGCGCCTTCTACAAACTCAAGAAAACGGAAGTCTGTGAAAGAGGCGGAAATAATCACTTCTGACGTGGAGAGCGATAGCGATTTTGGAGATGGCATCCTTGATGGAGTCCTGTCGCAAAGCGAAACTGGCTCGGATGAGAGTGAGGGCGAAGAGGACGACGACAGCGACCTCGAGGATGGGGAGCTAGAGGCGCTGGACAGCGACGAAATCCCGTCTGAAAGTGAGGCAGCTAAGTCGAATGGAGCAGCACTGCCGAAAAGGCCAATCAATACAAATATTGTCGCCAGGCAGACTGCGAACCGCAGGGTTCTGGGCCTTCCCCATCACGTCGAGGACGACGACACGCCAAACTATACGGTAACCACAGATGCCAATGGCAATGAGAGATACGAATATGAGGAGATTGAGCCTGGCTACGACTCCGACGACTCGGATGCCGCAGATCACGAGAATACTATTGGAGATATTCCACTCTCGTTTTACGATTCGTACCCTCACATCGGTTACAACATCAATGGCAAGAGGATTATGCGCCCTGCGAAGGGCGAAGCGTTGGATGCTCTCCTGGATAGCATTGACGTGCCCAAGGGATGGACTGGTCTCACTGACCCAGCAACCGGAAAGCCTTTGAACCTCAGCCAGGAAGAATTGGAGGTCTTGAAGAGAATCCAAATGAATGAGATGCCCGAAGATGGCTACGATCCTTACCCGGTATGGTGCCCTTTTCACTTATATTTCGAATGAGTCTAACATATACACAGGATACTGTCGAGTATTTCACGAGCATTCAAGAGGTTATGCCTCTGAGTGCCGCACCTGAGCCCAAACGGCGATTCCTGCCTTCCAAGCACGAAGCAAAGCGCGTCATGAAAATTGTTCGTGCTATTCGTGAAGGACGTATTTTGCCGCATAAGCCAGAGGAAGAGGAGAAGGAGGAGGATGAGGAAGTGCACTACGATATCTGGCAAGACGAGCAGCCTCGACCAGACCACATCATGAATATCCCAGCACCGAAGGCCGCACCTCCAGGATACGATATGAGCTACAACCCACCGCCTGAGTACCTCCCTACAAAGGCTGAGAGACAAGCATATGAGGCAATGGATCCGGAAGATAGAACTAAGGAGTACTTGCCAACAGCACACGATGCACTGCGCAAGGTTCCTGCTTACGAAAAACTCATTAATGAGCGCTTTGAGAGGTCTTTGGATCTTTACCTTGCGCCCAGAGTTCGCAAGAACAGGTTGAACATCGATCCTGCCTCTCTTCTTCCGAAGCTGCCACGCCCAGAGGAACTCAGGCCTTTCCCAACGGTTTGCGCCACTCTGTTCAGAGGCCACGACGGCCGCGTCAGAAGCTTAGCAGTTGACCCATCCGGAATCTGGCTTGCAAGTGGAGGTGACGATGGAACCGTTCGCGTGTGGGAGCTTCTGAGTGGTAGACAGATCTGGAGTGCTAAGATTGGAGAGGACGAGGCTGTTAATGTTGTAAGGTGGCGACCAGCGAGAGACGGAGTTATCCTATCTGCCGCAGCGGGCGAGGATATCTACCTCCTTGTTCCTCCCATCTTGAGCCCTGAAGTCGAGCTAGCAAGCAGAGCCATCCTCGATGCCGGGTTCGGTTATGCCACTGGCCAGTCCCAAACCCTGACGGCAAATGGCTTGAAGAAGGAGCCGCCGGCAAGATGGACCCGTCCGGGAGCCAAGCTTGAAGACGAAGGTGTTCTCATCAAAATTACCGTTCGCGCCAACGTCAAGGTTATCAGCTGGCACAGACGTGGAGACTTCTTCTCGACAGTCTCACCAACCGCCCAAAAGAGTGCTGTCGCCATCCACACCCTCTCCAAGCACCTTACTCAAATTCCTTTCCGCCGCCTTCCCGGACTCCCTCAATTTGTCCAGTTCCACCCATCTCGCCCTCTTTTCTTCGTCGCTACTCAGCGCACAATCCGCAGTTATGATCTCCAGAAGCAGGAGCTTGTTAAGATCATCCAGCCCGGAGCCCGCTGGATCTCTTCCTTCGATATCCACCCAGGTGGAGACAATCTTATCGTTGGTTCATATGATCGTCGCCTCCTGTGGCACGATCTTGACCTTTCTAGCCGCCCTTACAAAACCCTGCGATTCCACGACAAAGCTATCCGTGCTGTCAAATACCACAAGGGTGGATACCCTCTCTTCGCTGACGCAAGTGACGATGGCTCTCTTCAAATCTTCCACGGCAAGGTTGTTAGCGACCTTATGGAGAACGCTACAATTGTCCCTGTTAAGGTCCTAAAGGGCCACAAGGTTAAAAGTGCGCTGGGTGTCATGGATATCGACTGGCATCCAAAGGAGCCATGGTGTGTTAGTGCTGGTGCGGACGGCACTTGTCGTCTCTGGATGTAAATCCACTTATTGTGACCTTATCTGTTGTGCAATCCATAGCATGGGCGTTTGGCTTGGTTATGTCTTTGTAGGAATCAATAAAATATACTTCGCTGTTACTTGTTGTGCTATTCTATCTCGTCGTAAATGTGCATTCGTTGTGTGACCTGTTTCAAAGAGAGATTGCACGCTCAAAGAGAGAAGCTAGACATATATATGCACGTTCGTTCTGTATATCTTGAGCGCTACCAATAATATGATTCTAGTACATTTTATTATTCGGATTATGGCCAATCATGGACATAATGCCGTGAAGTGAAACCGTATATATAAGTAAACTATTCAATATCAAAATCCCGTCTTACAGCAATCCACCTAGCCAAAATGTTCTGCCCTATACTACCACATGTTACAGCAACTCTTTTCCGCATTCAAGTTAAACGCAGCTAAAACCATCCGCAGTTGCTGGGTCGCTAACTCCATCATACGTGACCACCGAAGGATACGGGCATAGGATCCTCTCAATAGTAGTGCCGTCGAGGCCTGTCGGGCTCACTGGTAACGTATCCGGGGCGATGCCATCCTCCACCCAGGCAACTAAGGCGTCAAAAACAGCAGTAGGCTGGCCCCCATTCCCCAGTGCGCAGTGCTGTAAGCCTGGAACCTCAAAGTAGCGATAGAAGTCATGGACATTGGAATCCAGTTTTGTGACCTCGTTGTAGTAATGTTCCGTACCACTTGCGGGAATTATCTGGTCGCTCTAGAGAGGGAGGAAGTGTTAGTTAACTTATAAACTTTGATGGGGGGGAAAAAGGGGGGTCTCTTACTAAACCGTGGAAAGTCAACATTTTCCCTCCTGCGGCTTTGAACCCAGAAAGATCGGCATCGCTTGTGTCAATCATACTGTGGTATTGCTGCGATCCAGCATGCAAAAGCTCGTCAAACTGCTCGTGTGTCATATTTGTAAGATTGAAATCAGGATTTTTCTTGATGAAGAGCGCGACCCACTGGGCACCGAGAGGACTGGGAGCGCCCACGCAGGTTCCATTGGCGTTGCAGGTCGTCATAGCAAGAGCCTGGGTGGTGAGGGTGCCAGAGAGATCAGCGCCGATGTTGGGGCCGTACCACAGGAAACGACCGTCAGCACCCCGCGGACCTGTCCACGTAGCATTTGCCACCTCTGCCGCGATCTTGCTGATTTTGATATTCTTTCCCGTGGTGGAGCAGTTAAATTCGGTGCCTATGAGGGTAAAAGGGTCAAAATCACACGCTTTGATGTTTGATACGAGACCATCGACAACACCATCCAGTCCATCGCATGCAGAGATCGCGGCCGCCGAGAGTTCATCCAACTCGCATCCCTGTGGGTATTCCCCAGCTAGGTTCATAACGAGCTGGGACCAGAGCATAGTAAGGAAGAGGGAGTTCCAGTTGATTGCGGGAGCAGCAGCGGCAATGCCATCGTAGACCCCGGGATACCGTTGTGCTAGCATAAGCCCCTGGCGACCTCCCTGAGAACATCCACTCCAGTAGGAGTACTTCGGTGGCTTGCCATAAAAGTCGTTGATGAGACTCTTGCCGATAATAGCCTCGTCATTAAGTGAAACGGATGCCAAATTCTGGAGATTGTAGAGGTTGACGTTGCCAGGGCTCAGAAGCGCCCAGGGGCTGGCGTCATTGGCGGCCCCAAGGCCAGCATCCGTTGTGATAGTCGCATATCCCGATGCCATGGCGCCGGCCATAGCTGTCGTGGACAGGAAGAAGTTATGTCCTCCCGCAACCCATCCTCCACCTCCAACAGCCTGCATGCGCTCGTTCCAGGTCCCAACGGGCAGATATGCCCCAACGTTTATGTGGTCCCCTTGGCCTGGATGCGTATATGAGACGGTGACGTTACAGAAAGTAGCATTTTCGACGGTGATAGAAGGGTGGTTAGCAAAGTAGATATCTTTGACAGATGTGCTGAAGTTGGTGACTAAATTGGCATTGATTGAAAGGATCTGAGCACCAAAGAGATCCGGGAATGTGAAGGTTGATGGTGCACACAAAGGCGCTGTTGCATTTAGGTAGGACGCCATAGTGATAACTTTGGGAATAATAGGAGCTTGTGAGAGACGCATGGGAAACTGTAGAAATTGGAGAGATTAACTCTCCTCCTTATTTATCTTATTCGCATCATCAGCATTACGCGTAATTTTATATTGTGCTATAGAAGCCTTGTCCGTATATGGTTTACAGTAGTTCTAAGAGTGTTATGTGGAGTCTATAGTAGATCTTGACATTAACAGCACAAGGACCCTATACGCGTATTCTAAAATGCGGGGTGGGGGGAGCTATACGCGTATACGAAAAGTACCAGAGCGGGAGTTGAAAACGGGAATACAAAATAGAGGATAGCAAGCTACTATAGTTAGACCATATGATCGCATTGCGATTACTTGACTGTATGTTTATTATATTTCATTGTATTTGTTGGTGTCCCAACTACATACATCCCCACAACAGTGTTTGAGAAACACGGCATCGCCACTGTAAGACATTATACCAAAAGACAAAAGCCACCATGCAAATAACCAAAGCACGCTGAAAATTGCCCCAAGTGCAGTCGGCAAACAATAATATGAAAACAAACCTCAGCAAAAAAAAACCCTCGGGAATAAAGCAATGTCGACATAACCCGGCGCCAAAGGAACTATCCTGACATCGTAAACTTCATAACATCGTACACCCATTCATCACCTCCCTAATAATACACTCGATACTCTCATATTCATATCCCATCTTCGACTTGGCTGGTACCAAATAGGAATCCCGGGGCGGGAAAACAGAGACTCATCCAAGACGTCGCTGGCTTTTCCAAAATCGTCACATGCTTTGTTTCATCAAGCTTCATCCGCATCGTCATAGTCGTATCCGGCATACTCGTACTGGGCACCGATGTGATCAAAATAGAGTTCGCCTCTGTTCCAAAGCCCAGAGCCGCCGCCACTGCCGCTTCCCGGGCCGCTGACGACGCTACTCTCGCCTCTAGTCGATGGACATCCTCTGGTAACTCTCTCGGAATCCGACGGCGGAATTATATGGGTCGGGCCCACTGCAATGAAGGCTCCACGGTTCGTGTCAAAGCTCACTGGAACTATATCACTGGATTCGTATCCCTGGTATTCATCAAAGATGGGGCAGTATTCCTGCTCCATCTCAGATATCATCCGTTGGATAGCGATGGGAAATCTAAGCACATCCTGGGCTTGTGAGGCTCGAAGCAAGTTCGATGCCTCGTTGAGTCCATCCTGTGGTACCATCTGCAGGTATGTGTTGTTTGAACTATTGTTATGAACATAGTTGATATCATGACAGCCTTCGTCAACGTTGATTGCAGTTGCTTCAGTACCAGCTGAAGCCCACGACAGCGGGTACTGGCTGCTGTTGTCATTTGTTGCTAGCATTGTCTGCTGGAGGTGCTGCAAGTTATGGGTGCATAACGGTACGATGGGTACACGTATATGGCCATTTGCAAAAGAGGTCCCGGCTTGGGCACATGAGCAGTTGCTTTCATTATAGGCAGGAGCTCTTTCTGCTGTCAATGGTCCGGTGTGCACTCCGTATGGGCATGTGTTGTTTCCATTGGGGAGATTCCTGGTGTTGCATGCACAGGCCATTACGGAATGGTGCAAATATGAGTGAGCTGGCGCGAGAATTTGAGAGTAATAGCCGTTGAGGAAGTTGAAGACCCTGGGAGGAAGTTAGAATCAGTGGCCAAGCTCATCCGCACTGAGAACCGACCTCGATTGGTATAAATTTGACGGTTCGATTGCCTTGCAGCATATAAGCGCAATGATACCAACAAGGCTAAACTTGTTGCAGCAGTTATGTCTCGCAACAATGGGAGAGTTGAAGAAGAAGCAAGAAGATAATTGAAATCCCTTCGGTGGACTTCAAAAGTTCCGAGTGAAGGCGAACGAGCGGCAGTAGTTCATCTCTGAACGAAAGGCAACCCGATCGCAGTTGTGGCCACCTCTTATACTTTTAGCAAAATGCTAAATGGGTGTACCAGAAAGACGGCTTCACTTTCAGCCTTGGCGGGAGCCATCTGGGGAATATTTTAGCGTTGCAAATATCCATCGGGACCGAAAGGTCATGTGTGCTTACCTTGACGCGGGGACCGGCGTGCCATAGGTTAGCAGACACGTTGACGGCCTTTAAAACGGCACCGGTGAGCTAAGGGTAGGAGGTTGATGTGACTTCCCCGAAATTTATCATATCATTTACGACAGGTATTAGCACGGTATTGATTCCTGGGCACAAATTTTCCAGAAATCGGCCTCCGATAACGCTTGTTATTGCCGCCTCACTTATTTGGGAAGAAATGTCAAAATCTGACATGGATGTGACATTCCATGCATGTGGAAGCCGTATGGGCCGCGCATGATCACACGGCCCAGGCTGGCGGATAGCGAGTCGTCGTCAGGCGTATTGCGTCCCCAGATCTGCACCGCGTCAACGCTATAGCTCATATTTCAAGGGTTCGGGGAAACGGGACTTCGAATGCAAGCCCAGGGATTGTGCGTTAAGACGTCATGGATCACAACTCAATCCAACAGGCCTGCAAGTTAGGACATATCTTTTCAATCGCCAAGAATCTTGTACTCCATCAAAGTCAGTAGCGGGGTAAGGGCTGTAAAATAGTTGACGCCCGCCTAAGGTTCTACTACCTTATTATCCCGTTGAATAGTGTAGCTCGGGAAATTCCACAGGAGAGCATTGGTAAATCGGGTTGTGTTCCGTTCCCCCCGACCAACAGCTACTGAGCATCGACGGTGCATGTCGGCACACAGACCGTAGATAGCCGGCAAGGCTCTCATATTCCGCAGGTTCAACCAGGTCCTAGGCACCCATCATATTTCCAAAGCCAGGCCATTGAGTGAGCCGTCCAATGGATAGTTTATGCTAGGATTGTAGCCTCACCCTCGCATGCTTAGGTCTTACATAGAAGCGCGCTCAAACACAAAATCACAACTGTCGCCGCCGTAAGAATGCACCGCATGGCATGGATGACGCTTATCGAACCCCTGCACGTCTGCATTCTCATGGATAGACATGAGATTTGCTATCCAACGGACCAGGAGCATTATGGGACGCATAATTTAGCGCCACCAGAGCTTCCTCTTCGAGCACGGATCGCTTGCCCAACAACGATTTGGTTATGTTCAGTGTAGTGTAGAGTAGTAGCGTGGCCTGCAGGGAAGCCAAGCATCGTCAACTATGTCACCGTGCATGAACCCAACTTGCCGCCCACATCCTTCTCAAATACTCGGAGCACGTTTTGGATCTTCAGTCTCCCACTCACCCCAGATTATTTATTCGGAGTCGAAATGTGATGTCATGTACCGTACCACGTGTACATTTCCCCGAATCCTCAAATTTCCGAACGAAATCGAGCCCTTCCGGGGTCTGTAAATCGTGGCTGCATGGTGCGCAAGCGCCCAAGTTAGCCTTGCGGCTTCCGAATACCGTCATCGTGGCACCTCATGCACAGTTGTCAGGACTGCAGCCTTGAGGACTCCTAGATTGCGAAAGCGGAGACAGGGGCTTAGGACCTGGCAAGGGGGATAGTAATGAGGGGATAAAGAGAGTGTGCAGCCGCAATTTAGCGTGTAGTGGCGCTGAGGTGAATGGATGACCGATCAGGGATGATGCAGTTGATGTGGCAATATATTCTCATTACTTAGATTGAATATCCATCGAAGATTTTCGCTATGCTTCCGTTTTGGCTCACCTTGTTCCCTGTAAGGATGCCGAAACACTAACTCTAGCTTTGCATCTCCCCCGTGCTTCTTACATCGGATTTCCAATTTCCACCAGAACTACTCGTCTTTTCTCTCGTCTCGTGGGGCGCATGGCTCGTATCTAACGTACTCGCTCTCCTCCTCAGTCCCCCGGCCTTTCTCCTCCTAACGAACTGGTATCCTCGGTCCAATTCACTTTCCACAGCACACCGAATCTTCAACGCCGAAACAGCGGGCCACACGCTTTTCTCGCCGCAGAGGATCCAATGATCAAGACTCCCGCGGGTGGGGGTCTCTAGGAGGCGAAGGAAATCGCCGGTGCTTAATTCCGGGACAAGCGTCACACTTGCGCCGGGAACTGTTTCGTCAATGAGAAAGCGTCTGGTGCTCGCCGGAAGAACGCCAAGAGAGTCAAGCTGCGAGAGGCGATGATGTATTTCCATGGTTATTAGCCTCAATAGGTGGCTTGTAAAACTCGTCCGGCCCCGTCGTGCATAGCTGCCTGATGGGCCATGCATATCGCTTTGCAGAAACGGTACGAGGTATGGGCGCGCTTGCGAGATGATGAAGTGGTTTACGTTGAATAACTCAGCAACTCGCGTTAGAGGCGACTCCCGGTCCGAATAGGTGGCATGCGTCCAAGGACGGAAGGTGGCGGATTCGGAGGGGAACCAAGGCACGATGGTGCCATCGAGGGACTTCGATAAGAGGTTGACAGAGCGGCCATATAGCGTCGGGTTTGACACATTTGACGCGAGAGCTGCAGACCAAATAAGAACGTTGGGTGCCGTGAGGTAGTTCAAAAGTGTCGGCACACTACCATGACCTGATGTAGCCACTGTAATATTGAGGACTCGTTTCGTGCGATTGTAGGCCTCTTCGAATGTCAAATCTCCAACATTGGCCCTCACGCAATCTTCTAAAACGGAGATATCCAGGAAATATCCCTCCCGGTAGAACCTCTTTGTTCTCCTTCCTAGCGTCGCCCACCACCCGCCATCTTTCGGTGGCCTCTTCTTTAGGTCTCCATCGTTTCCACCTCCAAACGCAGTCAGGTCAATCCCGTCGCCCGTTAGGAATTCTAAGAGCTCGTCCTCAGTGTGCACCCCCACCAACGCAGCAATTAGCGCCCCGGTAGCAGTTCCTGTAATGATCCTAGGTAGCAGTCCCCTCAGATACAGCGCTTTTACAACGCCCAGGTGACACATGCCAAATATCTCTCCTCCCTGCAGCACCAAAGTACTCCTTCCAAACGCTTGCCTCGTATCATGAAGTAGGTCTAGTTTTGCTTGGTTACTAAGCCCTGCTGCCGTTACATTTCCATCTGTGCCTGCTGTGCCTGGCAAAGCTGCCACAAAAGAGATGGCAATGGCAACCTGCGTGATATAATCTTCGATAAGTAATTTTGTGCCAGCAAAGGCGCGGTTGAAGAGTCGTGGAGCAGTGATGTTGCCGAGGTTCCTGACGAGGCCAGATCGGAGTAGATTGACGAGGGTAAAAACATCGTTCTCTTCGCGGGCAACGATTATGGATTGGAGTCGCTCGTGGATGAGGCGGTAATCATAGTATTTTGAGATTGGATTCTGGCGCCTATGTAATTGTTAGTTTCTTTGAAGCTTGTAGTGCTACACAGGCAGCGGAATCGTGCCATACCATAAGTCATTCCCAAGCAACACGTCTAATTGAAAGGCCGCCTCTTCCCACTCCTCATATGATTGTGCATTCTGGAGAATGTTGACCCAAACATCTGTTGGCTTCTTCCATGTCAACCAACTCCAAAACCTCTAGAGACCATGTCAGCGATATCCACAGTATGTATTGTCGAATTGGTCTTCTTACACTCTTCCAGAACAAGACGACTTTCACGATCATTCCCCAGAGAGCGGCGAGAACGGTAGCCATTTGTCCTTAGACGCACCCCTCATCGTTCAATCAAAAAGCAAGTAGAGACTTTGGTCTACGCAGCAAATTGGCAGCCATGCGGAATGTTCTATCGAGTTAAGCTCAGAAGAGTGGGCAAGCCATAATCGTTGTGGTTGGGTTGGCATGTGGGTGTATACCCGGATAATTATTACGTAGCTCCGAGAGGTATCCACGATAAGCACATGCTTCCTCAAACAAAGCTATGAACCTTACATTACCACCATTCAGACTTCTCGCATTGTTCACTCAAGATGCGTGCAGCTACACGGCTTTTCCAAGCCTGTCGTATAACTTTCTTCACGCGAGACGGTTGTAAGCTTTGCACCGATGCGAAACAAACTCTCTCGGACGTGTGGGATGTCCGGCCATTTGTATACAGAGAGATCAATGTCATGAAGCCAGATCAGACAGTATGGAGGAACCTATATGAATTTGACACCCCAGTGGTTAGGATTTCAATATCGATCAATTCAATAGCTAATTTTAGTCAGATCCACGTCACCAACGCGTCGTCCCCTGAGGAAGACCCTGAGCTATCTGGAAAAGCAAAAAAGCTTATGCACCGATTCACTGCCGAAGAAGTCCAAAAGAAGATGAACGACGCGGAGGCCCCGCCTTAAGGAATACATATTCTATTCGACTATATCGTCTATTTTCCATATGGTCCGGTCATCTTCTCAGTTGACTGGCCACCTTTAGCCTTGGCTACTTCTGAACCCAAAAACACCGCCAGCGCAATCGCGTCTGCCGTGACATTGACCATGTCAAAGCCCAGCGCTGCCATCTTATTCGCCTGTTCACCGCTTGGGGTGTAAATTCCCGATTTTTTACCCGCCTTTTGCGCAGCAGCAAGAACCTTTGCAATAGCAGCCTCCAGCTCCGGGTGCATTGTTGGGCCCGTAATCGGATAACCCAGTGCATTGCCAAGGTCGAATGGCCCCACGAAGAGGACATCCACGCCCGGAACTGCCGCGATCCCGTCAACGTTTGCCAGGGCCTCGGCAGTCTCGATTTGGACGACTGTGAGGAGAGAGGAGTTGGCCTGGACAAGATACTCCCCAGCTGTCATCGTTGCAGAAAAGGCTCCCTGGGAGAATGGAGAGCCAAAGCCTCTGATACCTTGAGGTGGGAACTTGGCAGATTTGACGAGTCTCTCAGCATCCTCAACTGTGTTCAAAAGAGGGACTAGTACTCCGTGGGCTCCACAGTCCAGCGCACCTAGACAATTTTAATATTTGCTATCAAAGAGACTTGTTCAATCCCACTCACGCTTTACAAGCCAGCCCTGGTTGTCAGGTATCCTGACAATCGGACTCACGCCAGTTGCGGCAATGGCTGCAACAGACTCATGCATAGCAGCATCTGCAGATATCATTGTTTAGCCTTATAAATGCAGTATAAGTGATGAGAATTGTGCCATACCAGCGATGTTACCATGCTCACAGTCAACAAGAACCCAGTCTACTCCGCTATTCGCACAAGCCCTCGAGACATTGGTTCCTGGAATGGTCTGCCAGATGCCCCAGGCCTTATCTCCGTTGTCCAAGACCTTCTTCAGTCTGTTTGCCTGTATCATCGCCATGGTTTCGGTTTAGTTGCTATTGATATTGATGGGTTTATTTCCGGTAATCATCGGGTGTCAGCAATGTCAGTAAACCAAAGGGTTACACCTCTTTATACCCCGCCATAACCCCCACTTTGTCTAACATGCCGCTAAGGACTGAGATACCTCCGCACCAAACCCCGCCCCATATGGAGCATAGTCTGAAAATCGCCTGAGATTGTGGAGATTTTGGAGATTTTGGGACCTAATTATAAATCCTCGGTCAGAAGCAATATAGCCTAATATTTAATGCGTGAAAGTGCCTTTGCAAGGGACGATAGATTGGTAGCGATTGCTGTATTCGGCACTTGTGGCTGAAGCTTATTGATACCGAACCGAACGACGTAGCTCTAGAACACCACACATCAACCCCCACACTATCCAAGTAAACAATTACCAACCTCATACAGCTCCTCCACTGCAGAGCTTCGCAGGATCGACCCACCATACCTTCACCACCTTACGGACCTATAGAGTCAAATCTTTTCTTAACCGTCCTACTCGATACTTCTCGCCATGTCGTCTGACGCACTTCCCATCGGCACCGCAGCGTTTGCGGCGGCACTTGAAGCACTTCCACTCTCAACCCTCCACCTCAAGGCAGCAGAGCTGCGCAACTCCCTCGCCCACCTCGAATACTCAAACGCACAGCTGGAGCCCTATGCACGTCCACCAACAGGTCAGGAGCCGGATATCGTATGCGTCGAAGCAATCGCGGAAAATGCCATCGTGATGGAACGTATCAGGGAGCGGTTGGCGCTGCTACGACAGGAAGCGGAGAAAAGGGGCCTGGGATGGGGAGAGTTTGTCGGAGAAGACGAGATTGACCTGTTGGGCGGAGAGAATGGAGAATCTGGAGCTGGACGGGCAGCTGCGACGGGCTCTTCGCCGGAGGAATTAACAGCGCGGGAAAGCGAAGAATTGAGGACCCTGCAAGGGATGCTTGCAAGACGTGAGAGCGGTTCCACGGAGCGTGTGAGTAATGATTCTACTAGGGCACACTCGGCATGGACGGATGGTACGTTTCAAACAGGTCGGATTACCAATGGTGTTCTGGCAATGGACGACGACATCACCAGTGTGCAAGGAGCTATACAAAGCGCGGGAAACAACACGACTGGTACAGCCACGAATGGAACAAATGGCGCGAATGGTGCGGAGGGTGCAGGTGGCGCAAATACAGGTCGAGGGGGCACGTTGTCAGACGAGGAGCTTAGGAGGAGATTGGAAGAGAGGCTGACCACTGAAGATGATGGAAGCTTGTATCTATGATCTCCAAAGAGCATGGTACAACGCAATGGATGGCGTTGACGATTTGAACTATACGCAAACGGTAATGGGTAATGGGAACGGAAGCAGCTGCGCCAAATATTAAGGACGACGGTCAATGAACGGGCTACGCCTATCTAAATGCCTGGCGACACAGCATTATAATACCGACTTGGACCCATATCCTACCTCGAGACGACAGGCTCCATAATCAAGGGAGCATTAGGGAAACACCGTTAGAACAAGTTCACTAGGAGAACATCAGTTCTTATCAATACCCAAAGGTTTTATATGCATTTCCAAAGACCCCTAGGCTCATTAGCATTTGCCTTGAGCGGTGGGTGTCTCGGGCATGAGTATATTGACTTCAGACCCCGACCATCCCTTCGAATGCTTTGACTCCAGCCCGAAACCCATGTTCCCACTCCCATACTGATCCCCCTTCCTTCCCACTTTCCCGGAGACGTTTTTGAACCCATATTTCCAAGCACCCAATCTTCTCTGCGCCGCCAGAACTACTCGCAACCTCTCCCATGTGGCCGTCAGCCCTCGCAAACCAGAAGCACTTTGCATCCTCCCAACCTACATCCCACCCATCACCGTACCAGTGATGTTCAAACTTCTTGCCAGGCGCTGTTTGACTCCAATACTCAACATGGCTCCCCAATGCTCGACTAAAGGTAAATTCTTTGGATCTCGTTGCCTCGTCCGCACGGTGCTGTACGTCACTCGGATTCAAGAACAGCCACGGAGGCGCTACAATCGTGCGCTTTTTAACCTGCTCGAAGAAACCCCATTCGCCGCCGTCCATCCACTCCATCTTTGCAGTCCAAAAATAAGTGCCTCCGGATTTCTCTCGCCATCTTTCACTCTGAACATTCCCAAATTGACGAACGAGTTCGTCTTTCTGAGATGGGTCAGATCGAGACCAAGTCCTGCCGTCTAGTACGCAACTGTACTCCCCAATAATTATTTGCGCTGCCCCTCGATCATGGACGCTACCAACATATTTGTCCATCTCTCCTAGCTCATGGGGCACTTGCGAGATAATATGCTGCGGTGCCTTTGCGCGATCGGCTTCGCTGAAGGTGTAGTACTTGTGCGTGTCCACGACGACCGGGTTTCCACCCCGATGCTTTTTGTTTTCAACCCATCTCAGTGAACTCTCCAAGTCCCACGCATCGCTCACATAAATCGGCATCGTCGGATCAATGTCCAGTATCTCCCTCAATACGTCGTCGTACCATTCATGCAACTTATGTGCGCCTGCAGCGGCCTCGTTGACGATCTGCACTCCTACAATACCTTCCATGTTCCCAGCTTGGCTGACGACTTGCAATACCACTTTCTTGGCCATTTCTCGGTTCTTCTTCCCTGTGTTCCAATGGTCCCAGAGCTCAGCTTTCCCACTATCGGTCCCTGAGTGCATATCTTTATTTGCCCCCCCAGGGAGCGCGTGGAGATCGAGGAGAACTCCTATGCCAGCATCGTTTACTCTTCGTACGAGTTTGCACACAGCCGCCCATGCAGAGACGTATACATCCGCGGCGGCCTCAAACGGCGTCTCCTGGCAAAATGCAGGACCGAGGGTGAAATACCCAATGGGAAGGCGAATGCTGGTGCACCTCGCCTCGTGGACAAGAAACCGGATATCATCGTCTGACAACGCTGAGTTCCAATGATTTTCCCAGCGTTCTTTGGTTTTATCAAGTCCGATTTCGGACAGAGAGGATGTTACGGCAGCAAGCTCTGAGTCTCCTGGAGCGGAGAACAGGGACGGGAAAAGCCAGCGTTCCAGGACGAATATGGAGCCAAGGTTGGTTCCGTGATGGTATCGGTAACGGAAAATATCTTGGCGAGTTACGGGACGAATAGATGAAGCATGGGGAGTACTGGTGGTAGTAGCTTGAGGAGATTGGGAGGGGGCAGGGTTGGAGTCCGTGACGTTTGAGATGCGCCTTTTCGCATGGTCGATGATGGATTTCATCGTTATAAAAAGTGGTATTAAAAAATAACTAAGGGTGCTGTTTAAATCGCAGCCGAATAAATACTGAGGAGCACAGAGATAATAGTTTATCTCTGGTTCTGGACATGGAGGAGTGGCTATCTATGATGCGATTATATCCAAAATTATGGCAAGGCTGAAGATCGACAGCTACGTCATAGACGGCTTCGTCAGCCTTTCCCCCCCTCAATTTCCACTTTGTGACTCTTGTGAGAAGTTATCGGTGGGTTATAAGGAAGCCAGCAACAGTGATGCGTGAGAATTACAATGTCAGGTGAACATGTGAATTTATAGGTCATTACATCTTAAATTAATTACAGTAGATATTATTGGAGAGTGTCTAGTATTCCCTGCCTGTGTCCCTTCGCCTTGGTCTGATAGAAGATAACACATTTAAGCTCCACCTTCTCTTTTCTCATACTCCAGCTCCATCCGTTCCAAGTACTCTTTCGATGCCTTGTCTTCTGCAGCTTTCTCTGCCTCGGTCTTGTTTGAAGTAGTCCCAGGCTGCCCTTGGGTCGTTGTGGTGTTATTTCCTTGGCTTGGCTGCTCTGCCTTCGGCGCCGAGGATCTGTTGTCTGCAATTGGCATTTTGGTCGGTTTTGTTCTTCAGCTGAAGTTGTATGTTTGAGGAAGAGCGTGATATTGAGGAGAATCGGCTTATGATTTGGTTGGAGTTTATAAAGAGCTATCAAAAGGACAGGATTTCAGCCACATTATATAGTCATGCCAGGCGCTAGCGGTCAATAGGGTGGGTCCCTCAGCCACACTTCACAACTTCGCCACCAAAACTCTCGATGGCACGTGATTTTTGTGCTATTGAATTATGAGTTATGAATTTATAAATTATGAATTCAGGTGGAGGAAATTGGTAGCTCAAGTCCAGTCAGATGAATGAAACAAATCATGATACTCGGGTATCCTTAATATCCTTAATAACTCCATACATTTTTCTATAATACGTTCACAGCATGGATAACAGCATCCTCGAACCCGCATTCCCAACTGCTTTCTGGGTGGGTGCAGCCTTCTTCTTTCCCTTCTTTGCCTTGACATCACCATTCTCCTTTCCAGCTCCTGCGATCTCCGCTGCCTTCGCCTTCTGCTCTGCCGTCTCCTCGGTAGCTGCCTTCTGCAAGGCCTTCTTTCCCTTCTTCAGCTTCTCCAACACCTCCGCTTTCGAGGAGAAGTTCTCGGTTTCTAACAGAGAAAGAACAACGAAAGAGCTCGAGCCAGTAGCCCACTCAATGATGTGTTCCTCAATCACAGGGTAAAGTATGTCTGCGAAGTTAAGAGGTGGCGACACTGGGATAATCTTCTTCAACTTGTTGTCAAAGCGACCACCAGCGATGAGGGAGCGTAGCATCTTGCCGCCGAATGCGGTATTTGCAATGTGCAAGCTTGGGCCACCCGAGTGATCGTTAAACGGAATATCAACTTCCATTGCGTCCTCAGCCGGAGCAGCAGTATCCACATCCATGGCATCTGCCTCAACAACAACAGCCGTTGGGTCTCCTCCAGCTACAGATGCGACAGCCTCCAAGGCAGCAGTCTTATCGCCCACAGATGCGAAGAGAACCTCGGTGATGAACTGGCAGCCGAAGGAAGTAGTGGCGAGTTCGACAGCGGCGGAAGCAATGGCATTGAGAAGAAGAGGTGAGAGTGCCTTCGCGAGTTCAGCGCGCCTGATTTCGGGGTCTTTCTTAGAAGTAGTGGCGCGAGCGACGTCAACCTCGTTGAGGACTTCGATGTCGGCGGCGAGGCTGGCGGGGAAGAGAGAGCTTGAACGGCCTTGGAAAAGGTAGAGTAAGGTCGTGCGAGCATTTAAGTCGTTGGCGGCAGTGACAACCATCTCAGCTTGTTTGTCGGCATCCTTGGTGAGAAGTTCTGGGAATATCGATTTGGCAGTGAGAACAGTATCATCGACTGTCTCATAAGCTGCGAGAATAATCTTGTGGCCATTTGGGTCGCCTGCCATAAGATGAATGGTATCTTTGTAGGCCTTTAAGATGTGCTTTCTATCCTTGGCAACACCATGTGCGAACGCAAGGCAGACTACGCGAGCTCCAGAAGTTGTGAATGCCAAGTTCTTCAGAAGATCACTCTCCTCGTCACTCTTTAGCAGCTCCATGAACTCAGTCTCTTCTTCGGTGCCGGTCTTAACGTTCAAGTAGTACTGAAGCATCGCATCGTGTAATAACGTGAAACCAGTCATTTTCTTTTGGACGAGATGGTTGATCAACTCCTTCAGCTCGCGCATGATAGGAGCACGCTTTCCAGGCTCCTTCTCGAGCACATCTGCGAGGTCGCCGGAAACCTTCTCGCCGTCGCGGAACAGAGAGAACTCCGCACCATACCACTCCCTGATAATTGTAGCCTTCTGTTGCCTGTTGGCAACCCCACGGTAAACATCGTCCAAAATCCAAGAAGCCTCGGCGTGCTTGATCATCTTGCGCACATGGCCGAAGAATTCTGGGACAATCAGATCTCTGATCTCGTCGTCTCCTTGAATAAGCAGCTTTCCGATGAGGAACTTGGCATATTTCGACTCTGCGAGTTGGCGGTATGTTCCCTTCAGCTCCTTTGCGATCATTCTCTTCTGCTCAGGTGTAGAGTATTTGATGGCAGTCTGGATCACACGTACAGAGTCATGCTTCAGGACGAAGTCCTTGACCTTGCCGGTAATAATCTGGAACAGCTCCTCGACAAGCTGCTTTCTCTCCTCCTTTGGAACATGAGACTTCCTTCTAAGTCTCTCCCAAATCTTCTTTGTTCGTAAAAGAGGGTCGGCGAGCGGCTTAGCTGCCTTTCTCTCTGCAATTGTCGCCTTCTGCTTTGCGTGTGCCTCTCTGGAGTTGGTACCTATAAACGAATTAGATGAGAAATGTTGATCATAACGGTATACATACCATTGGGTCCCTGGCCAGCAGCAAACTGCCTTCTCTCAGGGTGTATTCCATCATTTGCCTCTTCCATTGGAGTATCTTCTTCCTCGGCTCCGTTCAATGGCACACCGCCATCGACATCCATGTCATCAGAGTCCTCATCGTTAGACTCCACCATCTTTGGCTTCTTTGACTTCTTCTCTGGCTTATCTTCCTTTGATTTCTTCTCTGGTTTATCCTCTTTCTTGGAGGACTTCTTCTTCTCAGGTTTCGTAGATTCTGCCTCTACCTTTGATTTTTTGGTTCCCTTAACGTGTGCTTCCTTCGACGGCTCAGCCTTCCGCTTGATGCCCGAAGTACTGCTTTTCTTGGTTGTTGCCGGGGCAGCCATGGCGAACAGAGATAAAATTCCGTTAGCAATATGCTATGATTGTCGCGGCTGTGGAATTAACTGTCCAAATTAAGAATACAAGCAACCCGGTCGAGTCGCAACGTTCACGTTGTAACTGTTCTGCCACAATCTTATCAAGAACTTTTTCTTACCTTCAATCGCGAGGCTTTTTTTGCAGGGGTACTACTCCCACTAGTCTTCTATAGTACTCGCGTTGTCCTGGCGAGGCTGTGGAAGTTTTCCACGTGATTCGTCGATTGTCAACCCCCCACTATCACCAATGATTCTCATACTTCTACGTCAATAAGCCTGTCTCACAAGGCAAATCCTCTTACAATGGGTCGCGAAGATCAAGTGGAGGAGCGGGAAGTCCTGGACTCTATTTTCCCGGACGAAATAACTGGTATGTAGCATCTTACCTTTCTGTCTAACGTCCTAGAACACACAATTTCGGAGCGAAGAGATGAGAGCACATTGCTAATGCGACGTCACAGATATTTCGGAAACATCTTACACGATATCAATCCTTCTCGATGTCACCAACGAAGCCGGCAATGAGGCCGAACCTCCAACCATCATCCTGAAGATCGAATACCCGGAAAACTACCCAGATGAAGCCCCGCTTGTCGAGATTTGCGCACCAGATGATGTGGTAGCACACGAACTTTTCGACATCGAAGAGGACAGAGAGCGGTTGATCGATGCCCTGAATGATTCCATTGAGGAGAACATGGGCATGGCCATGGTTTTCACCCTCGTTTCGACTGTCAAGGATGAAGCTGAGCAGATAATACAAGAGCGCCAAGCAGTGCTGATGCAAGAGCACGTCAAGCGCGTGATGGCTATCGAGGCCGAGGAGAACAAGAAATTCCATGGAACGCCGGTGAATATCGAGACGTTTGCGAAGTGGAGGGACGCTTTCAGGAAAGAGATGGACGATATCGAGCAAGCAGAGCGTGAAGTAGAGGAAGCTGCCGAGAAGAAGAGAAACAGAGGGAAGGAAACGGAAGTTAAGCTTACAGGAAGACAGCTTTGGGAGAGCGGCATGGCTGGTAAGGCGGATGAGGATGACGATTTGGAGGATGCTGCTGTAGCGGCTATGGAGAAGGTCAAGGTTTGACGAGATACGTTCGAGGTTTTTATTGCTTGGGTCGGAACAACCGATCTCCATGATATATGAGGCGTTGCATTGGAGGCGTTTTGGGTAGAGCCGGAAAATACGCGGACCATCAGGGCCATAGGCTCTGTTAGGTATCTATAGTTGCAATCATGAGCACAAAACGCAGCTGACAGCTCCCCTTTTTCAACAATGAATAGGCAAGTGTATCAACATGAACTTGTGTATATGAACTCAAATCGCAATGAATCTCCGGATCTATCTCCGGGTGTGGGATTTTGTAGTTTATTGACTACATAGTTTTCTTGATTCTTTTGGCGATGCACTTGGCATTAAACCCGAAACAGTGATTTCATAATCCTAACGAATCACGGCTAGATCTAAACTTTTATAGCTTTCTAGAGAGCCCCATACACTGATATTCAGCCTAGCAGGCTCCCCGGGTTCAATTCTATACATGTTGGCCAGTATCAATCCTGATAAACTGATCAAATGCCACCCATCTCCTCATCTTCTTCATCTTCATCGCCACTATCGGACTCGTCATCCTCCTCCTCTTCACCTTCCGCCAGTACCCCGAGGTCTTTCTCCAAATTGGAAATAAGTTCCTTTGCGTGTTCTCCGAGGCGCACATCCTCGTAATCTTGTTGTTGGAACAGCTTTAAGCTGTGATTCAGCCATTGTCGACTGGAGATCCAGTAAACCTTGTGTCCCTCTCCACTAACATCCTTCTCCTTCTCCTTCTCGCCCAAGATATAAAGTCCCCAGCCACCAAGGTACCATACCTCAACACTGCTATCATCCTCTCCCACCAGTCTCTCCAATACCTCAATTGCTTCCTCTTCCATCCCACTTTCCATCAACAATCTCGCCAAGCTCACCCTCGTTGGGAAGTCTGGCACCAGTTCACTCTCTGGATCCTCGTCCTTCCAGACTTCAATGCTGCGCTTTAAAGCAGCTTGGGCGTCTTCGAGTCTCTGCTGTGAAATGCGAACACTAGCCAACGTCTGCCATGGCTCTGCGAAGCCTGGTCCGACAAGCGTGGCTTCAGTGACAAGTGCCTCACACCTCTGTTCCGCATCTTCCTCCCAGCTCAAATCCGTCATGTACACCTCCACAACTCCGCATAGCGCAGTTGCTAGCTTTCTCCTCTTCTCTGCAACCAGAGCCTCCACCTCTGCCGCTTTGTTTGCATCCGCTGTCTCGACAAGCTTCTGTATCTGAGCCCGCAACACCTTGGCGCCCTGCTCGAACCACTCGACACTGTCCCGGCCTCCCTCTTCACTCAGCTGCGCCAGCCAGAGGAACTTCTCAGCCCCACCTCCAACCTCCTCAGCAAGCTCTCCCTCCTCGTCGATTTCGACAGCTTGTGTGAAATAGGCCCTCGCGGCCTCGATATCGCCGAGCTCAATGTGGATTTCACCCAGTAAATTCAACGCCGGAAGCGCCTCGACGGAGTCGACATCAACAAGGCCCAAGGCGCGTTGTGCTAATGGAACAGCGCTCTCGATATCGCCTTCCAGAAGCTTAGAAGTGGCCTGGTCGAGGAGAGACGACGAAGATGCGGGCGGTGAAGAAGCCTTGCTGGGAGTGGCTATTGTGCGGTTCAAAATATTTTTGGAATCCCGGTTGGCCTTCGACTGCGGGGGCTTTGTTTTCGCCATTGTTGCAATGTATGAGATTTTTGAAATGAAAGGGCGATGTCTGTTGACTGAAATAGTTTATTCCTGGCCACGAAGAACTTCGCGGGGCGGCAGAATTATTTTTCGAGGCGGGGCTTGGTCTGTCGATGACGGCAAGCGCTTACCGCTTTTGGAACAGATTCAACACCCAAAAGTATTGTAGAGTATGAATAGTAAACCAGTATACGTAAATACGTAGTGTAGTTGAGTCATTTGGAATAAGCCTATTTGACTGTATTTGATGCATTAATTATTGAAATATAGTATCACAGTAAACCAGAATTCGTAAATATGGGATAAATTGGTTAAGTCACTTGGTATGAGTGGTTTTGACACTGTTTTATGGATTTATTATTGAAATAAATAACACGATGAAGTATCACTCCGATAAATTTGGCAGATACTACGTAAACATGGATAAATTATTTAAGCCTTTTGACATATGCTTGTTTAAACTATGAATTACTATTTGTGTTTATTACTGGACGGGAAAATAAATCTCATAGTTTGTGGTCTCATATTATGCCTAACGAGGGATGTCTCTATCGGAACAGGCAACCATCACATCGTCCCCTGTGACGTGTATTTCCATTCAGTCACCATAATATGTGTGCTCTATCGACAAAAATCAATACCCAAACGTTGCCAAACGCCGACCAGCTCCCTCACGTGTCAATATAAAGTACAACGCCCGCCCGGGCAACTTCTCACACGGGTATCTACCGCACTTCAGTCCCTTGCTGAGAATTAGCTGTCACTGGCCTTTCCATGTTGCCTAGCTCTGCACCCTGCCCACTAAGGCCCCTCTTCCTATTTGTGAAGTGGAATCTGGACGTCAAAGGTGTTGCTAAGGCGGGCTCATCGGACCCCTGGTCGCCCAGTCTCGAAAAGAAACCCTTTTTCTTCGGCGCAAGTTTGTCTTTGATCGGGTTGTCATTCAGGCCCACGTCTTCGAATCCTTCGCCTTCTTCTTCTTCTGTCGGTGGGCCCCCTTGAAAGCGCCCTTCGTGAAGTGATGAGCGGGGTAAGCGGGGTAGACGCGCATCGAGAGATTGGCGCCCATTCACAGATGATGAACTCTCCATAACCGGAGACCTAGCAGAAATATCCTGTTAAAGGCATTAGTCTATGTTTTCTGGATTTAATGGACTGTCGAGACTGACAAATGAGCGTCTGTACGAATCAAAGGATTCCCTGGAGATGGAGAATGGCTCAATTTCCGCGAAACTTCGGGTTGTACTGGAGGATGCATTCGATGGGTTGGAGCGACGAGGCCAGAAGCTTTTCTTTTCGGGTGGTGATGGCTACCATAATAGTCAGAGTTGCTCTACACATCTAGGTTTTGATATTTGCTTACTGGTAAATATACCCCGCTATCATTGACGACTGTTTGGATATGAGCAAGGTTCTGGAGGGAAACTACTACTCAAATATCATAGTCTAGGGTATAATTTACCGCTCATTTTATATTCCGGAGGCTGTTCAACCTTCTTGCTATTTATACTCAATGCGGAGGACGTTTTAGACGCCTTTATATCCGCATTGTCAACTGCCAAGCCGTGGCCGCCGGGAGACTCGGGCCTCGCATTTTCGTCCGGCAGACCCTCGAGGCCAGTACGCTTTGCAAATGGATTCCGAATAGGCATATTGATAACAGTATAGTTGTATGTATACAATTAACAATTATTGAGTCGTCGAAGAATTTGGAGAGTTGTGTTGCGCCTATGGGAAACAGGAAGTTGGTTATGGTTGTCCAAGCGCCAGGGCGGCCTCCCTTCTGACGTCGTTAGCTGCGGAAATGGCGGGTTTGACCTCGGACCGCGACCTGTTCCTGGACGTTGGTTGGTTCGATTCTGTGTTATTTAGGCTATTGGAATCCGTGTGGCTCCAAAGTCCGGGGAAATACATTTGAACTGATACGAAAATCGAACCTGATGGGATTCCTCTCGTTGCTTGATCTCCAAGTAATTCTCTTAGCAAAGGCTATAATACGGTAATTATAGTTTTAATTGTTTAGACCCTTATTTTTATAGTGGTTATAACACTTGTAAATGGCAATAAATTCTCCTGGCTATTATTAAGCTCATAGTGAGTTGTGCACAGCCCCTTCATCGGGTCTTTGGGCTGTCACACAAGGAATATCTTGCCATCGCTTCCTTATGACCAGGTTTGGGCTGGGCGTAGAGCAGCAAGTACGTTCCAGGAGGGGGAGGGGCCAAATATGTCATGTGACACCGCGTACTGATTACAAACGCGAGCCGACAAGGGACGCGTCCACCCAACAGAAACAACAACTAACACGAATTTATCGATTCGGAAGAGCTGGCCAAACTGGTCTAATCACGTAAGAAAGTTTGTCGTGCTTGGCTTACGGTAACAATAACAATGGTGGCCGAGGATATGGAGGGATCACAAGGCATTGATGAGGGCGGAGTTGGAGGTCCTGGTGCCCCTACGCCTTTGTGGTCACTCGAGGTATGATTATTCCTACCTGCAGCATAGAACACATCGGGACGAGCACTAAAATTGAAACCATCAGGGCGTTGCTGGACTTACAAAGCGCGATATTCAACTTGTTGTTGATGGCGGCTTTAATACCGTCGAGGCTGTTGCCTACACTCCCCGCAGAGTCCTGGAACAGATCAAGGGAATCTCGGAGCAAAAGGCAACGAAGATATTAACAGAAGGTCAGTACCGTATACAGGAAGTAATTGTTCGAGTACTAATTCAGAAATAGCTTCCAAGCTTGTCCCCATGGGCTTCACCACAGCAACAGAGATGCACCAACGCCGCAGCGAACTGATTTCTATCACCACTGGCTCCAAGCAGCTCGACACCTTATTAGCTGGTGGTATCGAAACAGGTTCTGTCACAGAAATATTCGGCGAATTCAGGACTGGAAAGAGTCAGATCTGCCATACATTGGCGGTTACTTGCCAACTTCCTTTTGATATGGGTGGCGGCGAGGGGAAATGTTTGTACATCGACACAGAAGGAACATTCAGACCAGTTCGTCTATTGGCTGTGGCAAATCGATATGGACTATCAGGAGAAGAAGTCCTCGATAATGTAGCGTATGCGCGTGCTTACAATTCCGATCATCAGCTCCAGCTTCTACAACTGGCCTCGCAGATGATGTGCGAAACCCGCTTTTCACTACTCATTGTTGACAGCGCCACATCTCTATATCGCACGGATTTTGTTGGAAGAGGGGAATTGGCATCAAGGCAAACCCATCTGGGGAAGTTTATGAGAGCCTTACAGCGTCTTGCAGACGAGTTCGGCATTGCAGTTGTCATTACCAACCAGGTCGTGGCCCAAGTTGATGGAGGACCCAGTGCGATGTTTAACCCAGATCCTAAGAAGCCAATAGGTGGACATGTTATTGCTCACGCGAGTACAACCCGGCTCAGTCTGAAAAAGGGAAGGGGAGAGACGAGAATATGCAAGATTTACGACAGCCCTTGTCTTCCGGAGAGCGACTGCCTGTTCGCCATCAACGAGGATGGCATTGGTGACCCAAGTCCAAAGGATCTCGAAAAAGACTAGATCTTTAGGGGACACGAGGAATGGGTTCACAATCGTATGGGTATGGAGAATGTGCATTGTTGAGTTACGAGGCTATGAGAAACTTTGTTAGAGAAAGAGCTTGGCGTTATAGATATTGTGTGCTTTAGCATGCCGCGAATTGTACATTTAATTGGCCTAGCATTATGAACTTGGGAACAATAAACTGCCTATTTGCATTTGTAGCTATATCATATTATTTGAAGGCGTAGTGCTATCCATGGTGATGTGGAAATGTGAAGTGGAACTGGAGTGATGAGCTAAACTCTATTTTGGGACTAGCGCGTATCTTCAAAAGCTGCTACCAAACAAAGTTGACGTGAAGCCATACGGAATATCAGCGCCTGCGCCCAGCTCCTAGCTCCTTCTTCATGAGTTCTATGATTGCTTCTTGATGGAGGAAAGATGCAAGCCCAAGCACCACCGTATCTCTTCAAGGAGACGCGTATAAATCTCGACTCACCACTTTCCAATTCTACAGTTATCCTACGCCTTCCTGTACCAGGCGCCTCTACCAGATTAGCGCGGACGCAAAAGAGGCCTCTGGCGACTGAAATCGCACTCACTGAGGATGAAAATGCATTTAAATCGAAGCATCTAGCGTCAGCCTCCTCGATATACCACCGCCTGTACCATACCTCACCTCGAAGTTTCCACTGGCGCGTCTTGGAAGATGGGAAAGCATTGTCCATAACCGCTGTGGATGTATGCAAACGAGAGAACGGCCCCGAGAACCCTCTCACACTCCGACTATACTTTTCGAGCCCAATTCGACCTGGCTGCATTGCATTTGCCGACCACGAAGAGCACGATACATTGAGCGTGTTGGCTCTGACAGAATCGAATCACTTGTATACACTCACGCTGAGACCCGACTCCTTCAGACGACGCGCAAGCACGGAAAACAATGTAGATGACTGGTGCAAGATCTACCTGTCGACAGCGTTCAGCTTTAAGCACCCCCACCGCCTCGTTGCACGAAACCCAGGAGAAGTTCTCATATCTCTCCACGATGGAGGCCTATTAAGGTTAAACCGACTACCTGGCGAAGATGCTTCATCATGGAAGGAGACGTTTTATAATGAAGGTGGCTGGGCGCATGGGCTGAGAAGCTTGATCCCCTTTCAAGGGGGCAATACCATCAAGCACGGGAAGATTAACATCGAACTCTCAGCGGTTACTGCGATTGCTGTACCAAAAGCAGATATCGATGGTGATAATTACGCTTTTACCGTGTCTTTGGACCATCGAATCCGAGTATGGAATCTGGATTCAGGCAAGATCGCGTTTACAGGGGACCTCTTAGGCGCAGAGAGGGAGCCAAACGACCTGGGCAAATGGGTATTACATCCGTCCCAAGCCCAGCTCATCAGAGTATTCCAAGACGACGAGAGAACCACTATTGTCACTTTTTCTCCTATTGGTGCTGGGGAATTCAAATTTTGGACAATGACTTTGAATGGAGACGGCACTGCGGAGTTAATTGACATGTTTCCGGAGATTGTTTTGAAGCCATCGCATCCGATGGCTGGGGATCCCATGACGGATGTTTGGACCGTGGCCGATTTCTCTGCTACCGTACATAACGATGAGCGTGGCAAGCTATCATTGTGGGTGCTATGGAAGAACAATATTACATACCGGGTCCAGACCGTTGACATCACGCTTCTGTCAGCCAATAACACCAGTAGCTATTGGAAAAATGGCTGGTCTGCTGTGGCAACAGATACGGTGTCACAGGCGCCTCTACCTGTTATTCTTCCATCGGATCCAGAAGATGCTACAGAGAAGTGGCTCAATTATATACTGTATCCCGGCAAATACACAATAGCGACCGTGGAGACAGCACTTTCTATTTATGAAAGGAGTCTTGGACGCCCGCAGAAGATATCGGCGCGTGGCAACAAAAATCTATCCGAGAGAATTTGTGCTATAATCGGATCTTCTATACCATTAAGCAGTTCGTCGACTGGGCAAATAGATTATGAGCACTTCAAAACAGCGATAGATGCTCAATGGCGGCGATTCTACCGACTTATTGTTGAGCTAGACAAGCAGCGCGGAGAGGCTTTGGCTCTGAGTTTTGATGCAGATAACCAATTGCACGTTGTTGCTACAGCGAACGGTTTATCAGTAATCCGGGAGTGTAGCCCCATCGAGGAACTCTATTTTAACCCAGATAATGCTTTTGGTGGGAAGTCTGAGGGGCTCAGCAACCTTATTTCAGCTGCGGCAACGTTTCGCGAGAACTTCAACGACATGTTACAGCACTCCTGCAAGGCACAGCTTGCGGTGCAACTCTTCCAAGATCCCTCGCAAACAGATTCCGAACATCTCCAATCATTCTACGACAGATGCAATTTCGCTGGCCAGATCGGTGACGATGATTTCGAGCAGCTGCTAGCATACTTTGGTGGCAGTTTCAAAAATATTACGCTTGGGAGCTATGAAGATTTGTTCAGAGCAATGGCCGGCACAGAAGATATGGCAGCACATCTTGAGCGGTATCCGTTGGCTTCCCTTGGCAGAAAGGTTGCGGTTAAAGGTGTCCAAGAGATAGTCGAGCTTCATCAGTCGGTCTGTTTTGATCAACTGGTCCTTTTAGCCTTCATTGAGGGCGAGATCGACCAACAGGAAGAAGGAATGCAGCTTGATACGGCCGCTGTTCATCGACAGCTTATCGCCGTGCTGAAGCATCTTGAAATATTAGAATGGCTGCTGAAGACGCAAATCTCCATTTCACCTCTGAAGACCGAGAGATCAGAGTCAATCGCCAGTATAAGCGACGCTCAGAAGCCCGAGGAGTTCAAAATAGTAACTGTGTTTGAAGGCACTGTTAACCACCTACTAGGACTCGCCAAGGATTCCGACGTGTCCAATTTAACTGCACTGACCAAACTGCTCGGCCGTGTCTGCGATCCAAACAGTGAGATTGAGCTGCAACCCGCGCTTATTCAAGCGTTTCTTCTGAAAACCGAACACGCGGATCTAGCAGTCTCGTTTTCCCGATTCTGCTCCCAAGATCCTTTCTCGGTGTATATGCAGGGCCGCAGCGCTCTCGCAGTCAAGGATCTGTCCGTAGCAGCAACTTACTTCAAGAAAGCTGCATTTGGTCTTGGTAAGTTTCTACCATCGTCTCATATCTCAATCTCTAACGTAATGGCAGCGCATTCCGAATTACAGGCGACCGATCGCCACTCGTCTGGGTTACTTAATGAAACTGACTGGAACTCTCTCTGTGGTGGCCTCCCATCATACTATGCACACATTGCCTCCCTCTTCGACTCTTCCAAATCGCATTCATACGTCATCGACTTCGCGCGCCTTGCTCTCCAGTTCCTTCCCACTCACTCCAAGGTATCTCCTGCACAGTCGAAAAAGGACACCGCACTCCGCGCAGACCTCCTTTCCCGCCTCTTCTCGTCCGCCCTCCACACAGCCCGCTACGAGCTCGCGCACTCAACTCTACACTTAATGCCCGACGCTGCAATCCAGAAATCCAATCTTCGCAGCCTAGTTTACTCCCTCTGCGAGAACTCTGCTGCAGCTGAGCTCATCGAGCTGCCATTCTTGGGAATGCATGCCTTGGTCGACGAGGCATTAAGTCAAAAGTGCGCGAGTATCGTTGACGTCAACATCGGTGTGCCATGGCATAAAATTCTTTACGCATGGAGGATACGCAGGGGCGACTTCCGTGGCGCGGCAGCGGTGGCATACCAGCAACTCCAGAAGCTGCAGCAGCTTGCCAATGGTGGGCATGGCAAGGATCTCGCGCTGTGGAGTGGAAAGAAGAGCACCGGTGCAGGGAATGACGAGCTGGACACCCCGGTCACGAGACAGTATCTGCAACTTATCAATGCGTTGAGCTGCGTGGAACCAGGGCAGGCGTGGATTCTGGCAGAGCCGGTGGGAAGGAAGAATGGTGTTGTCGAGAAGCGAAGAGTGATTACGCTGGAGGATGCCAGGCGCGGGTTGCAGGATGAGATGGATCGGGTTGAAGGGATCCTCAGAGGGAGGTTTAGCTTTGTTGGAGGAGAGGAAAGGGATGTGGATATGGATGAGGATTAAGGGAGTTGTAGGGCAGCTGCGAGCGGGTTCTGTGTATGATACGAATGGCGTTCAAATGGGAGTTAAGGTACAGATGGAGCGAAAGGGAGGAAGGAGCTAGAGAGGGAGAAACTAGGAGGAATATACCAGGTTCTTGTAAAAAATAACACTGAGGCGATGATGTCTGGGTTTCAATATAGGGAAATCGTCGTAGACAGTGTAAATGATATGTTACAAGTTCGCCGAATGAGCAGGGTTATACTCAACCCAGTGAACTGTTGTGAACTACAGTACCAGCTGCGGATGGTCTTGTGCAGGTCAATAGTAGTTTTTTTTGCAGCTACGTTCGAGGGTTTTCTGCGATTAATAACATGTTCAAAAACGTAGGGACAGAGGTTCACATATCACGAAAAAAGGCACGATTTCGTCACTCTCCTGAGGGTGAAATGCTTCAAGTCATGGTATTCGGGAAAGCAAGCAATATGCTAATTCATCTGGATATACACCTATCAATGACTCCCCCATTCCCAATTTTCCAACCCAAACACTCCACATCTCATTGCCCGGCCATTTAAGCCTTGACGGCGTACTTGCGCTGGGGGAAGTGGGTGTTGCGCTTGGTGGTCTTCTCGAGGACACGGGCGGAATCCTCCTTGGACAGGCGGCGACGGATGGCACGGGTCTGCTTGGGGCGGAGGTCGAGGGGAAGGTACTTCTTGTTCTTGTAGAACAGGCGAAGCTGGGAGCGCTGGTTGGCGTTGATGACGGTGAGGACCTTGGCGATCGACTTGCGGATGTCGTGGCTGTAGAGCGAGAAATGTCAGTGATGCCGTGCCACTTACAAGCACCGAGCCTTGCCATCGGAAGTCTCGTTGGAGACAAAGGGGGGTTGATGGGCTTATAGACTCGGGGGCATTGAGACGGGGGATTTGAAGACGCACATCTTGGTGAGCTTGGATGCGGATCCACCAGCGATCTTCTGGGTGCGGAGTTGACCGAGCTCAGTCTTCAACTCGCCGAGCTGCTTCTGGAGGTCCTCCTTGTTCTTGGTCCAGAGGGCACCAGTCTTAACTTTTCCGGACGACTATCGCGACGTTAGCTTTTTGTCCCCTTCAATCCAGTTGTAAATCGTTTCTTGAGCGCGCGCGTCGCATCGAGAATCGAGTGTGTGAGAGGTTCCGTACCATTGTGAGTGATTGTCGAGGTTGTCGTGATTGAGATGGAGTGGTGGTCGGTATGGGCGTCGTCGTCGTCTTCGTTCTGGGCGCGGATCGCTGGGTTGTTTTTCGTAGTAGGGTTTTCGTATTTTATGCCCTAAGCGTGTGATTGGCTTAGCGTGGAAGCTGGGGACAGAGCAGGGACAACTCAGTTAGCGCAAGGCTGAAAATAAGTCATGTGATGTCAATATCTTGGCATCCCATGTCAGGGCCGCGCGCAAGGCAAGGCCGGCCGAGTTGGCCAGGATGTCAACCACTGAGACAATGATGGCATAGGAAAGATCCGCTCTTCAACTTCACTTTTACAACAATATCAAGTACCTATCATGTCTTCCTCAACAGGGACGGGCTGGGCGCAACTACGCCAACAAGCAAGAACACTAGAGACCCAAGTAAATCCTCCTACTCCCCAAGGTTGACCAAACTAACCGGACCCCTAGACCGAATCTCTCTTCCACACCTACTCACAATTTGCACAAATCAGCAACATTCCTCCCTCACCAACCGAAGAACAAAAGCAAACCGAATCCAAAATCAACGAGCTCTTCGAAAAGGTTCGTCCCCCGCCCCTCCCCGAGCCATCCCTTTTCTAACCCGTCCCCCTCCAGCGCGAAACCCTCATAAACCAACTCACCCGCCTCCTCGATTCCGAAAGCACCCTCACCGCCTCAGCCCTCAAGCAAAACAACCTCTCCCGCCACCGCGAAGTCCTCCAGAACGACCGCCGCGAATTCAACTCCCTAAAATCCACGCTCCAGTCCGCCCGCCAGCGCGCCAACCTCCTCACAAACGTCCGCTCAGACATCGACGCTTACCATGCCTCCTCTCCTTCCGCGGAGGCGGACTACATGCTCGGCGAGCGCAACCGCATCGAGAACTCGCATAATATGGCGGATAGCGTTTTGAGCCAGGCGTATGCTGTTAATGAGCAGTTTGGGTTGCAGCGCGAGACGTTGGCGGGGATTCAGCGCAGGATTCAGGGAGCGGCGGCGCAGGTGCCGGGGCTGAATAGCTTGATTAATCGAATTAGTGCGAAGAAGCGGAGGGATATGATGATTTTGGGGACGTTTATTGGAGTGGTGTGCTTGTTGTTTTTGTACTTCCTGTGAGCCAGCGAATTTGGGATGGGATGGGGAGTCAGTTGCTGGCGGCTGTCAACGGTTTGAAGGCATGAACTGGTATACCCTACTCAAGTGGGCTGAGAGGTGAGGCTAGGTTGTACATGGTGGCGAGGTCGGAGATAGACATTGGCGGAGGCAGTGTATGTGATGGGTCACAAGACGGATGGCTGTGTCAGATAGACATGGGAAGCGGAACTTTGTTAATTACTGTCGTTATACCGTGCTGCTTAAAGGCCGGGACACGCAAGCGCTTATGTATCTTTGTGGAGCAGGAGTTAGAAGCGGGTTTGTAATTGTACACGAGGGTATTATTTGACAATATCATACAACAGCGGCAGCCACTGGCTTTCCACCTTCAATCAAATCCTCAGATCGAACTTTTCGTCCCCCCAGGTGAACTCTTCTTCCCCTTCGCCTCCTCAATCAACTTCTTCACCCCCCTAACCAACCCCTCCCTCTCATCCCCCTCCGCAATTCCACTCCCCGCCCACCGAATCCTACACGCCCCATCAAGCAGATACGTATATCCAACCTTACTATTCAGCAACCCCATCGCATCCCTCATCTCCCCCGTCAACCCCTTTGTGACCACAAAATACTTCCCCCACGCGTCCCGCCCCAGCTTCGCCCGCAAACTCGGCTTGAACAGCTTAATCAACGCTGATTTGAGCGGGTTCTCCTCAACGTTAATCTGCACCATCTGCGCCCGTCCTCCACTCGCAGCCACTACCTCATGCAGTTCCGCGTTCTCCTTCTTGCCTACGAAGGATGTAGCTTGGTGCTCGGCCCAGGCGCTGGAGAAGACGGAGACGACGGAGATTCTGTCGCTCAGCACGGGTGTAGTGTCTAGCACCTCAGCGTCTTTGAGGAGGGTCTGGCCCTGTAGGTTGGGGAAGTAGAGGGCGCGGTCTGCTCTGAAGAGGCGAGGGGGTGCGACGAAGGTTTTTCCTTTGTGGTGACGCATGTTGGACCATTCGCGGAAGTAGGGTGTGGCCATCTTCTGCGTACTGCGTTGGATGTTAGCTACTTTCATGTGATAGTTGGAGGACAGTCATCTGGGAACAAATGGGAGAGCGTAGTTCCAATGGGAGGAATATGGGGGGACAACATACAGAATCTTCCTCTTAACAATATGTTTATCATAATCCACAAAGTCATCACGCCTCTGCTTCCACGACCTTGTATCAACCCCGGCATTCTCGCCCATACGCGGCGGCCTCGGAAGCCCAATCGGTCGCGGCAGCGGCTTTGGTGTGAATTGTTCTACCGCCTTTCCTGTTGCTCGCGGCGCATCGGCGAGAGGCGAGGGAAGGTCGGCTGCTGATACCGGCTTTGGCTCTTCGGGGGTTGGTGCCGGTGCCGGTGCTGATGTCGGGGGGGTGGGTTTGTCGGCATAGCGGCGGAGTGTTGTGCTGAGAGGTTGGGAGCGAATGGGATAGGCTATGGATGTGAAGCGCTCGGGATGGAGGAGGGCGCGCGCCAATGGCGCTTTGGTGACATTCATCTTGAAGTACGTAGTAGCTTTACAGAAAGTGAGGTTCAGCCTCGTTGTAGAGGCTACAGGAACAAAAATCTCGGCGACCGGAGAAACACCACCACCGGCCGCCGCGCCGCGCACGTCCCCACCGATACGCCGTCGATTGGAAGGTGGGACGTCACCAGCGGCTCGGTCTAAGACGACGGCTAGAATCGGCCGGGCGGGTTGTTGAGGTCGAACGCGGGGACTGCTGGTTTAAAGAGCGTATGCCGCACAATGAGGGCTTCTGCATAGTTTTTTTTATTGGGATTACTATCGTCTTCTTGAGTAAATATGCCTGTCAGGATACCCTCGATTTCGGCGGCGCCGCTGTCTAGAGCTTTGTTGAACCCCGCGAGGCAGCGTGGGTTGAGGAGGCATCCTACGAGGCTGTTTACGGCTACGGCGAGGGCGGCAGTTGTTAAGCCGTTTTTGCTTGCTGATATTGGAGAAGGTGAGGATTTTCTGTTATTTGTGTTGTTATGTTCAGTTATTACGCTTGTCAGTGAAACATACTGACGGTTACAGGTATCAGAGAGTGTGAGATCATCCAATGGTTCGTTGAGCCCGGAGCGCGGGTCGAGGAGTTCGACAAGATCTGCGAAGTCCAGAGTGACAAAGCATCTGTGGAAATTCCATCGCGGTTCTCAGGTGTGATCAAGAAGCTCCACTATGATACTGGAGAGATGGCAAAGGTGGGGAAGGCCCTCGTCGACATCGATGTGCCAGAAGAGGTCGCCGAGGCGGTGGAGCAGGCCGGGGCTGCACCACTAGGAGGTGAGGTAGGTGCAGAGAGTGTCAGGTCTGAGGGTCTGGCGAGCACCATCAAGCCAGATACTTCCTCAGCTCCACCACAGGAGACGAAGCCAGAAAGTGAGAAGCCAGTAGTGGCCAAGGGAAAGCACGCCACGCTCGCAACACCAGCAGTGAGGCATCTCACCAAGGAGCTCAAAGTTGACATCTCAGACGTCAACGGCTCCGGACGAGACGGACGCGTAACAAAGGACGACGTGTACCAATTCGCCAAAGCCCGCGACGCAGGACAAGCAGCACCGGCACCCCAAGCAGCAGGCGCCGCACAACTCGCCCGCCCAGCACCAGATCATGGCCCACAGCAAGAAACACCAACGCAGCTCACCAACATGCAAGCCCAGATGTTCAAAGCCATGACCGCCTCCCTCAAGATCCCCCACTTCCTCTACGCCGACGAAATCGACGTCTCCTCGCTCTTCCACCTCCGCCACCGTCTCAACAAATCCCTCGCCAAGTCACCCCCGGCCGATGCTCAAGTCACAAAACTCTCCATCCTCCCTTTCCTCATCAAAGCCATGTCCCTCGCCATCGGACGCTACCCCATCCTCAACGCGCGCGTCGACGTTGGCGCGGACTCTAAGCCATCCCTAGTTATGCGCGCACAGCACAATATCGGCATCGCCATGGACACCCCCCAGGGCCTCCTCGTACCCGTAATCAAGAACGCCAACGCCCTCTCCATCCTCTCCATCGCTTCTGAGCTGGCGCGCCTCCAAGCCCTCGCCAAAGCCGGTAAGCTCACCACTGCCGACCTAACAGGCGGCACTGTCACGCTGTCCAACATCGGGAATATCGGCGGGACGTACGTGGCGCCTGTGATTGTGGAGAAGGAGGTTGCGATCTTGGGGATTGGGAAGAGGAGGACGATTCCGGCGTTTGGGGAGAGCGGGGAGGTGGTCAGGAAGGAGGTGATGAATTTTAGCTGGTCTGCGGATCATAGGGTTGTGGATGGGGCGACGATGGCGAAGGCGGCGGAGGTGGTGAGGGGATTTGTGGAGGAGCCGGATATGATGCTTGTGCATCTGCAGTGAGAAGGTGATTGGGTATGAAAGGTGTTTAGCTGCATTGGTAGGGAGGTTTTTGATATGAGAGAGGTGCATCTGGAGCGATGAGGGAAGGTTGGGATATGAGTGATGGCATCTGATGGGAGAGAAGAGACTCAGCTTATGATGCATCTGTACCTCAAATGAGAGAGAGCATTTTGGATATGATAGACTCGAAAAAGCCTCGATGATGGCTCGAGGGGGTGGTTAGCTGCTGCATATGTGGTGTTCAGGAGGTAGATTGTGATAGAAACTGTCTGATGTGCGCCACAAGAATAAGTCAAACTTAAACATAACTCAAACCGGTTCACACAAGTGATTTCTTTTTTTTTACACCCTTTAACCTAAGCTTGGACTTATCCTAATAATCGTCAGTATCTTTATCTCCATTGAGCATTTTCATATCTTACCTGTAAATATTCTTTTTCTCCGACTCGGACGCATTATAACCCGCAACAATCGGCCCGTGTACCGACCCACCCCACGATTATTCCCAGAAACTGGGTCGCATCTGCCCCGCGCACCGTCTAAGTGGGGTAATTTATCCCTGCACACAGTTAACACTCCACCCCCCACGCACCGGCACCTGCGTGGGATGTTATTTAGGGTCGAAAAATGGAAGAAGGCTTTTTTCCGTTACGAGGCTGGCTGCTTACACTGGCTGTAGGAGTCTTAATTATATAAGTATGCATTCTAATAAACAGGGCTGTTATGGCGGGGATATGTGCATCATAATATATGCACACGACTCCATTGGGGGGTATGCGGGTATGGCGCACGACAGGCATGCGCGGCAGATTGGCCGGCTGCATTGCGTCGTGGGGAAGCACCACCCTCTACAGTCTACAGTATACACAAGTAAACAACGCCCTACAGTACGCTCGGATACGAATGGGGGATAAATAAATAACAATGAAAATGCATAAGTCACTTGACCCCCCCCCTTTCCACCAACCAACCACACCCATATTTTGCCGCCGCCCCAAAAGCGGCAATTATCCAATTATCCCTTCTCCTCCTCCTCCTCCTCCTCCTCCTTCTCATCCGCCGGGGCTCGATCAGCCTCGGGCCCCGGGGGGTGAGGTTGTGTGTGGGGGCTAGCCCGTCCCACCCAGGTGTTCTCTCACCCTACGTCGTACCTGTCTTTACCCAAAGGAGTGTGGAGGGGTTCCACACTAAGACGGCATTATAAGGGTGACATCACGCCCCTCGGTTTTCGAGTCGGTTTTTATGAAATCTTTGGGTTTTCCTCTTGACGGCTATTTTAACTAACTCTTCTTCTCTGTTGTGTGTTTTTCCGTGTGCTCTTTTTGGAATCTGGAAAGTCTGCGTTTGTTTGTGGTGACTATACTGCTACGTCTGCGAGTTTGTGTTAGACTAAGGGATGCGCGCGTGTGACTCGTGGCACGAACTTTGACGGCTGAGAATCAAACAACCTACGACCTGTCATTTCACTTTTCCCTTGGTTCTACGAGCTTTATAAACTACATATATAGCAGACGACATCTACACCCTCCCTTTTCCTCTGCCCGGCCATCAAAACCGCTCTCAGACCACACCACTCTCACCCTGCCGAATTCGGAACTCTCACCACCTTCTCACTTCCTACTCTAAGACAACAAGACCCGAATCCACGCTCTCACACATCTACAATCCTCAAAATATACCACACAACACCCATCACAATGGAGTCTATCACCACCACCACCCCCTCCTACACCTCCTCCGGTCCCTCAGCACACAAGCACATCTGGCTCATCACCGGCCCCGCCGGCTGCGGAAAATCAACCGTAGCCTCTCACCTCGCCTCAGCCCTTCACCTCCCCTTCCTTGAAGGCGATGATGTATGTCCCCTCCCTCCCCCCCTTCCCCTTTCCCCCTCTCCCATCCCCCCTCCCGCCCCATCTTTACCAATAAACCCCCAACTAACACCCCCCCAGTACCACACCTCCGAAAACGTCTCCAAAATGGCCTCCGGCCACCCCCTCACCGACTCCGACCGCTGGGACTGGCTCTCCCGCCTCCGCATCTCCTCCCTCTCCACCCTCTCCCCCCCCACCCCCCCTTCTCCTTCGGGCGTAATCGTCACCTGCTCAGCCCTCAAGCGCAAATACCGCGACGTCATGCGCGTAGCCCCCTACAACGACCCTCGGGTGCTGGTTCACTTCATTTTTCTGTCCGCGAGCGAGGAAACGCTCCTGAAGAGGGTGGAGGGGCGGAAGGGCCATTATTTCGGGAAGGATATGGTGAAGAGCCAGTTGGAGAGTTTGGAGGTGCCGGTGGGCGAGAGGGATGTGGTGGTTATTGATGTTAGTGTTGGGAGGGAGGAGGTGCAGAGACGGGCGCTGGAGGTGGTGAGGGAGGCGATGGGGGTGGAGAGGGCGAAGCTTGCTTGAGCTGAGCGTGAAGTTTGCTTAGGCGCGAGGTTTGCCTAGGGAAGTGGAAGCTGCCAGCCTGGAAGAGTACAGATCAAGTGCCGCCCAGCTTGCCGGAAATCCATCAACCCCACAGCCTCGTCTCACCCCGCATTCTCGGAGAGCCCTCCCCGCTGCGTCCCCCCACGCATCGAGGTGCGTTTCATTGGTCACATAACATGGCGTTGGCGTTTTATTTTGCGGCATAGACGTGCGAGTTGGTTTGCTTTGGTTTGGATGGATGGATGGGTGTATGTACATAGTAAGAAGAAATGTTACACGAGAGATTTGTTACCTTGTTTTGCACACTTGCTCACTTACTTGTTTGCTTTTTTGGGTCTGGTGCTTGCTTACTTGTTGTAGACCAGTGAAGATGTGAGGTGAACCGTGCGCTGCCACCTGTCACCCTGAAGGGACGGGGGTTGAGTGGTGTGATGGACGCCGGTGTGGGTGTCGGACCGGCCGGGTGGCTTGGGGGGAGGTGTGAAGAGGTGCCGATGGGGTGTGGGTGGATGAGCCGATGTCGAACCGGGTCGTGTGGCAAAGGTAGGTATGTTTCCTGGATGTGTTTGGGAGTGGGAGACGGGTTGGCTGTAAGAGGTGATAGGTCGTGTGCTCAGTCTTGTCGCTTGTCTCATCTCCCCCACGCATTCTCGCTTTGAGGCTTGTTTCATATCCTAGTTTTGTTGTTGCCTTACCATACCACCATTCGCCGTTCGGGCTTGGTGTCATATTATTACCAATACACCTACTTCAACCTCCACATCGCGAGTATAGCGCATACTACCCCATCTCCTGCAAAGAGGGGACGGTTAGAGAACCGAAAAACACCAGCCCACTCACTCAAGTCATAACAGAATACCCAGTAATTCCGCTAGCGAAATTCTTAAATTTTTATTCTTATTCTTTTCACCTCGCTCTCCTTCCTCTAGCATCCCATTCAATCCCACAGGAGCCGCAGTTTATACACCCCCCTCCCACTCCTCCTCCCAAGTCTCGATTCCGCACCCTAGGTAGGGATAGGTACGCCGACCTGTGTGCCTCGTGGCCCCATGGAAGACGACAAGACCAGACAGGACAGGAAATAAACATCTAAGCCATTCCTGCCCTTCGCTCTGCAACCACTCCATCGCCCTTCCACGCCAAGCTCAGTCACCTTAGGACGACCTTCTCTATCGCTTCTCTCTGTCGCGCCGACGTGCAGGCGCTCTTGTACCAGCAGATCTTGTCGGACTCAGCAGGGGATATGCACGCAGCATCCAGGTCCGACACGCGACTGCACAGATCGATGCGTAGCTTGCGAGGGGGCCGAAAGTCTCATCGCGCTCCAGACATTATTACATGTCTCCTCAGCGCCCCTCTACCCTGCCAGGGCTTCCATCGTCTTAAGTTAAACATCCCACACCCCCCTTTCTTCACCCCCCACCCCCACCAAACCCCCTCTCAACACCCTCCCCATAAACCTCCAACGCCCTCCCCATAGCACGCACAATATCAAAGATCTGCGTCCCCCTAAACGTCTCCGCCCAGAGTCTCACGACCGCCGCTCCGAGGGCTCTGATGCGCTGGCCTTCTGCTTCGGGTGACGAGTCCATTCCGGTGGTGGAGGAGGATGAGGTGGAGGGGTGAGAGGTCGAGGAGGGGTGGGAGGTAGCGGGGGGAGCGGCGTATTCGGTTTCCTCGAGCATGTTGCGGACCATGGCGAGGATGTTGCGTTCGTCTGTTGTGAGGGAGTGTGGGGTTAGGGAGATGGTTTCGAGCCATTTGCCTGTGTACTTATTAGCCAGCCACTCCAAAAATCCCCCCCAAAAAAAGGGAGAGACAGAAAGAAAAGGGGTGGGGGAACTCACAAAGCAAAACCGCACACTCAACATTACAAAGACTATGCTGAATACTCCACCCAAACGTCTGCGTCCGCGCCACAAACGCAATCCCAATCCTAATCGGCACCCCCAGCGCCAACACCGCCTGCTGCACGGCCCTCGCCACGCCCTCGCCTCTCCCCACCCTTCCCCCCTCCGCCCACGCCTTCGCGATCATCACCGGGTCCCGTAACGCTAGATAGGGGTTGGGTGGTAAATCGCTATGGAGTCTGATGTAAGCTAGTCGTAGCAGGGCGGTGGAATTGAATGCTATTGGGCCGGCGGGCGTTGTAGGGTCGAGCGAGGATTCGGGAGTGCGTTCCCAGGAGGCTTGCCAGTTCTTCAGCGCGTGGCTGAGGCTAGCGAGGTGGCTGGCGGGGAGGGAGTTGGGGGGGAGATGAGGGTGTGAGATTGCTGTTGTTTGGCGGAGGAGGAAGATCTGCTGGATCAGCGCGGTGATGAGGATGTAATTCCCCAGCGCTGAGGTCGGGGGAAGCGGTGGCGGAAGGTCGGCGGCGGGGGAGGAGGGCGGGTCGAAGAGCCGCGCTAGGGCGGTGAGGAAGGGGATTTCGGAAGGGGGGGAGGATTGGCGGATATCTGCCCATTCGCGGGCGCTGGGGGCTTTCCACTCGCGCGCGGTTTGGGGGAGGGACATGTGGATGGAAGTTGAGGCGAGGGGGGAGGGCATGTCGTAGGCGATACAGTGGAGGTTAAAGAAGCAGTAGACGAGGAACTTGGTACGTTTCTCGCTTTCGATGCGTGCCCATTCTTCCCAGCTCAGGGAGGGATGGGAGGTGGACGGGTTGGTGAGGCCGGATTCTTGGACGAGTTGCGCGAGCCAGCTGCGGAGGGTGAGGGATTCGCGGAGGAGGATGCGGGGGGCCCAGGTGCCGACTGCGACAAGGAGGAAGAGGGCTTGGATTGTTTCGAGGCGGGCGGTGTGGGAGTTGGAGCTGTTGTTGTTAGTATGTGTATCCCCCTTAAAAGAAGGCCGTAAAAGCATCCGAAGAATGAAGAAAAATACTCACAAATTCTCCCCATCATGCGTCTCACTCGAAACCCTCTCCATCCCATGCCCATTCCCATTCACAACCCCATTCATCGCCCCTCCCCCCTCTCCCAAACTCCTCCCCGTAGGCGGCGGGCTCAACCCGGCACTCTCACTCCCACACGTCAGCGGCGGCGACACAATCTCCGCCACCAACGCACTATTCCTCCTCGTCGCCTGCTCAATCGCCACCGCCCTCGCCGCATACCACAGCCCATTCCCTCGATGAGCCTCAAACCGATACTGCGCCCCGATCGCCACGAGCGTTAGCAGCAGCTCCGGCGCCAGCGCAGCCACCGAAAGCGTCGGCACGTGAAGGAACGGCACGTGTTCGTGGAACCCGTTGAAGTACCCCTCGAGGAAGCGGGATAGCGTGTAGCGTGATGGGAACTCGAAACCACTCGGTAGCACAGACGCGAACTCGTCGACCTTGGCTTGCATGTGGCGGTGCTCCTGGCTGCTTACTTTCCAGGGTGGAGCGGCGGCCGCGGCGGCTGCGGCGCGGATGTCTTCGCCTGTGCGTGGGTGCTGCGGGGGTGACTGGTACTCTGATGCGATGGAGGAAAAGCGCGAGTCGAAGCGGTTATGCTGGCCCTGCTCGGGTGGTCCACCAACGCGAGAATCGTAGCTCTGCCGTGACGGGTCTGCGTACCCCTCATGTGCCATCGGACGGGACCACGTCATCCCCCCGGGCCCCTCCGCATCGATCGGCGGGAAAACATGCGAGCTGATCCCGAAATCGTCGAGGAAGATGTTATAATCCCCCAGCAGCGGCTGCGGTTGCGGTGCCTCGCTCAGCGTGGCGTGGTGGTGATGATATGAGCCCCTCCGTGTGCTGTCCTCGGGTCCGGCTCGGCTGTTGAAGCTGGTCGTGCGCGCGCGCTTGCTCTCGGGCTCGGCGCTGCTGTCGGTATGGAGGGAGTGGATGGGGGGGAGCTGGTTGGTGTGGTTGTTTGATGAGGCGATGTGGGTTGCTGCGTCGGAGAGGAGGTCGAGCGAACAGGGTAGTCGTTGGGGCTGCTGCGGCTGCTGTTGCTGCTGCTGCTGTATGGGAACCTCCTGCGGTCGCGCACGTAGGTCCTGTATGGGCGGATAGCTGGGCTGCTGCACAAGCAGATCCGGATCGATGAGGTTCGGGATGGCGGCTGTGACCTGCGGTCTGCTCTGTGCCTTGACAGCGTTTGCGCGCGCCGCGGCAGTGGCTACATGGTGCCTATTCGCATCGTGCTTATTCTCATTCAAGTGTACCAGTTTCTCATGTCTAACCAACAGATCCCTACAATTATCATGTTAGTCCCTGATGCGCTGGAGTGTGGGGCCGGCGGGGGGAAGGTTTACCGTCGCCCAAAAGTCTTGCCGCAGAGGCATTGGAAGGGCTTCTCTTTTGTGTGAGTGCGCTCGTGGCGCTGGACGTGCTCAAGCCGGCGAAAGCGCTTCTGGCAGTATCGGCAGGGTAGGGTCTTTGCCTTCTGCCTGCTGCTGGCGTCGGGGTCGACGTCGGATGCGTGGCTCTGGCTGGCGGTATCGACGCCTGGGAGCGGCATCATGGCGGTGGGTGGTGGGTGGTGGGTGGTGGTGGTGTGTCGCAGCCAGTTTCGGGAGTATGAGAATGATGGTTTGTGTGATGCTTCGTTTTTGGGGGGGTTTGGAGGTGATAGGGGTGATGTTGATGTCGCCTGGCCCTGCCTGGCTTCTTTTGCGCAAAGGATGACAGGTGAATAGATGTTCGTTAGTATGTAGAGTGGTAGAGGAAAGTAAGGTTGGTCGGCAGGAAGAGGTACGAGGTAAGATTTCCCCAGATGCGATTTCCCCAGACCACAGATGAGATGTGTGGTACATGTACCTGTACTTGTGTTTGTGCAAGCCAGGTGTGGTTTGTATCGTGTACAAGCAGCGAACAAGGGGGGGAAATGCGGGTGGATAGCGGTGGATAGTGGTGGATTGGTGGGTGGTGGTGGGTGGTTGTGGGTGATTTCCCCGCTCTCCGACTGGGGAGTAGATGTACCGAGTACTTCTTGGTTGTCGTAATGGAGGTAAATGGAGCGAATAGAGTGAATAGAGTGGGTGGCATAGGTGGGAGAGTACAGTAGAAATAGTGGATACCTGAGGCAGGATATGGGGATAATAACGAGAACAACGAGAATAACGAGAATAGCGTGTGTTAGTAGGGCCGTCGTGGAGTAATCTAGTTCGAAGTTGTCGTAGTTGTCGTAGTTTAGTCGTGGTTAGGCGTGGTTAGTCGTGGTTTAGTCGTAGCTCAGTCGTAGTTCCCCCCTAACACCCCCCCCTCCTACAGCCTCGGTAATCGCATCACAGCCTTGTGCATTTGGCAGGAGCTACGAGTCGTTCTTGCCGTGGCAGTTGGAGTAGGAACTAACAGGACTAATATTCTAGTATTACCTCATATAAGTACTCTGTTAATACACCATGCATAAAACACACGACGTATAGAAGGACGTATAAGAAGGATGCTATTGCTCATCAGCATTGACGATATCATATTCTCTCTCTCTGTGTGTAGTCTGATATATTTCTCCGACGGGTGTGAGAGGAGGAGGAGGGATGTTTTCGTCCCTTCCCCTCATCTATCGACCATACTGTAGTATAGAGTAGGTAGTACTCTGGCTGGTAGTACTCCTCCAAGTAGTTACTCCCCCTACTATAGATAGAGTACTACACCAACACTACCTAGGCACACCGTCTTACTCCCACTGCCTTACCCCCACTGCCTTCCTGTCTCACTCTGACGACGTGCTGCTATTTCGTAGTATATGCAGTGTGGTGTTCCTCTCTTCGTGCTATCTATAGTATAGCAAGTACAGTTGGAGACGAATTGGGTGTCGCCGGTTCACTTAGTTATATTTGACGGGTTCCATTTCCAGACGCTTGTGGCTGTGCACCCTGGATGTTTGTACTCCAAAGGTACCATATATGCCTGGCTCTCTATCTTCCATCTTTCAGTTATACTCGCATTCATCTAACCGACCCCTAGTTATCTCAACAATAGCGTATGATATCAGCTCTTAAAATGAAAACTATCAACTTGCTTGTGTTATCGGCTCACTTGTGCCTTACGCTATATATAAACCTTTCCCATCTAGATCAGGATTAGAGCTTACTCCCAAGAGCGCTGTTCTGACATAAGCACTTCGCCGAGTTTGTAGATAGGATTTGATAGAGTTAATTATAACTTCCAGATAAGTCTTGCTGTGCGCTCTTTTCTTTTCTCTAAAACGCGTTTTCCATCATGGCCCGTAAAACAGCATTGGTCATTGGAGCCAGCAAAGGTGGCATCGGCGATGCCATCGCCCAAGAATTCCTCCACAAAGGCTGCCGAGTCTTCGCCACAGCGCGAAGTATCTCGAAAGTCGAGCATCTCCAACAACTCGGCATCGAAGTACTCACCCTCGACGTCACCTCCTCCAAGTCAATAGATGCTGCGGCTGCGGAAATCACGAGACAGACAGGAGGGTCGTTAGATACCCTGGTCAACAGTTCCGGGCTCGGTAGGTAGACTTTCAATGGACGGTTGTCGAGAGTAACTAACGACAACACTCCAGGATGCCCTTTACCATTGTTAGATGTCGACGTCAACGTCTCCCGAAAGATATTCGACGTCAATGTCTTTGGTCTCCTCGAGACGACCCAAAAATTCTCTCCCCTCCTGATTGCTGCTAGCGGCACGGTGGTCTTTATCAGTTCTGTTGCTGGCATCAGTCCTTGGGCATATCACGGTTAGTAAAAACTGAACTTTACACTTACTATTATTAAAAACACTATTTGACACACTATTACGCAAATATAGGCATGTACAACGCTAGTAAAGCGGCCGTTAATGCTATTGCCCATACATTGGAGCTGGAGCTTTCTCCCTTTGATGTTAAAGTCATTACCGTCATGACAGGCTCTATAAGAACAGGCTACTTTGACAACCAGCCTCCTGCTATCCTTCCTCAAGGTATGCCTCTTATTTTTATACTTTGGATTCAAAGCCACTAAAGAGGGTTTAATTAATACCTTACAGGCTCCCTTTACATGCCTATAAAGGAGATCGTGGACCGCCATACCTCTGGCGCTGAATTACCCAAGAGGACACCGCCTGAGGAGTACGCCAAATCTGTCGTTGCTAATGCGATGAGCGCAAATCCAAGGACACGGCTTTGGAAGGGTGTGAATTCCACTATTGTTTGGTTCATTGCCACTTTCTTCTGGCATGGCGCCTTAGTGAGTTTGATTGATTGGTCTCGTAATAGACTGACAGACATCTAACAATTTGTATCAGCTGTTGGCATTCGCTCCTGCGGCTGGCGTGTCGGTTTTGAAAAGTAAATTAAGGGCGTTGAAGAAGAATAAAACGTCGTGAAATCTTTTGTGTTTTTGTTTTCTACAGGGAGAAGATCGTATACATTAATGAAGAAATAGCAAATGATAAAACATCTTACTAAATACTCTGTTGTCACAATACTATAATGATATCTTACATCCATCGAGGCTAGAAAAGAACAGTTCTAATCAATGTACCTCCACAGTACATGTATCTCCAAAGCCACAACAAGCCACACAGCCAGCTCCCCTCTATCCATTTTATGCACCCCCCCATCCCATTGCCGACCAACCACTCACACGCACCGCATTGGCGGTACCACTACTACCACTTCTACTACTAACACTAAGTACTACCACTACAACCCTCACCACCTCACGTCCCTCGGAGATCTGGGGAACTCTCGCCTACCTACCCATATAGGGTGTGTACATGCTTGTGCTTGGCTCTGCGTGTGTGGGGTAGGAAAAGGAAGGGGAGGGGAGGACGGGGATTCGGGTAGAGGAGAGGACTGTGCTGGGAGGGAAGGGGGAAACCCTAATGTCAGTAGTTGTTGGTTGTTGTTGTCTTTTTGTCTGTACTCCGAATATGCGGAAAGTAAGGGTAGAGGGTTGAGGGTATATTAGGGTTGAGTATATTAGGGTATCATATCCCTGGACAGCAATTTGTGAGAGAGCTGGGTAATGGGCGTCTTCACTCAGATATGACAGTCACTCTGTCACTGCTAGGGTCAATCGATCAATCGATCAGTCCATCTAGCACGCACTCCAGTATATACCAATTACCAATCATCCAGTGTGCGATGTCCGATATACCACTACCAGCGGCTCCAATACCAGTCAACCAGTGTGCGATATCCGATATACCACCATTACCACAACTACTACCAGCGGCAATACCAGTCCCAGAGCCAGCCAGTGCCAGTCAGACCCAGACTGCGTCCGCCTAGCACTTATCTCCAGTTATCCCCAGTAGGTTAGCCGCACGCACCACACACACCACCCACCACCCACCACGTTACACCGGCCCTTCTCTCCCCCATCCCACTCTTTTTCCCTCTCTCCCTCCTCCCTTCTCCCTTCTCCCCCTCCCCCCATTTCCCCAATCCCCCTTCCCTTTCTTCTCCTCAACCCGCCGTACCCAGTACCAACCCCCTCTGGCAGGTGGGGTAAAGAAAAGTCTTAGCCTAGCTTCGACTTTCTGCGCTGGTTGAAGTAGCAGGTACATACACCTAGCATCCCAGCATGTGATAAAATATACCCGGCCGGCCGTCTTGTGTTCGTTCGCTCCTTCTTCTTCTCTTACCTTACCCTTCTTTCCTTGCTATAATTCTCGTCGTTACTGTCTTTTTCCGTCGTCAACTCTTTTACTCTTTTTTTAGGGGGGGTCGTCAACAGGCACACATATACACACACACACACAACGCCTTTCTTTTTCCCGGTGGGTGTTATTTCGTGGCGTATAGTGAGTGTGCGTGGTGTTTAGGCGGGTAATATGCTATCCGTTAATGAAGGGATGATGAAGGGAGCAGGAGAACAGCCACCACCACCGCCCAGCCATACACCATCTATCTAAAGAAAGAAGTGAAGATCTATCTCACACACTCACACTCACGACTATTTCTCCGCGGCCGCCTGTTTTTGTGCGTTGTGGTACATACAAGACAGTATATATATGCACAGTCAGTTCCCCCTTCGTCAGTCGCACTGACATAACTAACTCCAACTTTGAGTGTGTGTGTGTTCGCATACCCCCCTTCGTACCCCGTAACAAAAGCAAAGCAAAGTACCAAACACCACCACCACCAACAACCCTCAACGCCCCACTCTCCTCCTCCCCCTCCCCGCACCACCGACACTAACTGTACTGTTGTACTACTGTTGTGCACAAAAAAGAGAGGTACCGGTACATACTAACAACCGACGATACCCATCCCCCCCCCATCCCACCCAAACCACACAACAAAAAAACTTTCTCACATGCGAGAGAGCCGCCGCCGTGCCGGCACGAACTCGGATCTGGCAACGTCGGTTTTTGGAGATGCGGCGGTACTAAGGTGTTGGGTCTACTGGACCGGGTTAGTATCTGGGTTTAGCATCCGGGTTAGCATAGGAGGACGCAAGATGGAGCGAAGATTGGGTGCGGAGATGTGCTGCCGTTGGGGAGAGTTGTACTGGTACATCCATCCATCTGCTCTCTCTGCTCTTGCGTTTACCAATTCCTACGATTCTCATCTACCTACCTACCTACCTACCCTCCCTACCTACCGACTCCGTGCAGTTAAAACACCTGCATACGAGCGGGACCGAACTGGTGGACTGTCTACCTTTCTAGTTAACCCCCGAGATCAAAGATCCATACCCTACCATACTGCACGATGTCATCCCCTCTCCTCCCCGCAACCCTATATCCCCCGACCGACGACCCTCGCATACAGAGTGACGTGACGTGTGTGCCCGCACATGTCTGAAATTGGAGAACCCGGACCCAGACCTAGACCCGCGCTGCTCTTGGCAGCCGAACCCAGAGGTACGGGAGGACGCGGGGTGTGTTGGAGAAGGGGTGAGTGAGGTGTGCTGTGACCCTACGATGTGATGCGGAACGAACTGTTTGTTGGGTAGATGGGTGATGGATAGGATAGGGTGGGCTTGGGGAGATGAGGGGTGGGTAGATGTGATGTGATGAGGATCCAGGCAGTTGGTGGTGGTGGTAAATGCGGCAAATGGGTATTATATATCTACAAACAAACAACTAACCTCCTTCTATCTACAACCGCCCCCCTCCCCCTCTTCAATCCCACCGCCCCCATCTATCAATCCATCTATCCATCTATCTACAACTCCTCCCCCCTCTCCCTAACACCATTAGAACCCATCCCCTCCTCCGCCCCCGTCCCCACAAACGCCCTATTAACAAACACCTTCCACGCCCTCTCGCTCTTCTTTCCCTTTCCCTTCTTCCCCTTGTTCTTGCCCTCCGCATCCACGCCCTCTCCGGATTTAGGTTCAGAGCCAGAGAGCCAGGACCATGCTTTATCTACTAGTCCCGCTTCCTCCTCGTCGTCCTCGGCATCGACTTCGGCATCCACCTCGGCATCATCAACTTCGGCAAAACTCGAAATCCCCCCCTTCGCGCGTCCAATCCTATGCGCCAGCCCCAAGAAACTGCGCACCGTCAAGTCGGGGAGCGCAAACCCCTTCGAGTCGTTGAAAGTGGTGTATTCGATCTCGTATTTGAATTCCCCACCATCTCCCTTTGGTTTGTCTTTCCCCCCCCTGCCTCCTTTGCCGTTCTTCCCTTTGCCGTCTCCTGATACATCCACACTATTGGAATCAGCAACAGCGGCGGCGGCATCAGCGGCGGCTTCAGCCTCAGCGATGCGGGTGAGGTTCGCAAAGTACTGTGTGTATCCCGTCCATGAGAGGGGTTGGGGGGAGTATGCTGGACCTGGGGGTGAGCCGCGGGGTGGTGGAGGTGGGATCTTCAGGTCGGGGTGTTTGGGTTTGCGGTGCTTCTTCTTGTTCTTCTTCTTCTTGTGTTTTTTGCCGTCGGTGTGTGCGTCTCCTCCCTCCTCTTCATCCTCGTCATCAGAATCCTCCTCCTCGAACTCCCCATCCTCATCCTCATCCTCATCCTCATCCTCATCCTCCCCAGGCAACCTCCACGACGTAGCAGTAGCCCTCTCCTTCACCTCCCCCACCCCCGCATCAAGCCCACTAACATTATACTCCACGACCCTCAACGATGGGAAATAATTCGGCACCACACTCGGACTCACAAGCGACACCTGATACCGTTCCGCCCACTCCCCCCCCATCCTCTTCAGCGCCCTCTTCCTCTTCTTCCTCTCGCCCCTCCCCTCCCCCTCCACCTCTCCCGCCAGCGCATCCCTCGGATCCGGGACCTTCGCGAACCCATCCCTCAGCTCTTGGAGATACTCGTCGACGGAGGCAATCGCAACATCTCCTCCCATATCCCCAATCGCCCACCCCTCCACCGCCTCCTCCCCTGGCGTCCCCATCAGGGCTTTAACACCCTTCTTCCCCTTCTGCAGCAGGAAATGGTCGATATTCATATGTCCCCACGCCCCTCCCACAACCACATCCCTATACCTCTCCACCCACACCACATACCGTCCCCAACAACTCTCATCCCACAACTTCTTCCCCCCCGTCCTTGCAGGCGGCACATGTCCCATCAGTATCGCCTTGACACCCCTATCCCGCATGAACCCAAGCTGAATCCCAAGCCACTCCATCTGCTCCCACCCCGGCTCGCTCTTACTCGCGCACCCATCAACACCGCTGTTCCGCTCGAAGAAATACAGCGTATTCAGACTCACGACCGCGAGGCGGCCAGGGATAACCTCAACCGTGAACCAGCCCCCGCGCTGAAATCCGTGCCGCTGCACTTCGGGGATGAAATGGTGCCATACCCTGCCGTAAGTTTGTAACCACTTATTCGGACCCCCGAGCAAGATATTATGCGGCAAAATATCATTATTTCCCAGCGTCGGCACAACCGGAACACCCTTGTCCGCGAACGCCTCGCGAAACGCATCAGCGAGCTCGGTATTGGCATCTGTGATCTCAGCAGCGGTACGCGGGATTTGTTCGTCCCTGTCGTGGCGCGCGGAGTCGCCGGTCCAGATCACGAAGTCGACGGCGGGGAGGTGGGCGTCGATCCAGGAGAGGGTTGCGTTTACCAGTGTGGGGGGCGAGTCGCAGTCGGAGAGGGGGGTGCCGTAGGGGAGGGAGGGGCCGGGGGTGCGGTGGCAGGTTGTGAGGGAGGTGTGTGGTTTGTAGTAGGGGTCTGGGTGTAGGTCTGGAGGGGTAGGGTTAGCTGAGGGTTTTAAGGGTTTAAAAGCAATGGTGATGACGACGACGACGGTGATGACGATGCTGTGGGAGACGGAGGGAGAGAGATAATCGTACCTGTAATATGCAAAAACCTCCCAGTCAACTTCTTTCCCTCCTTCGCGCTCGCGTGCCCTCCTCCTTGTCCACCGATAACAATCTGCCCGCCATCCCCCTCCTGCCTCGCTCCAACACCCACCGCCGCAACGGCCGCAGCGAGGATCGCAAGAGTGCGCATATCCAATCACACCAGCTCCGGTCTCATATCCCTAATAAATAAAAAATTACCCAATACACAGCCGTAATCCGCAGCCATATGAACACAGTAAGAAAGTTTCCGTCGTCGTCGTCTCGTCAGTGTCGTGTGTTCATCACCCTCAAAAATCAAGCCGCCCCTCAACCACATCTTATCCCCAAATTTCACACCCACCTCGCCAAGCAAACACCACCACCACCCACACACGCACTACCCCGAATCAAGCACGACCCTGCCCCCTCACGTCATGCAGCGCATCAGCGGCCGCACCGTACCACACCACATACCCCCACACATGCACTAGCGGCATCCTCCCTTAGCGAGTACCGTAACAGCAACTGCGCACATGTCCGCGGCGTGGATGGTGATATGTTCGCACCTGAGATCGCGGGATCGTGTGTGCGCTGCTATTTCGGGGGACCGTGGGGGAGTGATGGGGATATCATGGGGGGCACGCACACACTGGTGGTCTGGATGCCGTACGCACGGGGTCTAGGGCGCTCAGCACGCGCTTTTGGGAGGGGGGAGTAGGGATGGTACACATGATATCGCGTTGCGCGCGTGTTTGGGTCTTTTACAACGTCGCTGTCTCTTCGTTTCCGACTTCTAAAAATCGGCAGCTCTTCCTCTCCTACGATAACAGCGAGAGAAAGTCCAGGTAAGGAAGGCGTGCGTGCGTGGTGGGATCCACGATATGGGGCGAAAAACAAAATATGTGTTCCAGGGGAGACAGCAGGGTTGCATGGGGGCGGTGGAGTATGGGATGGATTGGATGGATGGGCGAGAGAGAGCTGAGTGCGTGATTTATGTGGATTCAGCCTCATCGCTGGGTCTGGCCAGAGACAGGAGGGGAGGGAGGATGCTTGCTGAGGAAGTGGTGAGTTGTGGTACCCTGCTGGATGGCTTGGGGTACGACGTGATGGGTAGGTAGGAGTTGTGATACTCTGGTCATCATCATGGCGGAGGGGGAGATGTACGAAAAAAAAACAGTTACAAAAGCAAAGCATCTCTCATTGATCTTAACATATATAAATAATCAGTTTTTTCTATAATCCCACCCATTCCATTCCATCCGATTTCAATATCCCATATTCCATCCCCAAACATCCCCCCCTCCAATCTCCCAAAAAACTCCCAATCCCCCCAACGCCATCCACCCCCCTCCAACACCAACGCACAGCAAAACACCCTTCCCACTCCTCTAACCTACGTACTCAACAAATCCCTAACACTCATCCCCCTCGGCCTCTGCGCCTCCGGCCCCGCCCCAGACTCCCTCCTCCCCTCCCTCTCCCTCTGCTCCCCCATCCTCCAATCCCCATTCAACATCATCAGCGCGACAGTAGCCGTCTCCTCCTCCGCCATCGGCCCCAGCGCCGGGCTCGTCAGCGCCGAGCTCGCCGCACTCCCCAGCCAGGACGGCGCACCGGTGTACGTCTGCGGCCCGAACGCAGGGGACGTGGACGACGAGTGCGAGAAGCTGTATGTGCGCTGGAAGTCCTCCGGGGCGCGCAGCGGTGGCGATTGGGATGGTTGTTGGTGGGGGACTTGTGGTTGCTGGGTCTGGTGGTGGTGATGATGCTGTTGTTGCTGTTGCGCGGATTGTTGGTCGAATGCGGGAGGCGCGGTGGTCATCTCGGTGTCTGTGTGGGAGGCTTCGGAGGCGCCGGAGGAGGAGGCGGCGTAGGAGTGTGGTGCGATGGAGGTTGATTCGCGGCGGCTGGCGATGGTGGGGGTGTTGACGCCGTTTTGGGATTTGAGCTGCGCGATGCAGTCTTCGAGGTAGCGCACGTATTCGATGCTTGCCTGGTGGATGGGTTAGCCTCGTGTGATAATGAACAATCCCGTCAATCTGACGGCAGTAGTAATATGGTATAGCTCACCTGTAGAATAGCAAGCTTGTGCATCTCCCCCTTGCACGCGGGGATCATATCCTTCAGTACCCCAAACTCCTCATTCATCTTGCTCCGCCTCCTCCGCTCAATCAGGCTATGCGCCGTCTTGCGCGCCATCTTACGGCCCGCAGCGCTCGTCGCGGAGGGCGGCTTGCGCTTGCTTGCCGCTGCGGTCTTGGCGGGCTGCTCGTCGGCGGACGCCGCGGTGGAGGGCGCAGCTGAGGGCTTCATCTGGATGATCTTGCGGGTGCGCGTGGGTGGGGGGGGCAGGTCGAATGGCTCTGCGCCCTTGGCAGCGCTGGATTCCGCAGTGGAAGTGCGTTTCCTGCCGGTCGAGGCTCTGGGTTTGGCCGCCGGAGCAGGCTGCGCGCCAGACATGGGCGAGTGCGGGTGGTATGAGGAGGAGGACGAGGCGGCAGACGTGCTGGAGGGCCGCGAGTCGAAAGTTAGAGCAGGCGGAGGGAGCTCAAAGGACATCTGCGAGGAGATAAAGTGGGAGCCATCGCGACTTTTGAGGTCGGTCGAGGAGGACGGTGTGGGGGGAGCCGTGGGACGGGGCATCCTCGACAGGAATGAGGGCGAGGGCTTGCGAGCTGGGTTGCCTGGTGGTGCTTGGACGTGGCAAGCGATCGCGTGCTCAGCAGGCGATCGATCGACTGGAGCGATAAGGCGAGTGTGACTATGCGAGGCGAGCGGTGCGGTGAGAAGATAGCAGAAGAGAGAAATGATAAACAGATAAACTTGAGCTTTTGAATCTCGAGATATATGATGGAAATGAGGAGAAAAGAGAGAGAAGAAAAAAGAGAGAAGAGAGAAACGGGAAAAGAAGACGGGGAGGGGAGGAGGGAGGATTATCTGTCTTGTGAGGGAGGGAGGAAGTGACTATTGACTGTAGTATGAGAGAGCACACAGTGGCAGTGGCAGTGTACTTGACAGTATACTGGACATGTTATCCACCCACCTGTGACCATACCATTTGATACACTCGTGTGAGGTGCAAGGTACACGCGTGGACAGTGAAATGTCTGAGGAGGAAGAGGTACTGATGGTCCATGCCTCTGGTAGTTGGACGGTAACTCGATGGCAGTCCGTGGTAGTCGGTGGTAGTCGTGGGTAAGTCGATCGTAGCTCCATAGCCCTCCAGGGCCTCACCATGTGCTCTGTTGTCAGCTCGTTGTTGCTTCACCCTGGAAGCACGCGACACTTCGTGGGCAAACCAGTGGTCGATGTGGTCGGTGTTGGTCAAAGTGGTCGATCCAGGACCGTTGTGAAGGGTTTTGGGTTAGAATTGGCCAATGAGGGGGAGATATGGGGAACGTGGAGAGGGAATTCTTTGTCGCATCCCTCACCAAAATCTGGGCTGTGGATAGACTGTGGGCTGTGGGCTATGGGCTGGACTTGGTCTGTTCTCACCCTGGGACTTGACTTGACTTGTGGGATGCCCACGGGGAAATAGTCATGCCTTTCACGTGCGTGGAGTAGAGTAGGTTGTGAAATAGTATAATAGTAAAATTTAAAGAACAGTATACTGTAGAATGATCACCCGGCGTTGTTCGTTCTGGACTTGAAAGTGTGATTGATAGAGCTACATGGCAGGCGACAGGGGCACAAGGGCAGAAGGGGATAAGGGAAAAGGATACTGCCGTCGCTTGGGAAATCGGGGGAAATCCTTATCTCCCCTGTCACGCGACTTGAGTCTGGGATTTGGAATTGGCGTGGGGGATGAGCAGTGTCATGTGATTAGAATCAGGTGATTTGGTTTTAGCTATATCACGTGATTTAAAGATCTATTGTCAGGTGATGGCCACACGATAATATCACGTGAGTCTAATGTGTTAGGCTAGTCACGCGACCTTCTCCCTAACATCACGTGTTTCCCTACCAACCCCTGTCATAAACCACTTCTCACCTTCTGCCCGTCAACCAGGCGAAGACATCTCGCATTCATAACGGAGGGGGTGAAATTGCCAAATCAGGCAAGCACGAACCTGCAAGGGTCACTGCCACTCGCCCACAACGCTTGTCAACCAGGGGCCACCAGTGCGGGGTGCATGCACGTAGGCAGTTCTCCGTACAACAACAGGCACTCTCGAGCAATACAGCCGAGAACGACAGGATAGGTAGGTCCAGGGGACGAAACTCAATAATAACCACGCGTGCAATATCCAGGCCGTCCGAGTATTGCTTTCTCCTAAGTTAAGTTGTATGCGGATATTCTGGCTGCGGTATTATTACAGGAGCAAGGAAGGAGTGCCGCGGGCCTGGCTGGGGAATGAATGGGCTGGATTGCACTATACGGTACGGTACTGTCTTGTCGGTATCGGGATAGGTGAGTCTGGATGGATGGATGGGCTGTGGCGGTTGCACCTGATGAGAAGAGATTGCATGGAGGTGATGTGGGAGAATAACCGTTGATATTGGGGAATATTGGATTTGGGGATATATTGATATTACGCTGCTGCTGCGATGCCATGTCGCGGGGTTTTATTTACTTCCCAATCTCGGCGAGAGGGCTAGATTGCAGATATTCTGATATCTGTCCTGACGGGGGGTAAAGCCATGGAGAGTGCGTTCCTGACAGGCAGATTTGGGAATGCAGGTCTGGCCAGGGAGGGACAGGGGATTTTGGTTAAGAAGGTTTGGATCGTCCGGGTTCTTTTTTTTTTTTGTTCTTGGAGAAGGATAAGCAAAACGCAGATATCAGATCTTCGCTCAAGCAAGAAACAGACCATCACAGACTCATTCAATTGACACAGTCAAAATCCTCAAACACATCTCACCACCAGCTCTCACCACCAGCTCTCACCTCATCACCACCACCACCAACCACCAACAACCAAAAAAATGCACCACCCCACCCTCCTCGCCCTCCTCACCCTCTTCCTCACCCCCCTCGCCCTCGCAGACGCCTGCGTCGAATCCGGCCCCGCCGCCGAAGTCACCGCCGTCTCCTACTGCTGCGCCAAAGTCTCAGGGACGTGGTACCAATTCTACCCCGTGCAGGCTATCTGCGTCATCCCAGAGGGGTCGCTGGACAAGTATAAGAAGTGTGTTGCGTATGTGCCGGGGGCGGCGAATCCGACGTGTATTCCCGGGCAGGGAGAGGGGTTGGGGGGGGGAGTGACGTTGACGACGACGGAGGCGCCGAGGACTACTATTGTTGGCTAGGTTAGGGGAGAGAAAGGGGGGGGAGGGGAGGAGAGAGGGAAACGCAGGGAGGAGATGAGAGAGATGACAGAATTTCAGAGAGGAAGGAGAAGTGCGGTACTATGGCAGCAGAAGCAAGAAAGAGAAGTCGGAGGTGTAGTAGTATGAGGGGAGCGGACAGGCAGTGGATTGTACATTTCCCTAAAAAGGAAAGCATTTGCAGTTCTAAAACCCAGTTCCTCGCAATGATCAGACAACCTACCCATCCTAATGATCTACGCATTTCTCCTGCTGATCTCCTCCAAACTCCTTGTCCTTTACACATCTCTCCTGCTGATCTCCTCCACCCCCCCTGTTCCCTAACCTCTTCCCTCCAGTTCGCCCACCCACAGACTTTCCAGAATACTTGGCACCAGCAAACTCGCAGTTCAGATAATTTAATTTACCACGAGTGAACACACTGTTCTCAAGGTATTACGGTTACTATACCTCCCCACCACGAGGCGGACATCAACGCGTACAATTGATCCCTCCTCCGAATCTCATCCCCCGGCTCGGCGTGATAAGAGCCGGGGAACGGCATTATAAGACAAGGGCATCTCGCCGACCTTCGCGAGTGGCCGGTCACGTCTTTAGGCTGGAGAGAGAGCGCAATCTAGACCGGTATTCCCCGCGGCGAGGAAGGAATGGAATTTTGTCGTCGGTTTTGCGGAAATTGGGGAGTTCATTAAAAGTGGGAGGAGGAGTAAGATGGTGGGCGAGAACGGTGGTCTGTTGAACCGAGCTCGTGGAGCTTGTCGATCGCGGTTTGTGATCGTAGCGTCGTCCTAGCTGATAGAAGCTTTGAGCTTTTTCGAACGTCAGTGTAGTGGATCCTGGAGTAAGCCGTGCTTTTTTGGGGCAGGACGATGTAGAGTTATTGTCTGAGGAGTTGATGGAAAATTGAAGGGAGATGGAGATACTTCCTAATTCGGTGGTAGATAATATAATAACTTTAAGCCGGGTATTGGGAGGTGACTTAGAGTATATTAGTACGCCACAATATTTATTCGTATATATCCTCTCGGTGGTCATTCTATCTGGTGGTGTCCGATTTATTGATTATTTATATTATTGTGGTCGTATAAGAATATTGCATCTGGAGTTGAATAAATTCACATTACGAGAAATTATATATTACGGTAGTGAGCGGGAAAATAAACCAAAATATATTACAATTACGCGAAATACTACAAACAATGCACTAACCATAGAATGTGCCATTGACCTGCATCTCCGGTAGATATCAGTCTAGGATATCCCGAACCCTCTACTCTAGCCCAGGAATGGAAAATACGAGTTCTAGACCATGGGCTGCATCACTCAAAAATATTTGACATGTATGCCATGATACAGTTTGCATCTTTACACAATGTTTGTTTCCATTATGTCGCCTGACTACATGACAAGCTTTGCCGCCAATATATACATTTTGGCCTCATTCGACCAGTCCAGTGCTGACTTTCCCTCTATCATGATTCATTCCACCTTCTATTTACATTCCGTACGCGATCATCACACCTTTTCATGCAGACGATTCTTCAACCTTCTTCCATTCTATTCCTCCCATTTCGAATCCTGTTCGATGAATGAAAAAATTGAGATATCCCGACCGGCTACCTTACCCAGGCAGTCCGCTCATCCCCAGATCGGCCGCCCAGTGCTGAACCCACCAATTCTCGGCGTAGGCAGCTTAAACTGCAACCCGACATCCCTCCTCAACTTATCACCCAGAACAGCCAAAGCCTTGACAGCCACAGACTGATCCAGCGCGCGCGCCGGGAACACAACTAGCGCGACAAACATCGCATGCCTCCCAACATCCCCATAGAACTGCAAGAATCGCTGCTCCGAGTTCTCAATCATGGCCTTGAGCACCGTGTACTGCGTATTCGAGGCCTCCTCCGGCGGCGTGTCGACGATGCTGGCTAATGTGCGCCAGTAATTCGAAGGCGACCACGGATTCTTCATCTGCGTCTTTGAGAAATCCCGTAGTGCGATGGCTGCGTATCCCGCTCCAAGGCCCGTCATGCGCGTGTTGTGCACCTGATCACTAACCCACTGTCCACCATCCTTCTTCCATCCCAACCGCGCGCGTCCCTCCTCTGTCTTTTCGTTGCCGCGGAGCCCGAAGAGGACCGGGCACGAGACGCGCATCTTGCACATCAGGATGTCGATGAGAGATTCGTTGCGCCAGACGAAGTCTTTGTTGGCGAATATGGAAACGGCGACGACGCCGATCGGCTCGGCTGCCTTTGTTGTCACGCCGGCTTCGTCGATGAATTGGGCGACGACGGCTTTGGCGAATATGTTCATGAGGTAGATGAATAGCGCTGGGAGTTCGCCGTTGTTAACTGCTCCATCCACTGGAGACCTGGGGGTGACCGTGACCATGTTTGGGTCCACGGGGGGGCTTTGGAGACCTCTGAGCGACTCGAGAAGCACGCTGTGAATCTTGCCTTTCTAAAGAATGTATAAGCTGCCTGTTTAAACTATGTGATCCAAATTTAATAAACTTACGGGTATCGTCGTTGCTCCCCTCCCGCTCGTAAGCTGTCCGACAGACTTTCTAATTTCGCGGCGCATCTCGCCAGTCTTCTTTTTAAGCGCTGGGTCTTTCTTGCCATTGTCGATAATGAAGTGGCGCAGACGTTTTAGGTTTTGGTGTATTTCGAGGTATCTCTGTGCTCCCGGGAGGATGTATGGTGGGGGTTCGGTGCTTATCGTGATAGGCGCAGCTGCAGCTGGTGCTTGTGTCGCAGCCACGGGTTGAGCTTGGATTGTAGATGGAGCAGGTTGTAGTGTTTGAGGCGCTTGTGGCACTGCTACCGGCTGTGTCACAACTGGCGCAGCTTGGGGAACAGCGGCTTGCTGGGGAGCTTGTGGCTGCGCAACTGCCGCCGCAGCTTTCTGGGGTGGTTCTGGAGTCGGGGGAGTAGGTGGCGCTGGTGGAGGAGGGGGCGTTTTCACGCGCGGAGGAAGCTCGGGGATTGGTACTGTCTTCTTGCGCAGTTCGATGATTCGGGCGCGGTCGTCTGCGAGTTCTTGTTCAAGTCTCAGGCGCTCTTTCTCTTGGCGCTCCTCTTGTAACAATTTCAACTGCGCCTCTCGCAGCTGGTTGTTTTGGAATACGCGGATAGCTTGTTCGCGGACACGGTTGTGCTCTCTCAAAGCAGTGTCAAGGAGGTTCTCGTGAACTGCCTCGGGGCTCATTGAATGGCCATCGGGACTGGGAACCGAGCCGAAGGAATTGAAGAATCCTGACCTGGGCGGGGTGCCATCGACCGACCCTCTGAAATGAGCCATGTCGGCAAACCGAATTTGTTGTCGTTTGCCGTTGTGAAAGATGTGATGTAGTTTCAATGAAGGTGAGGGTCCGTAGGTGAGGTTGTTGGCGTCCCTTGTTAGAACGCGTTTGGCACAGTCTCAAAAAGGCGGCAGAAATGTGGGACTAGGCAGACTATAGTGTGAGGGCGGTGTATCACGTGCCACTACCCCATTCACGCCCAACTTGGAACACAGCTACCAGCTTACATAATCACATTTTTCCACTTTAACCCTGTAAAGTTGAGTACGGAGTAACCTGAAAGGCAACTAAGCCGCTTTCAGTTACGAAACAGGTATGTGAGGTAAACCCCATACCTCCCGTACCGCAGGCAAGAACGTATCCGACCACAATCCCACATCCGCCATCCAAACCTTCACTTTCTCTTCCGTCATAGCACCTTCCTTCCTTCCTCAATACCACTCCTTCCACAGATACTATCCATCTTCATCTTCAGAGTCACTCCTTCAGAGCTCCAGATTCTATCCACCCCCTCCTTTTGCCAGCTATCCAAACAGCTGCCAAATACGTCACCAAATACAATCAATACATTCACACTTCACTTGGACAAGCTATCAGGATCGTCAATTCGCAACATATCTCAGAACTCCATCATGGAGCAGCAACCGCAGCAGCCGTCCAGTGGCGTCCTCGGCCCAACTGGCCGAAGGCTTCATATTGCCCATCGCAGAAGTCCTTCAGAGTTGACCCCCCTTATGAGCATGTTCTCGTCTCCAGGCAGTATGTCATTCCAGTCTTTGTCGTGTGCGCAGGGGCAACTTAGCTGTCTCTAGCCATCAGGCAGTCCCTTTCTATTACAAATACGATAGAGTCACTAGCTAACATCTCTCGAAACGTAGTGGAACAACTTGCCATCCAACAACAGATTGAATTGCTACAGCAACAACAGCAGCAGATCCAAGCTACACACCAGCAGTATGTTAACATGGGAATGATTCCGCCAACGCAGCACCTGCCTCCTGGTGGCGGTTTCAACCCCCTACAGCAGCAACAAGGGCCGAATATGCCTCCACAAAATGCATTTCAATTTCCAAACCAGCTTCAACAGCAACAATTGGGTGTGCCGATGGGAGCTCCGACACAGCCATTGTCACATCGCCGAAATCAATCAGCAATGCCAAATATGGGAATGGGCCCTCCCCCAGCGCCCTCATCAGGCACTTCGGGGACGGGTTATAATGATTACAATCCACAACATGGGCGGGAGAACCAGTCTACACGCGGAGGCCGTGGAGGTGGCCCGCCCGGCGGTGGCCACCAACGCCGCCACTCGCTCGCCTTACCCGAGGCCAAGAAAGCGGCGGAGCTGGCCCAACAAAAACGGACTACGTCTGGCTTCCAGTTCCCAATCCCAGGGGCAGCTGGTGCCGCTCCTGCAGCTACCGATGGCACCAGCCCATCGGATGACAAAGCAACCCCTCCACCACAACCTACAAGCACGTTCCCTGGTACTTTGAATGTGCGCGGCGGCCGCGGTGGAGCCCACGGGAGAAGCCAGAGTATGGCTGTCGGCTCTGCTGGCCGTGGTGCTGGCTCCATGCGTGGCGGCGGTTCCTTCCAGTTCCCAGCTGCCACTATCAACGAGGGCGCGGCTGCCAACCAAGGTACAGACTTTCAGCGTAAGGGTAGTGCAGGACACGCTCGAAACTCATCCAGAAACTTTGAGGGCAATTGGAGAAATCAAAGCATCTCGGGGGGTCCTGGTCAGCCACAAGACCAACAGGCTCAGATGGGTAATTTCGGCCAAGGCCAAGGCCTTCCTCAAGCCGGAGGATTCCAACCAGGCCACCGCAACCGCGGAAGCGTTAATCAGCCTATGGGATCCGTTGGATCTTTCCAGTACAACGGACAGCCACAGTTGGTACAGCTTCCTCAGGGCCAGATGGCTCTGGTACAGCAGCAAATGTTCCCTGGCCAACAGTTAAACCCACTGCAGATGAACCAGCTTCAAGCTTTGCAGGCGGCCCAGATGAACAACCAGCATATGGTTAACATGCAGGGTGGCCAGCACGGTGGACAGCAGGGCCAAGGGCAACAGCAACAACAGCAGCGCAAGACACTCTTTACTCCTTACCTTCCGCAAGCCACTCTTCCAGCATTGCTTGGAGATGGCCAGTTAGTCTCTGGTATCCTTCGTGTCAACAAGAAAAACCGCAGCGATGCATACGTATCGACTCAAGACGGCCTCTTGGACGCCGATATCTTTATCTGTGGTAGCAAGGACCGAAACAGAGCTTTGGAAGGCGACTTAGTCGCCGTCGAATTGCTTGATGTTGACGAAGTGTGGGGTCAGAAGCGCGAGAAAGAGGAGAAGAAGAAGCGCAAGGACATCACAGACACTCGTGGCGGTTCCAACAGTGGCAACGCAGAGAGGTCTCACCGTGATAATTCCAATGGTGACGATAACTCGAATACTGGCGAAGGCGGAATCCGACGCAGAGGTAGCTTGAGACAGCGCCCAACTCAAAAGAAGAACGATGATGTTGAGGTTGAAGGCCAAAGCCTTTTGCTTGTCGAAGAAGAGGAGGTTAATGACGAGCAGAAGCCATTGTACGCTGGCCACATCGTTGCTGTCATTGAACGTGTCGCCGGCCAGATGTTCTCAGGGACTCTTGGTCTCCTTCGCCCTAGTAGCCAGGCCACCAAGGAGAAGCAAGAAGCCGAGCGACAAGCCCGTGATGGCAATTCTGGGCGCCACCATGAGCAGAGGCAGCAAGATAAGCCAAAGATTGTGTGGTTTAAGCCTACCGACAAGCGTGTTCCATTGATTGCTATTCCGACAGAGCAGGCACCAAGGGACTTCGTAGAGAAGCACCAGGACTATGCCGACCGTATATTTGTCGCATGTATCAAGCGCTGGCCTATCACTTCCCTCCATCCATTCGGTACTCTCGTTGAGATGCTGGGTAAGATGGGCGAACTGAAGGTGGAGACTGATGCCCTATTGAGAGACAACAACTTCGCATCGGACGAGTTCTCTGATGCCGTTATTAGAAGCATCAATCTCGATGAATGGTCTCTGGCCAAGGAGGATGAAGCTGCCATTGCTTCTCGTCGTGATTTCAGGGACGAGAAGGCCTTCACAATCGATCCTAACGGCGTCAATGAGTTGGATGACGCAATCCACATCAAGGGCGAAGTAGATGGAAAGATTGAAATAGGCATTCATATCGCGGATGTTGCTCACTTCATCAAGGCGAACTCGCTTGTTGACAGAGAGGCTAAGAAGCGTGGCACTGCAGTTTACTTGATGAACAGGTCGTGCAACATGCTTCCACCCAAGATCGCAAGCGATGTATGCTCTCTGATCCCAGGAGAGGACCGCCTTACAGTTAGTGTTGTCTTCAAAGTCAACACTCTTACTGGAGCGGTGGCCGATGATGATATTTGGATTGGTAAAAGTATCATCAAGAGCACTGGCAAGCTTTCTTACCGTGAAGTCGATGCTGTTCTTTCAGGTCAAGGAAACGTCAAGCTTGACGGCATTAGTGATAAGGATATTCAGATACTGCAGGTTAGTACATTCATCCCAATGCTTACTCACTGACCATTACTAACTCTTTTGAAAGGCTGTTTCCCGGAAATTCCGTGAAGCTCGTCTGGGCTCGGAGGGTGAAACTATTGCGCCCCTGCGGCTGATGTACCAGCTCGATGATGAGAATGTCCCAGTCGAAGCCAACATCTTCGATTCTACGCCTTCGCATGAGCTGATTGAGGAGCTTATGCACAAGGCCAATACCTACGTTGCTCAAAAGATTGCTCACGGACTTCCTGAGAAGGCACTCCTCCGCCGACAAGGGGCCCCAAACCCCCGTAGGCTTCGGACATTTGCTGATCGCATGACCGCTCTTGGGTACGAAATCGACACCACGAGCAGTGGTACGCTGCAAAACAGTCTTTTCAAAGTTGACGACTCCGAGATCCGTAAGGGAATGGAGACTCTTCTGGTCAAGGCCATCCCTCGTGCAAAGTATTTCATTGCAGGTAGGACTTTGGAGCACCTCCACCCTCATTATTCTCTCAACCTTCCGCTGTACACTCACTTCACGAACCCGTCTCGTCGTTACGCAGACATTGTTGTCCACCGCCAACTTGAATCTGTGCTGTCGGAGGGCAAGATCGAGTATAACGAGGACATTGACGCTCTTGTCAAGGCCACCGAGTCGTGTAACACCAAGAAGGACTCCGCGCAGAATGCTCAGGAGCAGAGTGTCCACATTGAGTCTTGTAGAATCATGGACAAGAAGAGAGAGGACCTTGGTGAGGACCTCATTAGCGAGGGCATTGTCCTCGCCGTCTATGAGTCCGCATTCGATGTCCTGATCCCTGAATATGGTTTCGAAAAGCGTGTCCACTGCGATCAACTGCCACTGAAGAAGGCCGAGTTCCGCAAGAATGAGCGAGTCTTGGAATTGTACTGGGAGAAGGGCGTTCCATCTTCGGCGTACGTTCCTGAGGATGAGCGCCCAAGACCCGGTGTCTCTCAGCGCACCGCCAATGCTAGCCTTGCGGCTCGCGAGGCGGCCGTGGCTGAACGCGCAAGGAAGGATCGTGAGGAGGCCCAGCGTAAGCAGATGGAGACTGGAACCATGTCTACTGATGCCGTTGACGCTCTCTTCGACGATGACGATGATGACAACGTTTCTGATTTGGCGGAAAGCGTTCAGGGCGTCTCCCTCGGGAACCGACCAACGCAGAGCGTTCCACCATCGCCAACCAAAAACTCCTTGACTGCAAGCGGCGACCTTCACCGAACTCGTTCAGACTCGAAGGTGCCTATTGCTGAGTCTGCGTCAGCTAAGACCAGCAACAAGGAGAAGTATCTGAAGTTCTTCTCTTTGAGAGAAGAGAACGGAGAGTATATTCAAGACGTGAAGGAGATGACCCGTGTGCCTGTCATCCTGAAGACTGATCTCAGCAAAAGCCCTCCGTACGTCCTTCTCTGCTATGCTCTCATTTTGAACCCCAAACTAACCCTGTTGTAGTTGCCTTACGATCCGCTCTCTCAACCCGTACGCTCTTTAAATGGCGTAGCCTGCCTCAACTGGCCATACAATAACGATTCGCGATAACTATTCGCCGTCCACTCGTTCATACCATACACCCCCGCGCTGCGTACGATGCGACGCGGGCGAATTATTAGCGCTCGTTTACAGAATGGCTGAACCAAACACTTGTTGTCTTGCCTATCTTGGAGGAAGGCAGTTCAAGTTTGTCAGATAGGGATGGGGTAGACAGCCGGCCATACTACTGAGTTTGGGCTTGGGACGGGAGTGGTGGAATAAAGCAATGTTGGCACAATATGGTGTTATGGAAAACGTCCATAGCAGGTGCCGTACTCTGGTCTTTCTCGCTATTAGCGTCGTGCATTTATACAAAGTAGCTTAAATTCAGTATCTCTGTTAGTCTCGCATCAACTTAATCTCTAATCAATCCAAATTGACTAGCCACAATTGGTCCCAAACTGTTCGTTCTGGATAAACTGTTGTGCTGGATAGACCATCTGCCGCCCGGGTAAGTGAACCTTCGGATGAAAAGTGTTCCAGGGGCCCGTATGGCCAGTCAATCCTCTTTGTCCCGTGTGTCGTAAGCTGTCAAGAGACTTGGCGACAAGCCTCAAATGTGAATCAAACCGATATAAAACACCGACTTTGGTGGGTCTCAGATACGGCTCATCACCGATCCGTGGTGTCAGGGACCTACACGCACCTTCAGGGACCTCTAGGGGACCACAGGGGCCACCAAGGGCCACCTGCAGCCCGCCTAATTGGCCACAGCCCCCACTATCATGCAAGGCTGCCCACATCCCAAACAAGGCTGACACATCTGACCGCGTGCAACCTCATCCGACCACATCTGAGGCCATCCGAGTTTCACGACGCCAAACGTCACCGCCGCGCTCGAGCTGTCGCAGTAGTGCTCGCTGCTTAATGCTTTCGTCTGCACACCTGATTGGCTGGGTGATTAGAGTTTGTTCGCATGCGCGCGGCCTGGCAAAACAAATTGCGCCCGTTGAGGGTCCTGAGTGGCTGTTTATGAGGCCATCGTGGGTATTGGGGACGGAGAACGGAAGGTCGTCGTTCCTGAGGCCAAGGAGCTAAGAGAAGGGGATGGGGGTCGTGAGAGAGGCCGGATAGAGCGAGGGGTCTCTGTTCCGGGCTGGGCGGTAGGCTTTAATGGGGGTGCTCGCCCATATTTGTTGGAGGTTCTTTTTCTCTCTCCTCGTCCGTCTACACATCGTCGTCACTCATTCTTTGCGATCTCTCCAAACATTTTCGATTCTGTCCAAACAAGCGCTGGTTCTGCTTTATTATTATTATTATAAACCTTACTCGACCCATTTTTTGACACCTGACCTGAGTCCTGTATACAATCTTTTTTTCTGAGAATCAAACGGAAGCTGGTCTTGTTATAACATTAATATTTTTAATATTCGAGAAAGAAGAGAAAGTTGTTGCTCAACGCCGGTCTATCTACTATACACTCGAATACTTCGACGTCTCCATCAACCTACCTACAGCCACATTACTCAATACAATCCCATCTCTCTACCTCAATATGCCTAGCTTCAAGACCCTCGCCTCGGCCGCCACTCTCGGCCTCGCTGCCTTCGCCGCCGCCCTTCCCTCCGGCTCCTACAGCACTCTCAGGTCCCGCGCGCTTTCCAATGATCTTGCCACCGCAGCAGGCATCAGCGATGTCGACATCCTGCAATTGTTCGTTCCTCCTTCCCCCTATTCTTCTCCGTCCACCCACTAACACTTCCCAGCGCCCTGACCCTCGAATTCCTCGAAGCCGAATTCTACCGCACCGGCTTCGCCAAGTTCCCCGACTCCGACTTCGCCGCTCTCGGCCTCACAGCTGAGGATCTCGTATCTCTCAAGCAAGTCGGCGCCACCGAGCAAACCCACGTCACCACCCTCCTCGCCGCCATCTCCGCCCAGGGCGTCAAGCCCGTAGCTCCCTGCACCTACAACTTCGGCTTCACCACCGCCGCCGAGATGGTCGCCACCGCCTCCGTCCTCGAAGCTGTCGGCATCAGCGCCTACCTCGGCGCCGCCCCGCTCGTCGCCGCCCCCGCCATCCTCACGGCTGCAGGCAGCATCCTTACCGTCGAGGCGAGACATCAGACTCTCATCCGCACCCTCACCAAGGTCGCTGCGGTGCCAAACCCCTTCGATACCCCTCTCGGCACCCGCGCTGTCTTCTCCCTCGCTGCGCCGTTCATCACTGCTTGCCCTGATGGATCGAACCTTAAAATCACCCCCTTCCCCGCTATGACTTCCACTACCCCCGCATCCGCCATTGTCGCCGACGCACAACTTGCTGTTGCCAGCACCGCGCAGGGCGCAACGCACTGTGCGTTTGTCAATGGTGGCGCGCCCGGTGGAGCTGTTTTCGTGCCATTGACCGGAGGCAACTGCCAGGTTCCCCAGATCTTGAAGGGTGATGTGTTTGTTTTCCTTGCGAGCGCAGGACCAGCGACGGGTGTGCTCACGGATGATATTACGGTTGCTGGACCGATGGTGGTGCAAATCTCGTAGAGCGAGATGCGCCACTGGGGGTATGGGGGAAGGTTAGATGTTACGTAGGGATAATGGAGGATTTTAGTGTGTTAGATTTTGGAGTTGGCAAGGCGGGAATTATACTTCTTCTTCTTCTCAGTATCTAATGTGCCAAAGTGATTCTATACATGTGAACTATTATTAGGGGAAGGCGTTTGTGTATTGCTGTGATAACTGAAGTCAAAAAGGGAAGGAGCATCCCATTGGTTCCTTCCATTTTTCAGGTTATGTAAGGGACATAGAGGGAAGGAGCGATGGGCATAGCTACGGCGAGGGAATGGGGGAAGGAGCAAAGCACGGGTGCACTGGTCGTGTGATAACTGAAGTCAAATGGAAGGAACCTCCCATTGGCTCTTTCCTTAAGGATTATGTAAGTCACATAAAGGGAAAGAGCGATGGATATAACTATGGCAAAGTAATAAGGGAAGGAGCAAACATAAACCTGAATAAAAATACATGATACAGTATGTTATGTTGTGATTTATAACCCCAAAGTATTTTCCCTCCCATCAAACACCAACACCGGGGTACCACCTTCCGCACACGATCTCCAACCTCTCCAACCCCAACAAAAAACAAAACACTACTTACCTAACTCCCCCCTCCACCCCCCAACACCTGCACAAATCACATCAACGCACCACGATCACCCAATCCATTTTTCCCATTTTTCCCTCTCATCGTGAGATGCAGTGTTTTTTTGGGGGTTTACTTACCTAAAAAGTGCGGGGTCGCTTCCCCACTTTCACCCCCCTGATTACGTCTGCATCGTGCAGCTGCAGCCGCGACAAGCCGCGCCCTGCGGAATGGGGAAGGGGGGAAGGCCCACTCACCGCTTTTAGAGAAGGAGCTTATATTATAAGTAAGTTGGGGGCGCGCACTTGGGGATTGATGCCTGGGTGGGGGTGAGTGCACTGTACGACGAGGCGGTTCTATCGAGGTCGAAGAAGTCCAGGCGCGGCGAAATGGCGCGAGGAAGGAATGGCAGGGTCACGCGAGGAAGCAGGATGGCACAGCAAAAGGTAATTTTTAACTTTTTTCATGAAATTCGTAAGCTATGTACAGAGGACGGATCTTGCAAAGACCCCAGCCCCCAGCGCTGCCCCGCACGCGCAACGACAAACTCTTTCATGCATTCTATACATTTCCCATTTCTTTCATTTCAGATATTCCCCCAGCCCCAGCAGCGTGAAAGCAAGTTGATATCATCCGCAAACCCAGCGCCGACCCAAACTCGCAAAAAAAGACATGACAAACACGCAAAAAACGCAAGACAAACAATCGGACAGTGTCTAGACGACAAAGCATCTACCACCAGTCACCCTGGTTGTGCATGGCGTCGGCGACCTTGAGGAAACCGGCGATGTTGGAGCCGGCGACGAGGGATGGGAACTCGCCCTCGGCGCTGGGGACGTACTCCTGCGCGGTCTTGAGACCGTTCTGGAAGACATCCTTCATGATGTCCTTGAGCTTGTTGTCGACCTCCTCGGTGGTCCAGCTGATGCGCTGCGAGTTCTGGGCCATCTCGAGTCCGGAAACAGCGACACCACCAGCGTTGGCGGCCTTGCCGGGCGCGTACCAGAGAGCACCGTTCTTCTTCTCCTTGCGGGTAGCCTCGAACACGTCGATGGCCTCCTGGGTGCAACCCATGTTGGAGCCCTCAGCGATGAACTTAGCGCCGCTGGCGACGAGAGCCTCGGCCTCCTCCTTGGAAACCTCGTTCTGGGTGGCGCAGGGAAGCGCGATGTCGACCTTGACGTGGGTCCATGGGCGGGCGCCCTCGATGAACTCGTACGAAGCGGACTCGAACGAAGACAGCGACTCGCGCTTGACCTTCAGGGCGGCAATGGCCTCGATATCCTCGGGTGTGAAGTACTTGCCCTCCTTGGCAATCAGCGAACCAGCAGAGTCGGACAGCGACAGAACGGTGGCACCGAGCTCAATGGCCTTCAGCGCGGCGTACTGGGCGACGTTTCCAGATCCAGAGATGGCGACGGTCTTGCCCTTGAACGAACCCTGGCCGGCGTACTCAATCATGTGGTCGACGTAGTAGACGAGACCGTATCCAGTGGCCTCGGGCCTGATGAGAGATCCACCCCAGCTTCCTCCCTTGCCGGTCAGGACTCCCTCCCACTTGTTGCGGTGCGCGCGGTAGGCGCCGAACAGCCATCCGATCTCGCGGCCGGACACACCGATATCACCAGCGGGAACATCAGTGTACGCGCCAATGTGCTTGCTCAGCTCGCGCATGAAAGCGACGCAGAACTTGCGGATCTCATTGTCGGACTTTCCCTTGGGGTCGAAGTCGGCTCCACCCTTGCCACCGCCGATGTTAACTGTTTCATGACGTCAGCGCTCTGTTCTTGGAAAAAGTTGGTCTCGCTCCGGTTTCCGCCGAGTGGCGAAGCGGGTCACGTGAGAGTGGGGGCTGCAACTTACGACCGGTGAGAGCGTTCTTGAAGATTTGCTCGAATCCGAGGAACTTGAGGACAGACAGGTTGACAGTGGGGTGGAAACGGAGTCCACCCTTGTATGGGCCGAGAGCACCGTTGAACTGGACACGGTAGGCGCGGTTGACCTGGGGCTGGAGCTTGTCGTCTTCCCAGACGACGCGGAACTGGATGACACGCTCTGGGATGGAGACGATCTTCAGGGCGGTCTTGTATTCGGGGTGCTTCTCGAAGAGGGAGGAGTGCTCGAGGGTAGAGGCCAGCTCTGAGGGGGAAAGTCAGTTACAATTCGATTTTTCCGGGCGATGGAAGAGGCATTGATTGCGGGTGGCGATCTGGGCAAGTGTGAGGAGGCAGGCTGGGTGGGACATACCATTGTAAGCCTGCTCGAACTCGGGCTCGTGTGCGAGGTTAGACATGTTGATTGAGGGTTGGTTTGGGAAGGTGAGATAAAGTTGTAAGTGAGGATTGATGTCTCTCGATTGTCCGTCTCTATAATATCACGGGTTGGGTATATGGCAGGTATGTCAATGGAAGAGAATAGTTTTTGGTTTATGGATGAGAGTGGACAGAGGAGGATGAAAAGAAGAAAGAAGATGGTTGTGGGAAGTCTTGGTCTTTTTATCTCCTTGGAGCCCTTAGGAGGAAGACGGAGGGAGAGGACAAGAGCGTGGCGGGTTCGGTGGGGTAGCTCCGAACGGAAAGGGTAGGGGGGCAAGGGGGGGAGTGTGGGTGGCAGAAGTGAGTGGGGAGCTTGATTTTGTTTTCATTGCAAGGGTTTGGGTCTTCTATCTCTCCAAGATAGGGCCTTTTCGGTCGAGTAACAGGCACGACTAAGAGAGAGACTTTGGGAGGAGGGCTAAGTCGGACTAACTCGACTAACAGGGTTCCGGTGTCGATCGGGGCAGTCCCCACACTCTATCCGCCGCGGCGGGTAAAAGTATCCGTTTGTCGGGTGCGGTTCGCCGTCGAGGGCGTTTTCGGAGGAAGGAGAGTGGAGGAGAATTTGGTGCTTGCTGTCGCCACCGGTAAGTGCTCGTGTCAGTGGTAGCTGTTTGGCTGTTGTCTGTGTATGCGTCTACCCGCTGCAGAAAGAAGGAATTTCTCCTCGGCGAGTCAAGGAAGAGAGAACACAGAACACACACGACACTGGACAAAACACAACAACAATGCAGTATCTACCGGTCTTCTCCCACGCATCCCCCAGCTCATACCCCATACTTCTACCCCATATCCCCCCATATCCCCCATCTACAACAAATACATACAATACATACAATATACGATACCGTATCCTCAATCGCATCCCTATCCCTCCTTCCGTCCCACCACCACTTCAAAATAAGCATCAACCCCCCCTCCAGCCTAAATCCCCACCCCTACCCCCCTTGTATCTCTGTACTCCGATCGGGCACCTCCAACCGCCCCCTCCTACTGGCCCGCCACCACCATGACCGACATGTCGATGTCGTCCCTAACCCCCCCCGCCGCCAACACCCTGCATTTCCTTATCTCTCCTCCGTATCCCGTCTCCCGATTGGCTCTACTCGCCTTCAAAGATAAAGCTAGTATCGCCGCAGCCGAGGGTTCGAGCAGGGGTTCACCAACAAACATGCCTTAGCGCCAGATTTGGAACACCGATCTCGCTTTCCTATTTGCCTGGACAGCAGAGACAGATGGTACGTACTGTACTCTACGTAGCCATCTGTCTGCGAGGACGCAGCAAGGGAGCGCGCTAGAACGTCATTCTGTGCGCTGATGAGGCTGGGGAGGCGCGGGTCGAGACACGCGACTGCGCGTGCGAGGGGTGGGGAATGACGATGCGGCGCGAAGGGGTACGGGGGGTGTACTGTACTCTAGGCATGTACTCTACTCTAGGCTTGTAACGGGGATTTACTCAGTTGGTGCTGTTCCCTTGAAACGGGGATATGGGAATTTGGAAACCGCTGAGCAGGAGTTGGTCGGGCATAGGCGGATGGTGCGTTCGCCAAGTACGTAGGGTGGGAAATGCCAATGCTCTCGGCGCTGGGACATGGGAGGCTTGGTATGGGATTTTGAGACTGTTCATAGGATATAATACTGTAACTGGGCTTCTAGAATGACAAGATGGGCTTTGCGCCGGGCTGTTGCACGAAAGAGAGAAAAGAAACACATATATCACATCACCCCCCCGTCTGTCTCCCTTGTCTATCCTTTCCGTTTCTGAGATATTGCCAATATCTCTCCTATCCGCTGTACCTGCCTGCTCTCACTTGCAGCACGATTTGAGATTATAGATACACATAACATACACACATCAAATAACCCCCAACCCCGCCTTTCACACACTCATAATCTCATAACATACACGCATCACATAACAAACTCTATCCCCCCAGGCTCCAACCTACCACCAACCCATTCATATCCTCCCGATAAACCCTCTCTCCCTTCCCATTGCAGTTCGGCGGCCACAGTGACACCTTAGAATTACTCAGTGGCCCCCGCGACAATCCAACCAATCATATCGCATCCTCACCTCGCCTAACCACCACACAGAAACCTAAACCACCAGAGAAGTAAAAACCGGAGACCCCCGCCTCTGCGACTTCGGAGCTGTCCCTCCAACCCAGAATGTTAGCTAGCACGGACTTACTCGATTCCATCGCGTGTCGTGTCGTGTCCTCAGCCCAACCACAACCGACCCAGCCACACGGACAACAGGCGCGCGGGCGGCCAAGACTTGAGTCATCTCCATTTCTCACTACGTTGCAGAGATAGAGAGGCACCTTTCGGGTGAAGTCGGGCGCGGCCTTAATTTCGGATTTTTTCCTTTTCTTTGCTTTTCTTGCCTTGGTTGCCTTGGTTGCCTACTTCGGAAGTCTTGGAGGCGGACTTATGGGATTCCGAAAACGGTTATTTTTTTAAGAGATGCCGGTCGGGCCTTTTGAGAGCGAGCGGGGGATTTGGGGACGAGGACGGACGGAGGGATGGATGGGAGATCCGAGGAGGGAAGGAGAGGGAATGGGAAATGAAGATGGGTTGGGGATTGGGGGCCCGTCGGGGAATTGTAAAAGTGAAGCTCGTAGAAACCCCAACACGTAGACCTCCCCCCACCCCCCCGATGAGTAGATGCGCATTGAAGCATCATCATCATAATTCTCACCTCCCAGCCATGACGGGCATTGAGAAAAAAATTTGTCCTTTCCCGCCTTCGCTAGGGTATATATACCCATCTACGCTTGAACCACCATCAATCATCGGACAGATGGCCGAGATGGTTATGGCGCCAGGTTAAGGTTATACCTTAATATCATGTGATTCTATCATGTTGTGTTTCCTGGTCACGAAAGTGGCGTGGGTTCGAGTCCCACTCTGTTCATTATTTTTTGTCTTTTTTATATGGTATATGATACCATGTTAATTTTTTGGCTGATGAGGCCTACATTAGTTATTAAATATATTACTTTCTTTTAAGTTTACTGCCTGCTGTGTCGCTCCTTCCAGTCGAGAAGAAACAATAAACCCAGGGCGTTTTTTTGGCACTCTAATTGAAAGTTTGGTTGCCGCCTCGAGTCACCTGACCTAAACCCTTATTTTTCCCACCCTGCTAAAAAAAAAGTTTCGGCGTGCCCCACACACACGGACACAGAAAAATCAGTGACATACAAAAGACGTAATAAGCGCCCCAAACCATCAACAAACATCCCGGACAGATGGCCGAGATGGTTATGGCGCCAGGTTAAGGTTATACCTTAATACATGTGATTCGTTCATATAGTTTCCTGGTCACGAAAGTGGCGTGGGTTCGAGTCCCACTCTGTTCAATTATCTTTTTGCTTTTTTGGTGTATATATTTTCTTTTAATATATACGGATGGGACGGGGGAGAAGAGTTAATTTTTGTAGTGTGGTGGAATGGAGTACTTTTATTTTAAATAAATGCTGTAGTGAAGGGGTTGCTGAGAAACAATAGAGGGGAAGTCGAGTATTGTTTTTTTTATACGTCAATATCTTTTTTTGTGATATAAAATCATTTTCATTTCAACAATTATAAATTCAGCAGAACTTTACCCTTTACCTGCCAACTTATCCTCTATTCGACCAACACAAATAAGAGATTTCATATGTCTATATAAAAGAGTGGTGATAGATTGCTTAATATTTATTTGTACATAGTGAGGCGGGGGGAATTGGTCAGAATCGATAGCAGATTATTAGACATATATTCAAATCCACCTCAGATAGTTGGTCGGAGTTGTACCAAAGGATGGAAGCAATTACGAGTTGGCAATGCCCAGCAGCAAGACCCAAGACTTGGATATTGTTGTAGAGATAGTCGACCTTCGTCATCACATCTCAATGGTTGGTGGAGGACGGTAACATATCCCCCATTATCGCCGGTTCGAATGGGCCTTCCCCACGTCTTGGTTGTGCGAGAGGAGCCCGAGGAATTTGCCTTCATCATGAGCACTGTCCACGAACACCCCTTCCATCAGATGCAGCGCTTGTCAAAGTATCCTTGAGCTTCTCGGCACGTTTTTCGAACAAATCTACGATCGAGACTGTCTATTACTAGCAAAGTAAACTGGAAGAGCTTACTTCCCTCCAAGACTTGAAAGAATGTCACCCAATGTGGATATAAGCGTATCCACCCCATGACGACTTGGTTTTGAAGACATAAACTGCAAATCTGCCTTCCCGAAGGGAAGATAGCCACAAGTCCGATTATAATTAAGGCGAAAGAGAGGGCTTGCATGCACGAATCCATCCATCGGACAGAATACATCGCAAAATCGAAATAAATTTATATGAAGATCTCGTCAGAACAGGAGCAGACCTTGCGGAAGACTTTTTGAACAACCTTCTGCCACGCGTACGACCGCATGTAAATCCCCTAGCTTCACCCTCGACCTTCCTACCATCAGCACCATCAACACTACCACCGGCACCACAGAACCGCCGAAACCGTCGCATCCAACCTCACTAGCATCGTTATTATCTATGTCCCATCGCTGCATAAACGCACATCAACCTTCGAAAGGGGGTGGCAGTGAGAACGACCGGTGACAAGAGAGCGGCGGTGGCGGCAGCGAGAACAAACAGCTTTCGTTCGGGACTCCGAAAATAGTGATATTCCGAATGATAATGTAAGAGGTCTTGTCCGAGGTCTGATCCTGGATTAGACCCCCATTTGTAAACGATGCAGTAGTAATATCACAGACGAATAAGTCCAAAAGTGGTGATATCAATGGTAATCTATTGTTGTTATAATTACGATGCTGATCGTAGACGGCAGGTTTTGGGTAAATCTAATTGTACGCCAGTGTGTGTTCCTAGGGACGTGATGGCCTGACCCTGCCCGCATCTATCCTCCTTTGGGGCCTCAGACCGTGGAGTTCCTGAATTTTCTCTTTGTGGGCTGTTTATTACATGGTTGCGCGGTGAGCATTATTTATAGGTGATCAAAAGATCCAAGGGGCTGGTTGGGGAGGGAGAAGGCGGGCGTGGAGAGTAAATAAGAAATAGTCGTTTGAATGCGCATGGGGATTTCTCCTATAGCATCTCTGCCGTAGAATATATCGCCCAGATTGATCGATATCTCAGAAACAGTGATAGTTCTCTCCAAAGCTGATGCTGGAGTCGAAGCTGTGTCAGTTGGAGAAAGGATATTAGGAAGCTAGATCGGATCTTGTTGCGCGTGTTGAAAAGCCAGCCGGTAAGTTCGGATATCAGGATAATATCAGATAATAGTGATACCAAGATGAGCCATTTACCGGAAACTAGCTATTGGAGACCCTCATATCGCGCTGTTCTTGTGGTTTGAGAGGTGCAAGACAGATGGGAAAGTTGTTACTTACCTCACCAACTTACCGGAGAGAAAATATAGCAGTGAATTTTACCTCTTGATGCAATTACCATACTTCATATTTCCATGCTTGGAATTACCATACTTCATATTTCCATGTTTGGAATTATAAGGAGCCGTAGCGTGTCAAGATGTTCATCATCTGAAGAAGCTGGTTGAGATAGACAGGATCACTAGAAGTGGCTGACATGTAGGTTGACCGACATAAATTTGTCCGAGATACGCCTCATCTAGCAACACTGCATCGCCATACGCTAATGATGGCATCTGATACATGTGCGTGCCGTCGTGGCTCTTCGCTCTGGCTCTGCACTCGAGCATAATAGCCGTAAGAAGAAGCGGATGCCCTTAACGTACTTGATGACCTTGCTACCACTGGTGAGAATTAGGAATGACGGCAGAAAGACAACGGTGACAAGAAATGCAGTGACAGACAGTATTCTAGTCGCGAAGGCAGGACTTCACTCCTCACTCCTCACTCCTACCAGTCCCCGCTCCCATATTTCCACACCCAATCCCATTCCTATATTTTCGAAAGAAAGCAAAAAGCTTCACGGATGGATCTCTTCCCATGTCTTTCCTGAGGCATCAAGGTTAACTCACTGGAGCGTTATATACTAGGAGAATTACCGGATTTTGGACTCGGCGCAGGGCTTCAGTTGTAGTAATGATGGATGAGATCATTTGATAGGTGGCTTACATGTTATATTGCTCGTAGTTTTGAGAAAGCCAATATGTCTGGAACGCAGCTATAAAATAAGGTGAATCTCATTTCAACTCCACTGACTGGATCTTATGGATCCGAGCACACCCTCATATGCCAATCTCCAACACGGCCTAGCGTAAATGACAAATATATCTGGGATCTCCAGCTGGGAAACCAATCGTGAGCTCCTGGAGCACGGCGTAGTATATTGGGTTAACGCCCCGAACGATGCTGGTGTGAACAACAACCACCTTGAAGACGTAGCTGGGTTCCTAGTTAGCACTGGTGAATATATTGTCAACCTCAAGGTTACGTTGAGGTACGATGATCTTGTTCATGTGAGCATCGTCTTCCGAGCAAGCGTAGCGACCCCCCATCATCTAAGCCCATAATCTAAGGCACCATATCGATGACGCTATGGGTAGTTTATAGTCTTCCACGAACTTCGTGCACATCGAGGCTGCAGACCGCACGGCAAACTGGGTCGTCCAGTCCAGCGGCAGCCGCGCAGACTCTCCCGGCACCCCTTCTCAACTCTCGGGCTATCCAGCCACCCTTCACCGCTGGTGGGCTGATCACCACAGAGCTGTGGTGACGGTGGAGAAGCGGAAGGATGGTGACAGCAGTGATTCGGTGACAGCAGAACAGAGCGACAAGGGACGTCTTCTTGCTAACACCGCTGCGCTGTTGCTGCTCGCCCACTAAAAGGGCCACGGCAGGAGTTCGGGAGTGTGGGCGCACTTGGAACGAACAGCGTAAGCCTCCGACAATTGTCTGGCTTCGGCAGTACGTCCGGTCTCGGGGAATGAGGAATTTATCCATCAGGGGCAGTCTATTTGACAAAGGGAAGCGGATCAGGGAGATAGAGGAGAATGAGCCCACCAGCATGTGCAATTCCCCATCTCACAGGACAAGAGACCGTATATTGTGCTCAAATAAATGAAGAGAAGGCGATTGAGACTGGCTTTGCAATTTGCTCGAAGGGCTAAAGTAAAATGGCTACATGAGCCCGAATAGACACGCATCAGAAGAATAAATCGAAGCACAATATGAAGAAGTAGGCCACCTTGCGATAAAAACCATCCATGAGAGTAGAAGTTGAAAAAACTCACATTCTGGGTTGGATATGCATGTTGACGGGCGGTATACGGGCAGCCTGTTCCTGGTTTGTGTTTCTCAACAGACCAAAGTAGAACTCTAGCATTCATTGCTACCCGCGACAAACTCTCCAGCATAGCTTCTGATGTCGGATGGCCTTGCCAGGAGAGATTCGGTCCTTGAAATATGTATGAAGCTTGATGGACATTTGGGATTTTTGCTCGTTCAGGAAATGATTGAAATGGAAACGATGAGTTAGCCTTGTGACAGGAGAAAAACTCTTGAGCTTGTTCAATATGGGTTTGCGTATGGACCGGACAGTTTGAGATGGCCCTGAGAGTCCCAAAAGGGGTTCTTTGGGATTTAGATAGCCTACTGTTGAGGTTTCTTGAGATACAGTTCTATCCACGCTCAATATTGAACTCTTCGCAAGTTACTCTCCTCTGTAGAATTGCAAGAATGAAGATAGAGACAAGGATTCAAGCTTTCTCAGTTGCGTAATGAAATAAACCCTCAGTAGGAACCCCTATCGAAGAGAAGTCTGACCATAGAAAAACCCCTATTTACAGAAACGTCTCAAGAACTAACTGGCAGAGTGAAGAAAAAGCATTCTCTGTGCCAGGGGGTGCTCGTAAATACAAGCAACGAACAATGAGAAGCAAATGAATGGGAATTATAAAAAGAGAGCGCTTCAGGGGACGTGAAGCTGTAGAAACTGTGGGCAAAACACCCAACAAACTAGAGTAAGTAATACCTGAAGGCTAGGGGCCCTATGTTCTATTCCTTGAGCTAAGGAGAGAAAGGAGAGAAAGCAAATACCTGGTCTTTGCCAGCTCAACGAGGGCTCCCACAACAACCTCTCTCAGTCAGGGGCAAGCATATTGCCCAGCAGATGGAGACCTACTTCGAGGATTTGAAAACACGAGAAAGCTGAAAACGCATACCCACCGATTGATTTAGATCAACCTTTGAGACAATATCTCGTACTGCAGCCCCACCTCATCCCCGATACCGTTGATCCCCAAAGCAATACGGGCCATAGTAGCAGTGAATCCAGTAAAGCAAGTCAACCCAGTGACTATCACCACAACCCAGCACACCTCTCCAGGTCTCTGTTGCAACGGTGGCACACACCCCTACCCGCAAACTAAGGGAAATAAGCAGCTAACTCCGCATCACAACCACCAACCTCCTAGCGAAATGGAATCCCATCAAATCACCGCCAAGTGCGCAGGCTAGATATGCCAATCGACCCTGCATCGTCGTTGGTTGCCTGCAACCCCCTTGCGACCCCCCCTCGTGGCCTGGTTCGGCCGTTCCACTGAACCCCGACCCCGACCCCGACTCCCCCCAACAAAGCCACCGCGATGATGCCAGACTATACGTCCGTAGGGAACGGTGAAGGGGAAATCGGGATCTGGCTTGCTACCTGCCTGATGCCCTCTTAGACACGCTGCATGCCGCGTATACATGCATGCAGCAACTGCACACCGGCGAGAGGACGGCCGAGGGGGGCTGTGCAGCGCTTCGGGGAGGGAGCGGATACGCTGGCTGTCGATGACGTCTCGATGGCTGGGCTGGACCTGGGTGCGAGGCTTGAGTGAGGGCCATGTACTTGCTGTACCCCGCACACCCACTTCTGGAGTATAACCAGTGGGTATGGTATGGGTGCACGGCACGGGGTTTGGGGGGGGGGATTTGGAATTCTGGTGATGGGGGAGATTATACGCGCGGCGAGGCAGAGTGGTATTGAGATATTGAGGTGGCGCACTTGCGCATGGGTTTTTTTATGGGTTTATGGGTTTGGATTTGTCGTGGAAGTAGAGCGATGTACTGTACTTTGAGGGGGTTCGTGATGGGGGAAGGGGTGAGGGTGGACATCGCAATCAAGTTCAAGTCCGTGAGTCCGTGAGTCCCGTTGTTTTGGTTAAGAAACGGCACTATGTATCGTATCGAGCGTATTTCCATTGTGGGGATGTCGGGGAGCTCGCGGATCCTTGCGGGGAATACTTGTTCCGCTCTTCCGAACATACTACCCCCTTATTGGGACGTCGGGCAACGATTTGAGACAGGATGAGATCCTTCAAAGCAACCCTTACAAATCAAATTTAAGACAGCCCCAGCGAGCGATCATCAACTTTTTCCTAGATTGCACTGGGAAATAACAACGCTAAACAAGATATCATATCCGAAACTAGCTTCCCAAATTACCACGCAACTCGGACCCCCTTTTTCTCCAGTCTAAAAAACAAGTGAAGATCAAAGTCCCCTATCGACACCACAGCAGCTTACCAATTGTCCGCCCCAAAATCCCAATACCAAGCTCCGCCGCTACGACTAACTGCCGATGCAGGAAACATGTCACACGTCAGTCAGTCAGCACCCTCAGCCGCCTGTCAACGTAAGCAGTAGCACCACCGGCCCTCCCTCCCAACGGCGGCGCCCAGTCCTCGGCTGGCAGCGGAAGAGGCGGGGAGAGCTGCGTTATCGAACCCACCGATGGTTATCGGATGGTACGGCATAGGAGGCAAGTTCCGCTGTCGATCGCACGGTCGAGGCCAACGATCTGCGAACCGTTACGAGCCCTTGGGGGCGGATTGTCGGACAAGACAACCGTCCATCCAAGGCCCCCACATCATTCGCATCTCTGGTACTGTTATCTGATCACCTAACAAGCAACCTGGAAAAGCTTGCTAGCCCAATAAACCCCTCTAATCCAGCCAAGAGGGCGTGCCCACGGATCCTACGTCAACGAAATGTCAGGTCCCCCTCCTCAGCCCGCTGCCAGTCGGCCCTTCTCCACCAATCCAACACGCGTCGGAGGCAGAGAAACGTTCGCTAGATCACGTAACTACCTAACTTTAATCTCTGCTCCCACCGTTTTGGTGGCGTGTCAATTGGCTATGAGTCGCGTCTTGGCCCCCCGTGCGTGACGACTAGAGTAGAAAAAACCACGTAGATTAGAACAACTACGCGTGGCACTTTCCGTGCGCAGTCGGGCGGAAATAATAGGGAATAGCAGGGCGTCCGAGCTGTGAGGTACCGTGATAATACGAAGTGGAAATACGAGCAGAAGTGGATAATATCCTCACCTGCAAATGGCGATGTACAGTACAGCACAGCACCAAAGGGCGGCCAAGCCCCGCTTTCCCCTGAGACATAGCAGGCGCTACATCAAGAACGAGCTCGACCCCTCAATCAGGATAAGATAGGAAGGCATGCTTCGTAATCCTTCAGCAACACGCGCGCGCCCGCGGCACCAGGAACACAATCCCACAAGGCTCACCCACCGCGTCTGTCTATCAATCTGCCACGCACCACCCTTCCCCGCCCCTCTATCGTAAAATAAACGTGCGCGTCTAGGTTCCAAATCCTTCGCAATCCTTCCGCTTGCTATTATCGTGTGGGTGCCAAGATAAATGGGGGGAGAGGGGCGTGACTGCGCCTGGTGGGGAGGATTAGCGATCGTTTCCGCGTTTCGCACGCGGGGCGGCTGGGGGCGCTAAATATAAGTTTTGTATACCCACCTTTGAAGGAAGCTGGGCGGAGGATGGAGTTTGACTCTGCCGGGGAAGATGAACACGTGGAGAGGGGGTATTCGTATTTTGGGAGTGTATGAGAGTAGCTGGGGATGGGATTGGAGGGTACCTACTAGATGTGCCGCCGAACAAGGAAGTCTCCTATATGTCAACAAATATCAACAAACATCACGATCCTACCTCAAAACCTCACCAATCCCTCCCTATCTCCCCCTCATCTCACACCGATACCCTTATCCCTATCACCCGCAAATAGCCATCTCCTACGCGCCGATAACCCCAGCCGCCGCGCCAGCCCCCTTTTACCCGCCCGACCCGCCCAAACACAGCCCCCTCATGATTTACGTACAACACCACCGTGAACACACCCGCTCCACCCGCGCCGCAGCGCCCTCGCAAGCCCATCTCCCAATAGCGTAGCGCGACTAACGCTGCAATGCAACGTGGATGCAGGGGGCGTCGAGGGTGTGCTGGCGCTGCAGGACGGGTTGGTTCTGCGACGGTGAATGTATCGCGCGGTACTGTACTTGCTGATGCAGGAGAAAGGTGAGTTTAGGCGTGTGGGTTCGGGAGTATTTGACGGGTGGAATGGTGATGCTTGGGGAGGTGAGGGGGGGTGATGATGCCACGGGTGCTTGCGGGAGAGAGGCCTTCCGATGGGGGAAAGGGGCATGAGAAGCGGCAGAGCTGGCGCGCTGATGGGTCGATAAGGTAGGGCTGAGAGCTGAAGTGGATTATCTCCTCTTCGGCCCGTTTTTCAAAGCGTTGTGACGAGACGATTGGAGCGGGTAGAGCGAGCAGTGGGGATGGACGAGCAATATTCCTCAATTGTATTATCATATGTTGTCTGTGTCCCATGAAGCGCACGAAGCCGAGGGTAACGTCTCCCCTCCCGCTCTGCTGGGTCGCTGCTGCCATCGCGGGCGTGAGGTGGTGAGAACCTAAAGCTGCGTGCTCGCTCCGCCATCCAATTCGACAGGTGTGAAGCGGTGCTTGGTTTCGCACCCGAGGGAAGGGAGAGTTGGGAGCGAAGCTGACACAATTTCTTGGCAAAAGCAAGGTCGTGAGATGAGAACTGGGGTTGGGGAGATGAATTGACGTGAAAGCTTCAAAAGGTGTGGTAGGAACCCGACAGAGAGAGAAAGTGGTGTACCTACAAGTACCTATCTTGGGATGAAGGTTCCTTGGGTTGCTGTTTTTGTAGTGCTGCCCCCTAGTCCCATTGTCAGACGTCTAATAATGGACGGCTGGCTTGGTACTAAAAGGGCTGACATGGTGGCCTGCAATTCGCGAACGCCGAATGCTCCTTTCGACGAAAACGGAACGAAGGGTGCGCCTCCTTCCACAGAAGAAATCACCCTGGCATCTGGAAGGAAGGGTCGTGATCGAATCACAGCACCAGGCGGGTGAGGCTTGGGGCTGATATGGAACACGACGAGAAGCCGCTAAATGCACCGGTACTGTAATGTACGGTGCCAGCGTTGCACCACAACCACGCTGACTGGCGTACAGTAACAGCCGTTAAAATCTTCCGGAAACGTGGATGAGATCGGGGGTGCGTGCCCCTGAATTCTTGAGCTTGATATTTGAAGGTTTGGGGTGGAAAAAGGAGAGGGTTGATTCACGCCTCAGGGGCAGATTGGACGACGTTTTGGACGTTGATGCCACGCCCAAGCACTCTGTAGGTCCGGGATCGTAGACTTCTGTAGAAATGAGTACACTCATCAAACTGTGATGTACGAGTAGTACGTACAAACTGCTCTGTCAAAATTGACAACCCCACAGGGCGTAGGGCTCAGTGGGCCGCGCTCTCAACATCAAGCTGCGGACCCGGTAGGATCCGGTAACTAAACCATAGCACTTCTGCACAGCTTTGCTATGCAGAAGGAGTCGACAGCTTGAATACCACCGTATCGGGAATAGCAGCCCCCAATATGCCTCCTTTCTCATCCAAGGCGTGTGTTTGTGTCCCGCCCTCGGTCTCGGGCACCCACTGATGATCCCAACGTGCACCAAGTCACCCCCTCACAAATCCCCCATCCAGCACCAAGCGCACCAAGCGGCCGCAATCTCCCACGCGGCAGAAACCCAACGGCCGCAACCCCGTCCCTATAGCTCCGCTCTCCGTCTTAACTCCGCATGGTCCCCCCGCCAGTCTCGCCCTCTCCGACCCGCTATCTCCCTCTCCCCAACACCGTCGGCGTCGCCGTTACTCCATCCCGCCTCACGCGCGGCGATTCCGGTGCATCTCTCCTCCATTTCATTTCTCCTCACCCCGACCCCGTCTCAAACCGCCGCATATTGGGGGCTGAAGAGCGATATCACCTTCGTCACCTCCATCGCAACGATCGCTGTTCCGCCACTTCGCCGTTGTCCACCTCCCCTGTCACCCCGCTTGGCGCCGATTCAGAGCATCTGGTTGGCTGGAGCAGGGATTGAGAGGGCTGCATGAGCCGCTAGGCGATATTGGGTGCGGTGAAGTGTCGGGACAGGGGGGGGAGGACAGGGATGCGTTTGTCGGGCGGGGGGTGTGGGGTGGTGGGTTGTCTTGGCTTGCGAGGCTGAAATTTGGTGGAGGGGTGGTGGGGAGGTTGTAGCCTCGGTTTTTTGCGGGTAGGGTGGTTACATACGTGCGTACAAGTGTCATAGTTACCTTGAGTACGGAGTTTTCTGTTTGTAAGTACGACGGGGACTTTGCTAGACGCGGAGTTCGCTGTTCTGTCTAGGGAAGAGCGCGAATACCGTCGGAAATCTAGATTGAGGAGCAAGCGGCATTTACTCAATCCGTGACGGGCATAGTGATTTCACTAATAAGGGATTCCCTTGATTTAGGGTCGCGACAGCTTCGCGCGTGATTGGTCTGATTATGCTATAGCCGTGCATCTTTCCGTGCGTTTATTATTTGTTATCTCATGCCATGGCGCCTATTGGACTGGCTGGCTCTTAGATTAGATCGACTGGCTGCCTGTGAACTACTATGGCATAGCTTGAAGTGTGGTAAATAAGGTGGTATGGCCTGGATCGCCCTCGACCGAATCGGCACCCTACCATATGTACTATGTGGTATTTGTAGTAAAGTGTACGGTGGCGTACAGTACGGAACTAACTTTACTGGATACTAGACGGTACAAACGGGGCTGGTAGGTGGCAGGGGGGGAGAGTAATCAGTCATCAGGCTTTAATGGATACAGAGTGCTGACAAACGACCGTGCATCTTTTGCAGCTTGGGACACAGGAGATATGTTGAGGAAAGGAAAGAATGTTGTTCTTGGCGTGTTGTATGTTCTCTGATCTAAGCTTTAGAGACACTTCTCATATGCCACGGAGGGGGATCATATCATACTTCGCAGATTATAGCATACGAGGAAGGATGGAGGATGAGTCTTCCAGGCCGCAAGGGATCCAGAGGAGTTCATCATTTCCCGACGAAATAGGGAATATTCAGATCCTTCGACCAGAAATTAGTGCATTAGTGCATTAGTGCCAAACTAATCAACCGTGCTGTGACCACAACCACGCCTTATGCCACTACTCGTATAGGAGACCCTGTAATATTCAACGCCTCCAAGCCATAGCCTATGCATCGGAGAAAAAGTACAGATGGTACGAGATTCTCGATGATTGTACGGTTTGGTACACCAAGTACTTCGTGCATCCTCTACTCTACTATTCTCTTCTACGGAATATTCCTGCCTCATCCTAGTCGCTACTCTGCTCTACTCAACCACCTCTACCACTTCACCTACCATCTTCATGAGAACGGGCCGATGAGGACAGCCGCTACTTACTGCATCTGGGGTAGTGGGGTGTGACTGACACGCCCAATCCCCCGCCATGTGTCTTTTGGCTGCCAGCTGCAGTAGTAGTAGTGTACAAGCTCTCCTCTAGTAGCTACTCTCCAGTACCAACGAGCTCCTGGTATGTTTGAAGCAGGCCGCTACTCTATCGAGCGAAACTTGCGACGACGAAGATACCCTCGCTCGCTGTGGCTGATGTTGTGCATCCACGTCATAACTCTATCACAGTAATTGGGACGAAAAAGACGCGGTTATGCGCCTGCATCCTTCCCGTACGTATGCATCCACGGTTCTGCCTCGCAACACGCCGCGTCCTCGATTGCCTCTTGTGGCAGGAGATAGAGAGACTGAGGGACTTCGTACCCGGGATAGCCGATGGTGATGATCTCTCTATCATCGTGGGTAGGCACGGTACTGTATGTATAGTGCTATACAATACAATACGAGAGGTGGTGACACAGAACACCATCAGAGCAGAAAGCAATCGGCGACCAATATCCCAATATCCCCAACCAAAGCCCGTAATCGTAGGTCCTCCATACTGTACGAGCGGCCGACGACCGACGACTGACGACGACATGAAGAACTCACGGACGGGTGCTCGAAATCTCCCTCCCCCACCACCACGACACATGGCCAGGCGACAGCGCCCCTGCGTCAACCCATTGACTTTGACGTAAAAATCCCAGCGCAGGGCTCGACCGTCCAATTTCCTCAGGACCAAACATGGGGAGGAGCTCGTAGGGCTGGGCGGTGCTGGCCACTCATCGCTCGTCGTTGCGAGATTGCGTATTTTCATCCCATAGATCCTCCTGCCTTCGTACTTCGTACTAGCCACACCGGCCTATGGCGAGCGCCCTCCCTCTACTGCGGGTCAGAGGTTGGGTTGCAAATGATGCTGGGAGTTTTGGCCCATAGTGGTGGCCGTCCAGGGACGGGTCCCTACGCTAGAATCCCTAGAGTACTGATATTCACAGCCCAGGCCCTGAACGGTAAAATGTTTCGGCACCATTGCGAGTACGAACCAGCGTCGTAAATTGCCTTATTATCCTTTTCAAGCCTTTTAGTCTGAGCGCCAAACGGCAGTCTGGATGAACTAACTCCACAATCAGTAAAGTCACTATAGCTAATGTACTGTACTATACTCCTAGCAGGCATTTATTTTCAACCAGGTATTTGAATTTGAAATACCTGTCTCCTCCACTCTCTTCCTTCCTGATTTTCCGTACCGGGACTCCGTATCTCCGTGCATAAATGTCCGACACGTGGATGGCCAATCACTAGGTCCCCATCGCTGGCGACTACGATCGTCGGTGCTTGCGCAGCACTCCGAATCGCCCGAATCGCCCACATCAACTCCTTATCTACGCGTGCTAACCAGTGGTAGGCGCGAACCCCACGCTCTCAGGGCGGGATGGAAACCGCAGCTGAGGTGGTTGCGTGCTCTGCCATTTGTCAAGAACACGATGCCGGCTCTTTCCTTCTGCCAACACACTGCCAGTACCATACGTCCGTATACAGTAGGGCTGGAGATTCTGTACGTACAAGCTGAACTGACCAAGTGGAGAGAGATGAGCGAAAGTGCCGGAGAGGAGACACGTTAGGAGGGATTCGCGGCGACGATCATGAATGACTAAAGAAAAAATCCCCAGGTGACTCTTCACTTCCTCCCTCTTCCCTCTCCCCCATCATCAGTGCGTTTACCAAAGCCCTCGCAGATTGCGCGTTAAACCCGGCACCACCTATAACACCGCGTGGGAGCCAGGGTTGTGTGGACGGGGTTAGTAGTTAAGGGACTTCTAGTATCCGCCCATTTCCCAACAACTTTTTATTCCCAGACGAGTTTGATACGGCGCTACGCACAGCGTTCGCGGCTGTAGATGGCTATTGCCGTGTCTATTTCCCTTGGTCATGTCTTCGTCAGCGGCTCGGTTGCGCACACGCCCTCCCAGCGGGCGTGGCTGGTGAGGGATCAGGGTAGCTTTACCAATGTACTTACTCTACTTGGGAGTAGGAAGACGGTTTGGCAGGGGGATCGTGGCTAAAGCTGTGCCGCGGGCAGTGGAGGGGACTTAGCGCGTAGAGAGGGCTATTTCAAGCGGAGGTCCGCCGGCGACGGGCGACGGGCACACGTGGGAGGAGATGTACTGGAGAGTATTTTGGGAGGTGTTTGGTACCTATACTTCTTTAGTGAGTGAGTAGTGAGTGTGAATGAGAGGATTTCTGGACCGGGGGGGGGGTTCGGTCGTACGTATATCGAACAAGGAGGTGATCTGATCTTGATTACTGAATCAAGAAGCCACAGCTAAGACCGAAGTAACAAGAGACAAGAAGCAGGATAAACCGAAGATTGCAGATGGATGTGTAACCCCACATTCATACATAACAGAAGAGTCACAGTGATACTGCTGCCTTGACTGGTGTGCAGTTTAGCAGGTCCGATATGCATCGTGTGTACAGGTGCGTGCTGTATGATACATGCCTATAGTATAGCGCCTGTACTCCACTGTACTGCACCTTGTTTGACACCGAATCTCCGCCCTTTGGCTTGCCCATCCCTCCAGAGTTTGGCAGTAGATGACCCTTGTAGAGGCCCTTTCCCATAGCCCAAATGGCGGAGCGAGCCTGTGTGCCTGGGTGTGTGCCTGCTCTACTATGGGTTGCGGTGTGAGACGCGCTGGCCGGTGAAGTGCTGTAGTGACTGTGCTGTGCTGTACGGGTTCTGTTGCTGGTGCAGCAGTGTCTTTGTCTCTTCCCTTCCTACCTATTCCTAGCAGCCATCCTACCGGCCATTCTACCATGCATTCTAACCTAACAAGCTTCCCTTCCTTCCTTCTCGCAGCACCAACCCTCGCTCTTTCTATCCCTAGTACCTAGATCAGATCCCCACTAGGAAATCCTATTCTATTCTATTCATTTTGTTACCTCCGCCACTCCGGTCATCCGCCTCCTCTGTGCGCAGTTCACTCTACTACTGGATGTAGTATCCTTTCTGTTTGTACAGGCCAGTCCCCGTCGGGGATACTCGCAACGCCGACCGTGTCCCGTGCTACAATGGGGAAGGGAACGTCAACGGCAACGTCAACGTCAACGTCCCCACGGATGGCTGATCACTGTTTACCCAGCTCTCCACCAGCTCTCCACCAGCTCTCCACCAGCTCTCCACCAGCTATCCATCCGGCTATTCAATATCCCCAATGGCGTGTCTCTAAAACAGTAAAAACAGGCCAGAAGAAGCTCGCCGTTCCACACCCACTCTCAGCCATCCTGCCACTCTCCCACTATTCTCCCACTATGCCACCTCCCATGCCGCTCTCGTCTCCACTAACGTCCAAATCCGTACCTATTCTTCAAGCCCGGGAAAGTATGTATGTCAAGGTACTCCGAGTACTTCAGAGTACGACTGCGGATTTACCTGGTGGGTATGAAAAGAGACACCAAGACACCATGCATCTTGCGCACACACACTTGCTAAAACCGCCATGGTAAACCACTGCATGGGTCTCCCATGCAACATCCCCCACCCCCCTTCCCTAACCCCCCAGTCACTCCTAACAGCCAATGGCCCACTCACTTCACAGCCTTACAAGTTGTATATATATAAATACGTTTGGGTTGGTATGGGTACTGTGTACTGGAAGTAGGCTGCATTGCATATACCTACAAACGAAGGAATATATATATTCGGCATCCTTCCACCCCAAGGCTGCCTCTCAAAAAGCTTGCCTTATCACTTCATTCCCGTCTCCATATCTCTCTCTCCATCCTTCAGACGACGCTATCATACGTTGCTGTGTACATCACCACATTGTGATATATTGCTCGCATTCTCATCCTGAACTTGCTTTCCTCTCACTCTTCTCCTCCTAACCCTCGCCATCTAATATCTTCACCATGTCTCAACAATACTCATACCACCAAGCTCCCGCAGCACCACACCGCCTGCCTGCCAACCACGGCACTAGCAGTGCCTTCTCTCCCTCCGCAAACCCCGACGAAGACTGGACCCAGATCTCCGACCTGGCCGAGCGTCGCCGCATCCAGAACCGCATCGCCCAACGCAACTACCGTTCGTCCCCCCCCATCCACCCCTTTCACTCCCAGCCTCCTAACACCCACCCCTAGGCAAAAAGCTCAAGCGCCGCCTCGAAGACCTCGAACGCCGCGCCGGTTCCTCCTCCGCCTCCCCCCCACAATCACACGCCGAGCTCAAGCCCTCAAAACCCACCACCACAAACATGCACAAGACACCCTCCTCCTCGCGGAACCGCCCCACCAAGCTCTCACCGCGCGCCACATACCAAAGCCCGCACCAATACACCCCCCCGTTGCAACCGGCCGACGACCTCTTCCCCCTCGACCGCGCCGCCTCCCACACTCCCCCCCTCTTCAGCTACGCCCCCTACCCCGCCCCGGAAGAAACCTCCTTCTACCCCTCCTACGCTCGCACCCCCTACTCGACCACGGGAGGCTATGAGTATGCCGCACCGCCGCGCCCGGCATACGAGCCGAAGCGGAATGACGAGGAGCTGAACGCCTTCGGGATGAGCTATGCTGCTATGGCGGGACTGGATATCCAGCACGCTTATGACGACCCGCTTGTGAGTCCGCGTCTGCCTGATCTGCGGCTCGGCGCTTGAGACTGACGACTACATTCAGACGCCGCCGCTTGGAGAAGGGTTTGAGTTTGAGGTTGTGGGCGAGGAGGAGAACTACGCCTTGTTTGAGACGGGGAGGGGGAGCTGGTCGCCGGAGCCGTTGATGTGAGACTTTCTCTGCTGAGATGTTCGAGCGGACTTGCTGGCTGGCTGGTGGGTGTAACGCACTTTTATGACGGACTGGAATGGGAACTCGGTGCATGGGATTTTTTATTGACCTCCGGAGCGGTGTTTGGTAGATGGAAACGAGCGTGGGTTATGCAGCGGCTGGTACTGGGAGCATTTTGGGCAACAAACAAACTGTTGGGATAGGGATGGAATACCCGCTCGGTGTTTCGGCGCCAAAATTGCCTGCTTTGTTTTATTTTATTTATGGAATATTCTGTCCTACTCTGTCTGCTGTTTGTGTTGTTTCGCGCGTGCTTTTTTGGGTGGTATATTGCTCCTTGAGGGAGGGGTGGGTAAGGGTGTGTTTAGATTTATGAGGGGATGAATTAGAAAGACTGATGGCTACATTATACGATTTACCTTCTCTCACACAGTATGAAGTCGTGATATGTGCACATTGTGACCTCCTCAACAATAACCAGACTCCCCGAGAAACACGATCAAATCGCTTGCTTGGATCACTTTCCCCTCCCCTTGAGTTTTTCTCAACACCGCCTGGTAAGCTGACATACTTGTAAATTGCTATTGCACATGACAACAAATTATCCTCGGTTTCCCCGTTATGGCCAACGACCGTTGTCGTTGTCAGCACTTCACACGCCAAGCTCACCCCCAACTCTCACATAGCAGCAGTATCAGACCACGAATCATCTGTTAGACCTTAGTCTACAATTACGTGCATTTGTGGTGGTTGAAATGAGCAACGAAGGGTGTTATAGCAACATCTCTTATAGTCTACACCTACTATCTCTCAAACCCAATCGTTCACTCTCAGTCTAAGACTTTCTACTGTCTACGTCTTGCACCTGTTACTCTCAGTTACGCTGTGTGAGCCACATCTTCGTCGGAAAGCTCAGTTCTCACACATCTCACAAGAACACCACTTCAACATCTTCAAACCACCCAATCCAATAACCCCGTCAAATTCTAAGTTAACCCCCACCCACCAAATCCAACCCCTATATTACACCCGCCCCCCTCCGCCCGAACTCAATCCAAACCATAGCACCGGAAGAGTGTTTGTTGCTATAAAAGACACGGGGTTGCTCTTGTGCCACCCGTCACATCAGCCTTTGGGCACCAGTGTGCTCGATTCCTGGCTTGGACTTTTGGCAGTGTGGTGGGGTGGTAGGTGGTGACGGAAAAGGGGCGGCGGCGAGGGTGGTGGTGGCGGTAAGTGCAGTGATGATAGCAAGAGTGGTGGTGTCGGTGACGGGTTACAATTCGGTGACGATAACTTCATAACTGACAGTATTTATATATTATCTGACTACGACCACAAGAAAGGGCCCCTATCAACCCTATTAATATCCAAATCGCCATTTCTGCCATCAACCCGGGCGGCTTTGCCTTTGACGTTCCCTCCCATATGAAGCGCGCAGCTCAAGAATGATGCTCCCCAAGATAGCATTCCTCAACAACCACCGCGCAAACATAACGATATGATAGAGAAGCCGCAGTGTGGTAAGAAAAACCCCCCCGACATGATGCCGAGCGGCGTGCATTTCTAGCCTCAGGAAAGCCCCGACCATCCCCTATAGTCCGACTTCACCCCTCCAAACCTAGCTCACCTCGTATTTCCAGCCCATACAACCCCCATCACCAAATCTATTACTAACCCGTCTTCGACCTCATCTCCCTCATCTACCGCGCCGCGTAATCGATCCCGCAGTACCCACCCCCAATAACCGAGAAGGATGCGATTCCTTCACCAGACTCCACCACCTAACACCCACCTACCTAAAAGCGGTGCAATCCTGCGCCGTGCATCCACCGGCCTTCCTACGGTGTGTATGTACTTCAAAAGGTTCGAGGGATTCGTGACTTCAGCCTAGAGTCGGCCTAGAATGCTCTTCGTTACGACGAAATCGATCCATCTCCGCCCGATCGACCCCGAGAACGCCTCATCTCAAAGCCTCGCACGCCATCTCTCAGCCAGCAGATCCCGATCTCCCCCCCTCCATCACCTTCCACCTAACCCCCCACCATAATCACAAACGAAGCCTCCAGTCCCCCCCCCCGGACGACCCACCATCATACATCCTCGTTCCAGCCCTTCACAAACCCGGGTCTCCCCCACCACCACACTAGCGCATAGCTAAGCATTTGTGTCAACAACCAGATCGGCTCGGGACACTAGTCGAGGGTGAGCGTCATGACATGTCAGATCTCAAAAATTATGCGTTCATCGGTGGGGGGAGGGAGGTCCCTGAGGTGTGGTGGTGACGAGGTTATGGCGAGGAAGGGGTTGGGGATGGAAACAGGTCGAGGGGTGTGGAAGGTTGGGATAGGGGACTAGGGAGGAGGATGTGTGAGAGGGGACCCTTCTTTATTCCTAAGGGCTGATTTACTGTAATGAGTGTGAGAGAGACCCTTCTTTATTCCTACTGGCTGATTATGCAATCAGTTGTGTTATTGGTGGGGATGTGGGAGATCGCATTTATACAATTTCACACACAGCATCACAGCGTCACAATTCACGCCCAAAAAACGAAACACAGTCAGTGAATGATATATATTATCCCCTTCCCCCCTCCACCGAGAAACGTCTACCGTATGGAGGGAATCTAAAAACTACCTAAAATCCTCTTCCCATACTACACCATGCCATAAAAGTACAGAATAGCACAGAAAGAAAATCCAAACATCTCTAATCGAGCACAGCTCAAGATGATCAAACCTTTGTCCTCCAACCACCAACTCAGTCAGCCAAAAAGAATGAAATATATACCCCAGCCTCAGATCCAGCCAGGCTCCTTCCCTTCCAAACTCCATCCCAATGAGTGGTGATATAATAACGCCAACCGAGAGTGCCCGCCTCATTATCCATATCCCCAAAATGTCGTTTCGTTTCATGCCTCATCATCATAAAGATTCAGCAAGCCCCCGAAACGCCCCCATTAAAACACCCCAAAAACACCGCCTCCCCCATTAAACACCTTTTGTATCCCCACCAACCATTACTCCATTCCACCATCCATTACGCCATAGGCCACCAAAACTCAAAAAAGTGCACATCTCGCAAACAAACTCATCGTCCACTCTACCAATAATGGGAAGGACAGATGCGCAAGCTGCAACGCCTACTGCATATGGTGTTGGTTATGAGGATGCAATCCCAACCCCGCCATCCCAACAACCGCACTCCCAACCATCGACTCCCCACCAAGCGCCCCAAGGCGCAACTGCTGCGACATCCCCCACAGATTGCCCTCAGGCGCCTCAACCGGCATCGGCAGCGGCGCCAGCCCCCGCTGCGTGCGCCAGAAGTTCGCGCGCTCGGCCCACGGCTGCCCGACGAGCCACCCCCAGCGCGCGATTATCTCGCGCGAGAACTCCCAGCTGAACTCGTTGAACGGCTCCTCGCCCCAGATGATCAGACGGTGCTGGATGTCCGCGTTGGGCACCAGGACGAGGAAGTCGAAGTCGTGCAGGAAGGCGGCGGAGACGTCGGGACCGACGCGGCAGAGGCGGTCGCGCAGCGTGGGCGAGGGGATCATGTCCACGCCGTAGTAGTGCGCGGTTGTGAGCTGCGTGGGGGTTGGGCGGAAGGGGGCGGGGAGGGAGGCGCTGATGGCGGAGAGGATTTGGAGGTGGCGCGGGCAGGGCTGGTTGGAGGCGGGAGGGGGAAAGGATGGGGCCTCTTGGATAAGTAGCGAGAAGAGGTTGTTGATCGCAGCGCTGATCTTGATGCGGTTGGCGGCCATCATGGCGATGGGGCTGGTGTGGTGTTAGTGAGAGCTAGAGACGCGAAGATGGGAGACTTACTTTGACTGATCGGCCATAGATCGGCTCGAGGACGGTTGCTGGTTCGGATGAGATAGCTGCGTTCTAACTTGAGATTGAGACGAGATAGTATAGGGCATGCTGCCCATGGTCTGGAATGTCGATGTCCCCGCTGCTACCGAGCTAAAGTCGTAGGCGCCCGAGTTGTCCTGAGGGCCAGCTCTCGAACCGGCCGGATACCCAGTGGGGTACTGCATGCCTTGCATGTTGCCCGACGACGGCATGGTGCCAGCAAATGCATTCATGGCGCTTGGCAGCATCGACGAGGTCATGGCGAGCTGGTTCGCAGGCAGAATGTTAGGCGTCCCAAGCACCTCCATCATTGAGCCATCGGAGGTCATTGACTCCAAGATACTCGAGGCAGAGGAGTCAATGGACGCCTTGTGGCGGCGCGACGACGACAACGACGACGGAACGGTAGGTGGACCGGCCATGCCTTCGTTGGGGTGCCAGCCGGAGCCGGAGGCGAAGACCTGTGCCCTGAGCATCTCGTTCTGTGCCCGCAGATCTTGGTTCTGCCTGCGAAGATGAAAGATTTCATTGTTCTGCTCAGTAACCGTGACGCTCTGGGTTTGCTCAAGCTTGGTCATTCTATCTTTGCGGCGTCGGCCTGGACGGTGTTAGCTACTGTGCAGTCAATATATTTGTTTGGGAGGGGGAGATAGTCTTACGGAATTCTCGCTGGGCGACGCGGTTATACTAGAAAGACTGAGTGAGTATTATGATCGTACCACAACAGAAGGACAGATCATACCTCTCTCTTCTTGCGTAGCTTCTTCTCCTCTTCGGTCTCTTCGACGTCCGACCTCGTATCCTCCCCCACGCTGGCCTCCGGAGTGTCCTCCATGAATCCATCCACGTTCGTCTCCGGATCAAAGTAAGCCTCCGGATCAATGTCAGACTCCGACTTGACCCGGACGTTATTGCCTGGACGTAACGTCAAGCCGCTGGAGGAAGCACTCATACTGGCGCACCGAAGTGTGCCTCTTCACCTTCGCACCTTCCCAGATCTACGAAAGTCGTTCGATCGGAGGCAGGTGCGTATCAATGTTAATCAAGTAACCAAGTAGCCGTGTCAAGTAGCCGTGTGTCATATCCAGTAAAACTGGTAAAAGAACGAAAGGAAGGAAGACACGAGCAGTAATATATCAACCACCTGCCTCGCTCCTTCCACACAACAGCTCTAAGGAGGCACAGACGAAATCCTCAGACCATCCGTGTGCGCCCTTCCCACCATTTAAGGTTCATGCACCCTAGCCCTGCCCTCAAGCTGCCACCGAAAACCCAATCACAACCGATGACAGGCATGGCATGTTAATGACGGGTGCCTCAGCCCACCCCATGGCGTGAGCGCTAGACGTCGTGACGTTGGTCCCCGAGGCCTGGAGCGAACGGCGCGGCGGCACGGGCGTGTGCGGTTCATCATTAGGCCAAGAGACGGGGGAGGCAGCAGTTCCACAAACTGCCATAGTTGCACTCGGACAGACGACGACTAGGGGGGTGGTTGGACACAGCAAGCGCGGGGGGAGGGATAGGGGAGGGGCAGATGAGGTGAGAATGGTGAGGCTGAGGCGGAAGCTCTCGAAGCCGAGGAGATTTCGGCGTGGCCTGAGGTGACTAGGACTCGGGGATTGGTGGGGTGGTGAGCCACATCTACCTCCTTCCTACTTCTATCCCCCTTTCCCAGGGCTAAGTGAGAGAGAGAGCGGAGCCACACTGTGGCCCGGGATGTTGAAACAACCTAAAATCAGCCCTCTTAGCCATGGGAAGGGATGGGGATATGGTAAGCGGTAAGCGCAGGACCCATGCAGAAAGGCGGAGCAAAGAGCAGCAGTAGGGTAGTAGCAGCAGCAACGGCGGCGGCGGGGGCACAGGTTAAGTTGGCAGACAGGGAGGGGGTGAGATAAGTAATCGTGTGAATTCCCTGTTCTGGATTCGGCGTTTGGGGAAAGGGAGGAGCATGTGGCAGGCGGGAGGGGTCTGGACGCCACAGGGTGATATGGAAGGAGCGAGTGGCGCTCTTGCTCACTGCTCCTTCCTTCCTGCGTTTCTTTGAGGTCTTGTGTCCAATTTGAGAAGGATGGATGATGAGGTGAGTGCACCAGCCACATTGTGGCGTGCGTACACCACAGTTGGCGCCACGATCCTTCAAGCCACCACATATCTAGCAACTCTCTCTCCCCATCCTCACCTCTTCCCTCACCTCACCCATTGCCATTCCCCTTCCCTCAATCACCGAACCCCAAAATCCCCAGTCAGTCAGTCGCCAAAATCCCGAATTCCCGAATCCCCCAAAACCCGAGACTCCACAAAACTCCGCACGCACCACAGTACAGTAATCCTCTCGCTGACATCCCACCTCCCCCGCCCCACCCACAACCCCACATTCCCGGCCAGAGCGTGTGGCGCAGCACCCCCCCAACACGAACCGCGCCCAGCCGCCCTCGGCCACGCCCGCGCGCGCGTCTAGATATCCCTGTCGCTGATTGTGTATCTAATCCGCATACAGCGGTTCGGCCGTATCGTCGTATCTGGTGTGATGAGAGGGGGCGGGGAGGCCGAGGAGGGGAGGGTTATTGAGGCACGGAGGTGGGGTTGTGGAAGGGGTTGATAGATGACAGAGCGTGTGGCATGTGGGTTATTAACTGACTGTGCTTGCTTGGGAAGTTGGAGGATGATGCATAGTAAGTTAGCTGCGCACGTGTCAGTATATGACCAAGCGCTTAGATTAGTGATGCATCTATTTCTCATGCTTTGGCAGCACTGCTTAGTCCGTAGCCACGGTATAGACTTTCATCCTCATCCCTTCCCAGCCATCCACATCATTTCCCCCTCCACCGCTCCCTCCACTCCACTTTGCCTATACATCTCGCCTCCTCCTATTTACCCTAACTGTCACCTACCCACTCCATCACTTAGCCGCCCAGAAACCCATCCACTCGGAACCCCTTCCATCCGAACTCTCAAATCCAAAGCCCACTCTCAATCCAAATCCCAACCCGCAGTCCCCGAGCTTCCTGCATGCAGACCCCGCCCACTGCTGCAGCAGTTAGTTAGTCACAAAGAGTCACAGGCAGACAGCATCTTCCTCAGCCCTACACCACGAATCTGCCTTGCGGTGCGAGATGAGTCTGCTGCATCCCGATGCCTTAGAAATCCTAAGCTAACCCACCCCCTCCTCCTACCTCTACCCACGCCACAACAGCTTCAAGTAAATCCAACTAATATTTCGTCTTAGACTTACGCAAGCTAATCACTCACCAATGGCATTTATACCCCCCTCCCCCCCCCACCACAAAATCTCCAGCCCACCTACCATCCCATCCAAGATTAACCATCCCAATCCCTCATCTACACCACTTCTTATACCCTCCCACGCCACGAACTGATACATACGACCATAGACTCAAGAGAACTGGGCATCCCGTCCGCTCTGCCATACATAACCTTGAGATCGGTGGATTAGTAGTTGGGTGGGTGACCACCAGCGAATACCCACTGTTGTATGTCCCTTCCTTTTTTTGCCCTTATTTTAGAATTATCATACCAAACTACCCAGAACCACTATATATACCCCCCCAACCCACGAAATGATACATACGACCATAGACTCAAGAGAACTGGGCATCCCGTCCGCTCTGCCATACATAACCTTGAGATCGGTGGATTAGTAGTTGGGTGGGTGACCACCAGCGAATACCCACTGTTGTATGTCTCCTTTCCTTTTTTTT